AAGGTATTGAAACAGTCCCCTAAAGGTAGTCAAGTCCTCAAGAGAGGATGATTTTGAGGTTATCTTTAGCATATTCTTGTGCATGCTACTTAGAGTTGGTGCAGACAAAACACTGAGGATATTGGAAAGGTTCCAGGTTACGTGGAACATTTTTTACACTGGAAAATGTCTTTGAAAGTGCATGGCCAAGTTGACGCCCTACGCAAATGTTTCCGTCGTTTAGGTAACTTGCGAATTAGCCAATCTTACAAAAGACAAGTGATCTTTGTGTACCCTAGTGCAACTAGTGTGGGTTGCATACAGCCAGAAGTATCCACCCTAAATGTGAGTGAAAGAGTGGCCGGCTGACCGAGAGGACCCGCAACCCGCGACCCCACGAGCTGACGGGGAAGCAAGCACGCCCTTTCCACCCCGACTACCGAATCTCCTGGCAAGCGAACTACATTGCCCATAGGGCCACGCGCGGCAGGCCGGCGCCCCCGCGGGGCATCCTGGGACGAGTAGTCCACGTGTTCCCTCAATCGCTCCCGCTCAGGGGCTGCGGGAGACGCGCCTGCGCCAACATGGCGGTGGCTGCTTGCGGCGCGTCCGTTCGCCTCCAGTGTTGGCCGGGGTGGGGGTCTGGGCTTTAGGCAGTAAGTGGAGCTGGCGGCCGGGTTCTTGGGAGGGACGTGGGAGGCGTCGGGAGCGTGTGGGCGGCCCGGCCTGAGGCGGGGGAAGCGGGGGGCTGCCCGGCCGGCCCTGGACGCGGAGTTCTGCGTCGGACCTCTGCCTCCTCGCGCCCCTGGGCCCGGGGCGACTGGGAGGGCTTGAGGGCCTGGCCTGGGCCCGGAGTGGGAGAGGCAGGGGTCCGGACCGCGAAGTCCGGGTCGGCCTTCCGAGATCCATTTCTTGTCCTTTTCGTCCGAGGAAAGCGAGGATAAGGGAAATAATGGCATCTCGGCGTTGCCTGTCCCTTCGGAGCTGTGCGGGGGCGGCTCCTTTCTGGGCTCCAGGGGGCCCTCCGCCGCCTCAAGTGAGGTCCCGGGCCGCAGATCAGAGGGCCGTGCGCTCAGTAGTTTGAGCGGCAGTGGACCTCCTCGGACGCTCCAGCTTTGGGGCCCAGCACGTAGCAGCTGTAAAGATTCATTGGCTCCGTTTAATTCAGTTCAGTGTCATCATCTGGCACAGGGAGTGCGCGCATCAGAGATCGTGTTTCCCTTTGGCAGTGCCAGTGTGCCTTTCTAAAAACAGCTGTCGCTCCGTGTGGGCCAAGCCCTGGGCGCTGCGGAGTACCCTTCTCTAATTAGGTCACCTGGTTGTTTAAGTGACTGTGCGTGATAGGTGGTGTCCCGCTTCAGCGATAAGGAACACGGGTGAAGTGACTTGCCCAGGGTTACTGAGGTAGGGTGTAGCAGGATGAAAAAGTCAGGTCCTGCCCTGGCCCGTGGCTCAGTGGTTAGAGCGAGCGTCGGCCCCCGCGCCACAGGGTCGGTGGTTCTGGTCACAGTCAAGGGCATGTACCTGGGCTGCAGGTTGAATACCCCGCCCCAGCGCGGGAGGCAACCGCTGCGTGTGTGTCTGTGACCTCGGTGTTTCTCTCTCCCGCTTCCCTCCAGCCCACCCACTCTCTCTGAAAATTTATGAAAGAAACATATCTTTGGGTGAGGATTAAAAAATAAATAAATAAATAAAAATCCAGGTCCGGATGCCTCCAATCCCCACCATATGTACTTTCTCGGTCCTTGGGAGGACGCTCAATTCAGAGCCACACCAGCAGGCAGCCATGTGTACTTGCTAAGGAAGGACTCAAAACAGATACTCCCAAGTGTAAGATAGGGAGGTGTGGGGAAAGTTTGTTGTAAAAATGAGAGCATTTTATAACATGTCATATTTTTTTAAAGGTAGTATTTAGTTTCACAATGTTTGGGGACTTATTTGAAGAGGACTATTCCAGTGTATCAAGTAATCAGTATGGAAAAGGGAGGAAATTAAAGACCAAAACAGTGGAGCCACCTGCTCCTAGAGAATTCACCAATTTAAGTGGAATCAGAAATCAGGGTTACCTCAATTCTCTGCTTCAGACGCTTCATTTCACACCTGAGTTCAGAGGTACGCTACATTGCATGCATTTGATTAGTAATGTTTCCTCATCTCTACATGTAATTAATTATGCAAGATCACAAAGAGACGGTATCTTAAAGGTGTATTCGCAGCATGTGTTTATTAATGTAATTCGTAAAGTGGTAATGTGAAGCTTAAATTATCTTAAGTATATGCTATGTAATCAGTAATGTTTAGTAACAAAATAAAAAAGGCATCATATTTTATTTAATTCTTATAATTTAAAAGGCAACATAAAGACAATTTTTTCATGAGTGCTGGACTTCATTATTGTTACACTGTATATTTGAGTTTAAAATTTTTTTCCAACAACAAAAAAAACCCTGGCTGGTTTGGCTCAGCGGTTGGAGCATCGGCCTGTGGACCAGAGAGGCCCGGGTTCGGTTCCCACTAAGGGCACGTACCTCAGTTGCAGTTTGTCCCTGCCCCAGTTGGGGTCATGTGGGTGGCAACCAGTCGATGTGTGTCTCTCACATCAATGTTTATCTCTCTCTCTCTTCCTCCTTCTCTCCCTCCTGCTCTATCTGAAGATAAATGCAAAAATGTCCTTGGGTGAGGATAAATATATATATATATATATATATATATATATAGTGGCGGTTGGAAATAATTGTGTTGGAATATGCATGTCACCCACCCAGTTATGGCTGTCACTCTTTTTTTGCCACGTACCATGCACTCTAACATACATCGTCATACTTAATCTGGAAAGAGCTCTCTGTGGCGGTACTATTGTGTCGCTGTTTCACTTATTTTAGTAACTGCAGTTCTTACCGAAGTTCACATCGTCGCTAAGTGTCAGAGCTGGAGTGTGGGAGAAGTCAGGTTTGGACGGCCCCAGAGTCTATGTGCCCAGACACTTTACGCACCTTCTCCTGAAGCCCTCCTGTGTTTAAAGCATGACTCAGGGTACAGCTTCACTGCCCCCTTATTAACTACCAACACCCACCAATCACGAGGCAGCCAGGGGGATGCCCTTTCACGGGGCCCCCTTTCTTGGGGCAGCATTCATGGCGAGGAAGAGACACAGAAAGGAAAACCAAGGGTGGGAAAGGAGATGGAGAAGGGAAAGGAATCGAGAGAAAAAGTAACAGGGCAGCTGCAAGAAGAGGCATGGAGGACAAAGGAGAGGAGAAAAGTATGCAAAAGGATTATGGGAAATCCAGAGTCAAGTCTGTATCAGCTGGGTCATCTTGCTCCTTAAGATCTAGATGAGATTGAGCCAGGATCCATTCAATGTCCTGTCCAGACTCCTGATCCCCTTTCTATGTCTTCAGGATATTCTATTTCAAATCAAACATAAGACTCAGTCCCTTGTTGCCACACACCAGTCACAACTCCAAAGGCCAGGCTGTTTCAAGTAGCAAAACTTTTATGAAGATCAAAGGTCCCTAAGGTAGGAGGTGTCTCAACGCAGCACAGAGAAAACTACGCCAAACCACACACCTGACCCTCTGATTCCTGGAAGTCCTCTCAGCCACGAGCGATTTCTCAAATGTCACAGGACTCCTTACAGACCAGTCTCCTCTCTCCCGTCCCTAACTGGGAGCTCAAAGGCAGAAGCAGAAGCAAATATATAGAAATTCGAATATGATAAAAATGCCTTTCAATTCCATGGGTGAAGAGTGGGTTGTATTATTAAATTACATCAAGACACTGGACAATCCATTTAGAAAAATAATAAAGTGAGATCTGTGTATTTCTATGTAAAGTTCTCATTGTAAAAAATAAAACTACTGATTGGAGGAATTAAAAACATTAAGACATAGTATGGAAAATATGTTCATATGTCCCAGGCTTGGAAAGACTTCAACAAATTGATATTCAGAAACCATTAAAGAAAAAGTTAACCAGATTAAAGACCCAAAAATTAAAATCCTGTATGACAAAAGAGGAAGAATGGGCCGGGAAAAAATATTTGCAACATAAATAAAAAGTTTAGTGTTAATACTCTCCTAATACTGAAGAAACTTATATCGGCTATTAAAAGATAAATAGCCCTCAAAAATAAGGATGAAGAATGTGAATACATAATTCACAATAGAGCAAATGCAAATGACCAATATATCTATAAAGACTTAAGTATCTATGTAGAATTAATTTTAGCAAAAAGATTGGAAGTTGAAACACATCTGAAGCTGGAGATGCTGTAGATAAACTAAACTCTCATCTGCTGTTTACCAAAGTGTAAGGCTGTTCGATATTTTGAAAGTCATTTGTCCAGTGTGTAACATGTGCATAGCATTAAACCCAGCAACCCTGCTCCTGAGAACTCTGGCCTCCTACAATAAGAGCAAGATTGTGGAAATAGACAAATGTAAAGAACTTTTTTTTAAATGTTTACTACAGACTTACTTATAAGAGGATAAAGTAAGAAAAAAGCTTAGCTCTCAATCAACATTGGTTACTTGAATGAACTGTGGTTCATCCAAAGTAAAGATCTGTGTGTGACTCCTGAAGAGACTGTCACACATTTGTGTGCAACGGCTGTACAAGGTCCATGCTGTATCGGCAGGAAGAAAACGTATAGAACGTGTTCAGTCTGATACTAGATTTCATTTTCATAAAATGAGTGCAAATTTACCTTAGCTGTATGCATATGTGTAAAATAATTGCAGAGAGAGAAAAACATGCATACAAAACTCCTAAGAACATTTCCCTAATGGGGTAGCACTAGATTAACAACAAAAAAAGGTTTGATGTCCTATTGTGTTTTTCAGTATATTTCGCAAAACAGTATAAAAAAGTGCAGCCTGGAAATGTTATTCTCAATTGTATACAGATGATTATCAAAGGGGACAGCTTTATAAAGCACACCATTATAAGAACTGACACAAAGCAATGTGTTGAACGGGGAAGGGTCCCAGATGTGACCAACGTGAATTACTAATCACGCTTCAGTGAGGAATCTGCTTTGCTTTCTCATCCACACCAGACTCTCCTGAGCTAAAGGAGGGGCAACTCACCTGTGACAAGGGCTTCCTCGGGTGGCAGTTGATGCCACCAATGAAGATCATGTTGGGCATCACAGGTCTGGGATAGTCCAAAACAAAGTCACTTCGTAACAACCAAACGGATGTGTGGCTGTAAAGGTCATATGCTGTGACAGTCGTCTGGAGGATCTCAGAGGCAGCTTCCAAACCAACTTGGAGAAGATAGTCACAAAATAAATGTTCCTCCCAGTGGAGAATGTGGTTCCACACTCTTTGCCTGAAAGTCATGGCATCTGAGAACTCGGAGAGAAATCTCGGAACATACGAGAGAGGACTGGGGCTCTGTGTACCTTCTTCAAGATAGTGGCAAAACACTCCCCTGCTGAAGACCACAGACGGGAGGGAAAAATACTTGGCTACAATTAAGCCACACATATCAAAAGGATCTAGAAACACCGCATCAAAAGAACTATCTTCTATGTATTTTATTAAATTTTTGTCATTGAACAAATTCCTACAATTGGAAAAAAAGTATTTAAATATATCGTTTGATGGATTCATTATTATGGAAAGCATATCTTGATCCCGAGTTTTCCATTGAGAGTCAGTGAAAATCTTGAACTGATGATTCAAATCCTCCAGAGTGTAAGATGTGGAATAAGTCTTGACAGTGTAATTGGATGATTTTCCCTGGCGCCAACTCACCTCTGGCCTGACCACAACCACCTCGTGCCCTCTGTGGGCGAGTTTCTCCACAACAGCATTCATAGTGAACCAGTGGCTCCCATCCATGGGTATGACCAGCAGCTTGCCTGCCTGGGCAAAGCCGGGTGCCAGCAGGAGACACATCCATAGAGGAAGGAGGCCCGTCCACACCGCAGGAGCCATTGGGTAGCAGCAGCCCGGAGCAGCCCAGCGGCCCAGATTCCAAGCTCGTGTGATACAGTTGGCGGAAGTACAGGCACTAAACCTGCCCGAACGGAGGGCGTGTATTCATATATTCATTATGAAGCCCATACACTCATTGCCAATGATTTACTCGTGAGAAGATATCGTATGATAGGTGCTTTCCCAGTTCATTAGGCAATAATTTCAGATGCTGAGTACTCAGGTCAAAAAGGAGGACATTGTACTCTGTACTGCGATGCCAGTTTGACACGGAGAATCATTAGGCAATAATTTCAGATGCTGAGTACTCAGGTCAAAAAGAAAGTACATACATTTCAATAAAGCTGGTAATTTGGGAATTTGTCCCAAAGGAACAATTGGATTTTATCCTCAGACTATCAAAGTCTCTCTGCCCAGAAGAAGTTGACATCTGAGGTTCCAAGGCAAGTCTGGCAGTCCCTTGCCTCGGCCCTCTGGCAGTGGCACTATATTCTACAGGCGTCTCCGCAGTGCCCACTCATTTCCCTACCCTCCGAGGCCTCCTTACGGTTTTATAGAAAAATGACAAACTGTGTTTTGCAAATCTTGCTGTAAATCAAATCCATTCTAAAATTCAAATTTTACTTTTGAAAAAAATGAAATACTGGGAGAAAATGTTTATGGTGCATATATTATGTCCAAAATATAAAGAATTCTCAAAATTCAATAATGTCAATAAAACAAACACCCCCCCCCCTTCCAACTTTTAAACATGGGCAATACTTTGAGCTGGTATTTTACCGAAGAGAAATATAGAGATGGCAAAGACATAAAATGATGCTCAACATTGTAAGTCATTAAGGAAATCAAATTAAAACCACACGTTAATTTACATACCTATTAGAATGGCAAAAATTAAGAAGACTGATCATACCAAGCGTTCGCGAGGGCACAGCTGGGGGGATCGTACAATGGTCTGGAGGTTTTTTTTAAAACATAAACATGTACCTATCATACATGCGAGGCATTCCATTCCTAGGTATTTACTCAGGAGAAAAAGAAGCATAATTCTTGTATTGGTCATTTCTTTTTTTTTACATTATGATGTTTCCTTGCCTTAGAAAACCTCTGGCTGGGGAAAGACTGCCCCCCTCAGGCGACCCCATATTACACACAGCAAAGGGCCCGGCACAGCGCATGCCTCCGACAGGCAAACTACCCAGTCTGAACACACTGGGGGCCTGAACCATCCCAGGGCCAGGGACCAGGCAAGTAGGGGACACCCATATAGCTGACAGCCTGCTAAAATATTCTCACTAGCAGCCCTAAGCTGTCTGTCCTGCCCTGCCCTGCCTTTTCACAGAACTCCAATCAAGGCCTGGCCCAGGCTCCTTCTGCCTTCTGACCAGTCCCGGTGCTGCCCCTTCTGGCCCTGCTTGGCGTGTCATCCCTCGTGTCCAGGGCCTGTGACTCTAACAAACTTTGTCATCCTGAGCCTCTCCTGTGTCTCCTCTTCTGGCCACACCTAACAGACACCACATAAACAAATACAGACTAATTCAGTACAAAAACTTGTGTGTGACCATCCATAGCAACTTGATTTGAAATATAAAAAGCTGGAAACAGTACCAATATCCATCCACAGGTGAGTGGGTAAACAAGCTGTGGATTACCCATACAGTTGAGTACTTCTCAGCTATAAAAGGAGTGAACTTCTGATACATGAACAGCAAGGATGAATTTCAGCATAATTCTGCAGAATAAACTACGCCAGACAGAAGAGTCCATACTGTGTAATTCCAGTGTTGTATTTCTTTTCCTTTCTCTCTCTCTTTTTAAATGCTGATTCCAACTCCTCTCAATAAATTTGACAACCCACTAATAAAACATGACCTTCAGTCTGAAAGGTTCTTGTTTATGGCATTTGAGTACAGACTGCATAACAAATAGATTAAGTAACACAGCACAGATAAAGAAATAAAACTACCAATAAAACTGCAAGTTTTTCAGGCCAGGGTCATGGTTTCGCAAAATCCCAGTTTTTGCAGAAGGAATCATGAACCTTGAAAGAGTTGGTCCCAAACTATTACTGCTTGCGGGGGTGGGGCCCACAGGCATCTGGGGGATCACTTGAGATTTCCAGCTCGGGTGGGCCTATGTGGATGGTGTCGTTCTATTTAATGCAGAAGGCCCCACGTTATTTAAACTTGTAGCGAAAAAATGTTTTACAAGACTACTTAAAATTAAGAATGGTTTTGTACCCATCCATCACCTGGACCTGCTTTCTTGTCAACTCGGCCATTATTTAACCACCTCGGAAATATGCTGCTTCTTCTGTGGACATCCCAGACTTTTGGGGAGCTCTTTCCTATAACAACTCAAAAACTGCTCCCCTGGTCCTAATTTATTTGTTCTGACCATACAGATCACACTCTAATAGCATTCGAATGGTACCTCACTAGCTTCTAAAAGTTAGTATATGCAAAACACAACTCTTGCGTCCCCACCTGAGCTTTCCTCCTCTCCCAGGATGGCTCGGTAAATTGTATGTGCAGCTACCTGGTATTTCAAGTCACAAAGATGCAAGGCGTCACTCGCCCACGGCCCCTCCAGTCACGCGGTGTCGGTCGGGGGTCCATCAGAGGGGGGGAACCACCAGAGATACCAATATTGAGGGGTTTATCATAGGGACTTGCCCCGTGTGGGAGCTGGTTGAACAGATCTCTGTAAACAGTCTTTGCCTCTGCTGCTAGAGCGTAAGGACACCAGGGTGGGTCTCCTGGAAGGGTGGATGGGTGTGCAGAAGGGAAGAGGTGAACGAGCTTGGACCCACTGGGATGAAGTGGACGCACAAGAAGGGACTAGTACTTTGGCGTGTTCTTACTACCTCCAACCTTGATGACGCGGGGGTCCTGCGGGAGAAGCTGGTGCTCTTCCTCACAGAGCTGAACAAACACCTGCCCCAGGGGTGGGAGAAGCTGGAGGAGGAGCCAGGGAAAGCAAGTGCGGTGGCAGGTCCAGCTGCTGCTTCATGTCAAGGAGGTGAGTCTGCAGAGGGGTGCCTGTCTCAAACTTCTGTGTGTAAGAAAACAAAAATGGTTCCTGCAATTTCAGGCAAACAGGTCTCTGTGACTAACCCTAATCAGAAACTTCCAGGGAAAGGCACTCTGGGAAACAAAATTCAGCTTAGTCCAGTTGACACAAAGCCACTACATGATAAAATCCTGTCCTGTCTTCAAAATAGATCTCACATCCGCCCGTATCTCTATTGCCACTGAAATCATTCCACCATCATCTCTTCTTTGGACTCCAAGAACAGCCTCCTAAACTGGTCTTTCTGCTTTTACTGTTGCCCTGCAGACAGAAGCCAGAGAGGTCTGTTCAGACGTCAGCCACTATGCTATCTTTCCATAACACCACTGAATGGCTTCCCATTGCAATCAGAAAAATATCCTCACCTTGGCCAAAAAGTGGGTGAATCCAGCTCCCATGCACCTCTTTAACCAACCTCCATTGTTTTCCCCACTCATTCAAGGCCTCCTTCCTGCATCTGGAACAGGACAGTTTCTTTCCCACCTCAGGACCTTTGTTTGCTGTTCTCTCAGCCTGGAGGGGTCTCTCCTGGACTCTTCATATGCCTCCTCTTTAGGAAGTTCTTCTCTAAGAAGTCTGCTCGGAGGCCAGCATCGGAACAGCCTCACCCCCATTTACTGTCACATTCCTCTTCTATTTCCCTCAAGTTACTTATTACTATGGCTACCATCTAGCCTTTTCTTACTTTACTCCACTACAAAGCTAGCTCCATGAATTTAGAGACCTATATCAGTCAGATTAATATTAAATCTCAAGCTTCTAGCCCTGTGCCTGCTATTTAGTAGACACTCATTAAATAAATAAAAATGTTTATTAAATGTTCATTAATGAATAAATGAAAAAATAAAAAGCAACTCATCACTCTTTTTTTTTTTTTTTTATCCTCACCTGAGGACATTTTTCCATTTTCTGTTCAGATAGAGTGGGAGGGAGGGGGAGAGAGAGAGAGAGAGAGAGAGAGAGAAAGAAAAACATCTGTGTGAGAGGGACACATCGAGTGGCTGCCACCAGCACGACCCAGCCAGGACCGGGGACAAACTGCAACTGAGGTACATGCCCTTAGCAGGAACCGAACCCAGGTATCTTTGGACCGCAGGCCGACGCTCTAACCGCTGAGCCAAACCGGCCAGGGCAACTCATCACTTCTTCCAGGGAACTACTGAACCTAGATGACTGATCCAGCCCTTCCTTGATCTTTTCCTTTTACGAAGCCGATTTTGCATCTGGCTTCTCCTGATTCTTGTCATGGCCACTCTCGGGAATTTCCAGGGCAGATGCACTCATTTCTGAGACATCTCAGGCTCCATGCCAACAATCGTTCTGGTTTTAGCAGCCCAGGTCCTGGTGGAGCTAACCTTCCGGTGCTCGTTCTTAATCAGGGAACGGAAGTCCGAGGAATATCTGCTATTTGGCGGAGGGGGATGAAGCATAGTTACAAGAAGAAGCAAAGGGCAGAAAGAGGAGCAGCAGGCTAGCATGCCATGGAGCCAGGGAGGAGAGTCATGAAGAAGAGGCTGCCAAGGGGCAACGGGCCAAGTCAAGACTGATGAGAACTAAGAACAGACTATTCGCACTGCTATTTCCTACTCTAGCCCTTTGGCCTCCTAGCTGGTCCACCGCCTCCGGTTCTTTCCCTCCCAACACCTCTGAACATTCCAGCCACAGGAGTCTCCCTCAAGTGTTCCATCTCTAAATGCTTCCGGTTGGCGTTGGCTGGGCTCCTGCCTTGCAGCTGTTCTCAATGTCTCCAGCCTTTAGCTGAAGTCCAAAAGGTTTTCTCTGCCTCTCTCATTCATTCCGGGATGGAGGCTAGGGTGGATCGGGAGATGCCAGGAGTGGACTCTACATACATAAGGTATTGAAACAGTCCCCTAAAGGAAGTCAAGTCCTCAAGAGAGGATGAGTTTGAGGTATCCTTAGCATATTCTTGTGCATGCTACTTAGAGTTGGTGCAGACAAAACACTGAGGATATTGGAAAGGTTCCAGGTTACGTGGAACATTTTTTACACTGGAAAATGTCTTTGAAAGTGCATGGCCAAGTTGACGCCCTACGCAAATGTTTCCGTCGTTTAGGTAACTTGCGAATTAGCCAATCTTACAAAAGACAAGTGATCTTTGTGTACCCTAGTGCAACTAGTGTGGGTTGCATACAGCCAGAAGTATCCACCCTAAATGTGAGTGAAAGAGTGGCCGGCTGATCGAGAGGACCCGCGGACCCGCGACCCCAGGAGCTGACTGGGAAGCAAGCACGCCCTTTCCACCCCGACTACCGAATCTCCTGGCAAGCGAACTACATTGCCCATAGGGCCGCGCGCCGCAGGCCGGCGCCCCCGCGGGGCATCCTGGGACGAGTAGTCCACGTGTTCCCTCAATCGCTCCCGCTCAGGGGCTGCGGGAGACGCGCCTGCGCCAACATGGCGGTGGCTGCTTGCGGCGCGTCCGTTCGCCTCGAGTGTTGGCCGGGGTGGGGGTCTGGGCTTTAGGCAGTAAGTGGAGCTGGCGGCCGGGTTCTCGGGAGGGACGTGGGAGGCGTCGGGAGCGTGTGGGCGGCCCGGCCTGAGGCGGGGGAGGCGGGGGGCTGCCCGGCCGGCCCTGGACGCGGAGTTCTGCGTCGGGGCCGTGTCGTCGGCCGCCGGACCTCTGCCTCCTCGCGCCCCTGGGCCCCGGGCGACTGGGAGGGCTTGAGGGCCTGGCCTGGGCCCGGAGTGGGAGAGGCAGGGGTCCGGACCGCGAAGTCCGGGTCGGACTTTCGGGATCCATTTCTTGTCCTTTTCGTCCGAGGAAAGCGAGGATAAGGGAAATAATGGCACCTCGGCGTTTCCTGTCCCTTCGGAGCTGTGCGGGGGCGGCTCCTTTCTCGGCCCCAGGGGCCCCTCCGCCGCCTCAAGGGAGGTCCCGGCCGCAGATCAGAGGGCCGTGCGCTCAGTAGTTGAGCGGCAGTGGACCTCCTCGGACGCTCCAGCTTTGGGGCCCAGCACGTAGCAGCTGTAAAGATTCATTGGCTCCGTTTAATTCAGTTCAGTGTCATCATCTGGCACAGGGAGTGCGCGCAGCCGAGATTGGAGGAAGCGATGGGCGGTCCCCAGCCCCGGCGGCTCACAGGATCGCAGATGGCCTTCGCCGCCCCAGCAGGAGACTAGGTGTGGGGTGCGTTTTCGTGTTTCCCTTTGGCAGTGCCAGTGTGCCTTTCTAAAAACAGCTGTCGCTCCGTGTGTCGCTCCGTGTGGGCCAAGCCCTGGGCGCTGCGGAGTACCCTTCTTTAATTAGGTCACCTGGTTGTTTACATGACAGTGCGTGATAGGTGGTGTCCCGCTTCAGCGATAAGGAACACGGGTGAAGTGACTTGCCCAGGGTTACTGAGGTAGGGTGTAGCAGGATGAAAAAGTCAGGTCCTGCCCTGGCCCGTGGCTCAGTGGTTAGAGCGTCGGCCCCGCGCCACAGGGTCGGTGGTTCTGGTCACAGTCAAGGGCATGTACCTGGGCTGCAGGTTGAATACCCCGCCCCAGCGCGGGAGGCAACCGCTGCGTGTGTGTCTGTGACCTCGGTGTTTCTCTCTCCCGCTTCCCTCCAGCCCACCCACTCTCTCTGAAAATTTATGAAATAAACATATCCTTGGGTGAGGATTAAAAAAAAAAAAAAATCCAGGTCCGGATGCCTCCAAACCCCACCATATGTACTTTCTCGGTCCTTGGGAGGACGCTCAATTCAGAGCCACACCAGCAGGCAGCCATGTGTACTTGCTAAGGAACGACTCAAAACAGATACTCCCAAGTATAAGATAGGGAGGTGTGGGGAAAGTTTGTTGTATAAATGAGAGCATTTTATAACATGTCATATTTTTTTAAAGGTAGTATTTAGTTTCACAATGTTTGGGGACTTATTTGAAGAGGACTATTCCAGTGTACCAAGTAATCAGTATGGAAAAGGGAGGAAATTAAAGACCAAAACAGTGGAGCCACCTGCTCCTAGAGAATTCACCAATTTAAGTGGAATCAGAAATCAGGGTGGAACCTGTTACCTCAATTCTCTGCTTCAGACGCTTCATTTTACACCTGAGTTCAGAGGTACGCTACATTGCATGCATTTGATTAGTAATGTTTCCTCATCTCTACATGTAATTAATTATGCAAGATCACAAAGAGACGGTATCTTAAAGGTGTATTCGCAGCATGTGTTTATTAATGTAATTCGTAAAGTGGTAATGTGAAGCTTAAATTATCTTAAGTATATGCTATGTAATCAGTAATGTTTAGTAACAAAATAAAAAAGGCATCATATTTTATTTAATTCTTATCATTTAAAAGGCAACATAAAGACAATTTTTTCATGAGTGCTGGACTTCACTATTGTTACACTGTATATCTGAGTTTAAAATTTTTTTCCAACAACAAAAAAAACCCTGGCTGGTTTGGCTCAGCGGTTAGAGCATCGGCCTGTGGACCAGAGAGTCCCGTGTTCGGATCCCACTAGGGGCATGTACCCCCCCAAAAAATTTTTTTCCAAAATAATAAACCTGGAAGCCAGAGTTGTGCAAAGCAGTATATCCTGCCTCTTGGAATGGGGAGAGGGTGTCACATTATTTATACAGTCAGCAATTGCAGTTCTGAAATTCAGAGAACTGGGAGTGTAATGTTAACTCTTCATATTTCCTTTCTAAAATCTGGAAATAGTGGATTCCAAAGACCCAAGATGTTATAGACAAAGGGATTATATGCAAGAACAAAAACCCACTCAAATTAGCTCAATTTAAAAGGGAATTTACTGTAAGAATATAGGGAAATCTCCCAGAAACGACCTACAGGAAGCCAACCCGACCTTATTGGACCCGTACTTTCTTGCTCCTGATTCTCTCTACATGTTTGCAAACTAGCTTCCTCCACAGGAGTCTTCGTCTCCATGTTGTCTGGATTTCAGTGTACATAGTACTTTGCCTTCACATGGCCCTGATTGGGGCCCCCAGCTCCGCATGGTTTTGTAGCTCAGCTCTGCACAGTGTCTCCATATTCTGAGGACTGACATCTTGGTTCATCCTGTGTCGACTGCCACATCCCCCTTCCTACCACTGCACATTTATTAAATCTTTGTGACATTATCTGTTGCTTCTAAGCTTAGGAAGACTCCCTGCCTCCAGAGATTTAGTAAATATTTGCCATTATCCCCTTCCCAGGGCCATTCTAATGCATTGGACTGCATGTGGGATTTAAGAGTGGGGCCTCTTGTTCTTGACTCCGTCCTCTCCATAAAAATATCTCCTTGATGCATTCAGTGATTTTCAGCATGAGTAAGCACATTCCTAGGGGGGTTAGAACTCTTTCAAGTTTTAATACAGTTGAAATTAAAGGGCAACTTGAAGTACAAAAGTAGCCTTAAAAAGAAACTGGGGCAAGTGTTTGGCGTGGGGGCAGGTCATGGTGAGTACCAGTAAGCAAGAATAGGGCTGAGAGTCACGGGACACCTTCCTCTCTAGCAAAGAGATCACCAGCCAAGCACGTGGGTTGACCTTAGTGTGGACTGTGTACTCCTTTGTAAGGCTCAGCATTGATCCTGGTGCTTACTGAAGGGGAGGTATATTTAGGAAAGAATAAGGGCGGGGAGAAAAATCTTGGAGCTTTTTTGGAATCATATTTCTTGCAGTGGAGCTAATGTGGGTTCCACTGTACTCTGTAGCTGAGCAGTGGGAGATGGTTGGGAAAGTCCTTGTCATACCTTTTCTCCAGTTCCTCCCAGGAACTCATTCATAACAGAAGTCACTAGGCAGCAGTGGTTGCCAGTGGGAGACAACACCCACCCCATCCCTTATCCCTGGAGTATAGCAACGTTCCCTCGTAGGAGTTCCTCCCTGGGTTTGAACACACACTTCCCAAAGACCCACATATTCCCCCATTGGGTGGCATAGCTAGATGCTGTATTATAAAAAACTTCTGGAGACTGGCACTGGATTACCAGCTTATTTTCCCAAGTAAGACCACTGCCACCTGTTATCACTCTCAGCACAGGAAATATATTTACATACCCAGAGAAGGAAGGGCATGATGTTAGAGTTAAAGGTGGTCCTTCTCAGGAAAGGATGGTGTGCTACTGATCGTATATGACACTATTACATATTTGTTACATTTCCTGATAGTCCTTAGGTGGCTCTGAGGGAGGACCCACTGCCAGAGGCAGGAGGAAGCCATCACAGATTCCTGATGTTACTGTTCATAGTTTTATATGCATAATTTTCCTGCTATAGATCTTTCATGCTGAAACCTTAGCATGCCCTTTGTAGTCAGTGATTAAAAATAATGTTACCAGAAAGTGAAATGTGTGGAGTAAGTGTGTAAATATTGCCACAGTCACATTTCTGAATCATTAACTGATGTTGCTTACTTGGTTTTCTGAAATGAAACAATGTCATTTACATCTCTGATTCTTCTTTTTTGTTTAGAAGCTTTATTTTCTCTTGGCCCAGAAGAACTCGGTTCTTTAGAGGAGAAGGATAATCCTGATGCAAAGGTATTAAACCTACGATTTACAGGGGTGTGGTGTGGTGTGGTGTGGTGTGGTGTGGTGGTGTGTGTGTGTAGTATTGAGAGAATGTTTTTAAGGAAGGAATTAAGTTTCTTACAGAAATCAATAATTTTATCAATTACCAAATATGATTCTTATTTTCTGAAAGTGACTTGGCTTGCCCTGGCCAGTTTGGCTCAGCAGTTGGGAGCGTCGGCCTGCAGACCAGAGAGTCCCAGGTTCAGTTCCCGCTAGGGGCACGTACCAAAATAATAATAATAATAATAAGTAAATAAAATAAAAATGAAAGTGACTTGGCTTATACCCTACTGATGATGGAATGTTCCTTCCAAAAAGACAATTACTTTTCCAAATGTAATGTTGCTGCTGCTTTGTAAACATACCTCACTCTACTGTGTTTATTCTTTCTTTTGGTGAAGGAAATATTTGCAAATGGTCCACACTAGTCTAACAAACTACTTAATGCCCTTATTTGTAACCATATAGTGGAAACCAGTATTCTTTTAGTTTGGTATTCTGGAAATAAATTGTGTGAGGAGTTGGTTTATCATAAGTGCAGATCTAATCATGTTCCTCCCATGCTTACATGTCATTCAGAAGTTGGTCGCTAAAATCGGTACTTCTTATGAGGAATCTTTCATGATCTAGCCCAGTGCTTCTCAGACCGCTTATGTGGCAAAGGGCCAGTTTGTGTGTGTTTTTTAATTCCCCATTTGTTGCAGATCATACTTCTATAGGACATAGTAAAGATGTTGTGGCAATGCCAAATCGCCATAACAGTTTCTAATGGCTGAGTCTCACTTTAGATGCTTACATGTGGTCTGCACACCAGGCTCTTAGCAGCATTCTGTCAGCCTGGCCCTCTGCACCCAAATAAGGCAGGAGCGAGCTTGGAGCCTTCGGGAAGAAACTGAGGCAGGGTGCAGCCCACCCACGACTGGGAAATTCCTCATGGGAGTATGCCTGTCCCTGAAATATTTTAGAGAAAGAATGAACGATTAGAGACTTAAATTATTATCAGTCTGTAATCAGTTGCGTAGTTTATTAAGGCCTCTTTGGGTTTTAATATTGATTTGAACTATGTCAAGGTAGAAAACTCCAGATAGCTAAAACATTTTGGATTGAATTTCAAAGAAAGATGAATCTTAGCTGGTTCACCCTTTGCAATAAGATACTTGTAAACTTTCTTCTAGGTGAACTGAGTGAACTAGGATGTAGAAGAAAGCTAGTATGGAGTTCTCTTTAAAAGCCCCAACTCACATTGAAAAGACTCATTTAGAAATGCATTTGTTCTCGTTCAGGTTCGAATCATACCTTTACAGTTACAGCGGCTGTTTGCTCAGCTCCTGCTCTTAGACCAGGAAGCTGCCTCCACATCGGACCTCACGGACAGCTTTGGGTGGACGAGCAATGAGGTACGAAGGTCCGCACGGCCAGCGCAAAGAGTAACACTGGGCTAATAAGCTGTCCAACTGCTTTAATTTTGTTTTAGCATCTCAAGATATTATTTTAATATTTACTTCTCTCATTTTAAATAATTACAAGCCAGAAATAATTTTTGGACTCTTGCCATTTGCAGGATTTTATGAACGGTTGTGATTTGGAGGTGGGGAGACGGTTGTGGATACAGGGAGCAGTATAAGACCTGGTTTTTACAATTTATACCTTGAGAATCTTAATATGGACTAGTTGAGGTACAATACCTATTACATGGAAATTACCATTTATATAGCACAAAAAGCTGCCCAACAATAATGCCATCTGCTTCTCGACATGCTTTTGTGTTTGAATCTGGGTGTTCTGATTTGAACATTTGCTTCAAGCAAAACTATGAAACCATCCTTGGCAGGCCTTTTCATCTTCCCTGTCCTGCCTTTCTCCTGACTCTGTTGTCTTCCTGTGTCCTATTGTAAGATTTGCTCTCCTATTTCTCTTTGCATCCCTATAGGTTATTGCACTGTATACCAACACGAAACATTTGTCAGCAACAAGTAAAAGTGCTTGTTGTCAATAGCTGTTAGCTGTAAAAAATCAAACAAAACCAAGACTACTATTTTTTTTATGGAATAGATGTGTTCTTGGAAAGGCACGGATATGGGAGACTGTCAGAATTTAAAGAGGCAGTCATCAGAATAATGTTATGTTGCCTTCAACAACAAACTCTGAACTGTGGTCTTCTAATAGGAACACTCCTTAACTAGACAGTGCTGTGAAGTCAAAGAAGTAGGGCTTGAGCTTTGAAGTAAATGGGGTAATAATACTTTCCCTAAACAGTATGTTAAATGTTTGGTGTAGGGCAGGTGCTTAGGGGTAATTTCTTTTTCTTTCCTTGTTTTAAAAATAACCGCTTTATGGAGATATAATTCACATGCCATTAGATTTACTCTTTTAGAGGGTACAATTCAGTGGGTTTTTTGTTTTGTTTTTAAGTACATTTACAGAGTTGTACAACCATCAGCACAATCCATTTTAGAGCCTTTTCCCCACCCCATCCCCATCAGCGGTCCCCATCCCCTGACTCCTTTCCTCAGCCCCTGGCAACCACTAATCTGCTTTTTATCTCTGTGGATTTGCCTTTTCTGCACATTTCACAGAAACGGAATCATACAGTATAAATCAGCCCTTCATTCCTTTTTAGTGCCAAGCAATATTCTATTGGGTAGATACGCTACGTGTTTTTTGTTTGTTTTTTAATCTAGTCATCAGTTGATACATTTCTCTTTGTTTTGAATAATGAGCTTCCACTAATTTTCTGGTTTAATGCTTAAAGCTGTGAAAACCTTACTGATTTCTAAATAAAGTCTTTCAGGAAACCCTGTGGGACTGGACCTCCAGTGGCCGACTAGGGTCTTGGCAAACCTAGAAACAGCTTGCAAACTTCCACAAGCTCTCTGTCCTGTCAGGGCCAGTAACACTGAAGAAATGTATGTCCGCTAGTGTCTTGTGTGTTAAAAAAGAAAGAGAGAAAGAGAAAGAAAGAGATCCTGAGTTCCACATCCTGCTCCAGCTTTTATCTACTTTGTCAGCCTCTCTTCACGTGAAACTTTAAAATTGTCCTTCACTGCCTCCCCTGCACCTTCCATTTGTTCCTCCACCTCCTTTGTACCTTGCTTATCTAAGCCACTCGTGACATCCTGCGCCAAGTCCGGGAGGCACTTGCTCTCAGTGGGCTCTTAGTAGCGCTCACTGCTCCTTGAGGCACCAGCGCTGTGTTTCCCATGACGTCACTCTCCTACCCCCCCCACCCCCCCTGCTGCTCTCTCAGGCTCCTGTGCTGCTCGTCCCCTCTTCTCTACCCGAAGTGTTGATGCACCCCTTGGCTTTGGTTTATAGGTTGTTCTGAAGGAGCAGTTCAGTCTATTTATACACGGGGGCATGACTCAGAGTAGATTAAAGCAAGTCCCTTAGAGTCTTAGAAGCTTCGTGTTGTTTTAGTTGATCTGTATGTCCAAGCAGTAAATTCTAGTTCTTTTCCAACGCTGACGCCTCTGTGCTCACCATCCCCCTGACCTGAGCTAGGTGTCGCTGTGCGGCTGGTGGAGGCTGCTCTGTGCTGTTGTGTTCCTCCTCCACTCCTTCCTGGCCACGCATGTGGCTGCCTGCGAGAATAAATGCACTTTTCTGTTTTCGAGTGAGTTAGGTTACATGTACACACTGAACACCACCTGTTCATATTTTTGTTTTGTAATAAAAATAAAAATAGGTGGTTATCTCTTAACCTGTTCTCAACTCATTTAGATTAGTCATCTTTATATTTGATCGAGGCTTATCTTTGGATTTCTTGATACATCTTGTATTTTTTTAAACTAATATCACTTTAAAAATCTGTTTTAAAAAAAACTGAAGCACAAAATCACATTTAAAAGTTACCTGTTTTATAGGAAATGAGGCAACATGATGTGCAGGAACTGAATCGAATTCTCTTTAGTGCTTTGGAAACTTCTTTAGTCGGCACCTCCGGCCATGACCTCATCAATCGTCTGTATCACGGAACCATTGTTAACCACATTGTTTGTAAAGAATGTAAGAATGTCAGTGAAAAGCAGGTGAATATACAAGAGTATTTTATTAATAAGTTACATTGTTAAGAATAATACATGCCATTAAATCTATGGTACTGCACAAGGATCAACGTGTTGATTACTAGAAATCACTGGATTGGTATTTTTCTTTTACTCTACCTACACCTAAGTCATACGTTTATAATCCAGATTTCTCTATGTAAACTGACAGAAGCAACTATCTTACAAGATAGTTTTTATGTTTTATTCAGTAGTATTTAGAAAATCGAGTTGGGGTGTTTACAAGTAGAGGTCTGTGGCCTCATGAGGACAGAAACTTCATCATGGTTGGTGGTAGGTTATTATCAAGTTAATTAGAGAAGTAATAAAAATAGAGAATTAACAAACATCTGTATTTAAATGTTGGATTAGTTTATTAATGTCTTTGAGAAAGTTCATTTGTATGTGTGTGCTTATATTTAAATATTTAAATGTATGTTTATTATATATTAAGTATATACATATAAAGCCATTATAAGCGTGTTTAAACTAGTGTAACCTTCAATTCGTTGTCACGACAGATTGCCCATTTAATCTGATTGGAAATTTGCTCATGTAACCATAGTAATCACAGCTTGCTCCACCAGTCTTAGATAGCAAGTTATTTCATCTGAACAGTTGTCCTTTAATAAACATCTTTTGTTATGGCAAGAGTTACAGAAAGTTTCTGTATTTGATAGTAGGAGTAAAAAATAAAATGCCATTTTCTAAATGTTGCATTAATTGCTTTTTGGGAATGGATTTTTTTTCTCTTCTTTTTCTTTTTCTTTTTTTTTTTTTTGAGTATTGGGGATAAAAGATACTTTTTAACTCTTATTGTCTATACTAATAAGTTTGCCCAGCCTAATTTGGAAATATTAAGATGTTTTGTGTCTTTGAACTACTCTATTGTATGATGAGTTAACAGTAATAATAAATCACAAACTAATTTCAAACCATATTATAAAGGCACATGACAAATTACAGAAATTAACTTTTCACATACATATGTTGTAAACTATATATAAGTGTTACTTTTATTATTTTAGATTTCCACCATGAACTGATTAGTACTGTTATTTTGCAGTTTCCATAAGCTCGTTAATGCAATTAAAACTAAATATTCTTTAAAGTTGTCAGATTTTAAGTGATTATTACTAGAAACATGTTGTAACTCAAATGTAGTTACAGTAGAATTTATAGACTCCCGTTTTACAAAATACCCTCCTCTTAATTTTAGTTAGAAAACCTTTTTATCCTGGCTCAAAATAATTGTTTTGTATAACTTCTCAGTATGTCTTAAACTAGCCCTGGCAGAAGATGAGGAAGCAGAGTTTCCATTCAAGTCTTGAGCCCTGCCCTTGGTGTTCTAGTCTAGAGACTCAGACAGCACCAGTGAGCCCTGCATGTACACACGTCTCAATTCAGATGTGTTCAGCTGTTTGTTTTAGCTCCTGATAAAGTACGTTTTATTGTATGTATAGTAAATTCATAAACTAGTTCCTGATATATTTTGAGCTCAGTTACAGTTTGTTTTAGAAAAGCTAATTTGGTGGTGTGAATTTCACAGTATCTGATCAGCAGGGGATCTGTTCCTTTATATTTACAGTATTTTAGGAAAAGTATATCTGATGATTCCCAATATGTATATGAGTTGGTAATGTGTATGTGATCCTCTGTGAAATTGTTTTTTCAGTAGTATATGTATGTGTATTTCAGGAAGACTTCTTAGATCTAACAGTAGCGGTCAAAAATGTATCTGGTTTGGAAGATGCACTCTGGAACATGTATGTAGAAGAGGAAGTATTTGACTGTGACAACTTATACCACTGTGGAACTTGTGACAGGCTGGTGAAAGCAGCAAAGGTAATATAGACATGGCCTTTTTAGGGGGCCCGCCTAGCACTTCCACAGGAAGGTCTATCAAGTGAAGTTGGCTTATTTGAAACAGTCTAGAAGATACACACGAAGGCCTTAACACTAATTGTCGAAACACATTTACGTGATACATCTTTATTTTAATTTTTTTATAGTAAAGGACTTTTTAAAGCTTTCAACCCAGTAGTTCTCTTGACTTCTTTTTTTCCCCCAGGAAAATTTATTTGTGCCTCAGTGTTTCTTAAATAGACCTTTTGTTGATAAACTCCCTCCATCCCTGCTTTTTGCAAAGTACCATTATGAAGAAAGAAATATGTTTTTATTTCTGCGAACCAAGAAGCTTGTGGAGATTTCCTTTCTTTGTCTCCTACTCTGAGACTAGATGGCGGTCTTCACTTCCTGCACAGGCAGTTATTCTAGTATCGATACGTGTGTAATCTCCTCCCTGACTCGAGCAGATCAGTATGCCCTTGCTTCTTCCTGCCGTTGGAGCAGGCAGTACTACTTAACTTGCTAATTAAAGGGCTTGACAGAGTACTTCTGGGTTTCTTTTTGTGAAGCAAAGCACAATATGGGAGGGAAGGGAGGGCAAGATGTGAGCAATGATTTTTCCTGCAGGCTGGCATCAACTTCCCTGCTGTCGTTATCTGCAGTGCTCACTCGTTACTGCTGGTGGATGGTGGCATAGGCTCTTCCTAGCATGGTGGACTTGAGACCAGTCAGTCAGGGGTTATTGAGCGCTCACTGAAAGAACCACTACAAAGGACATATCATGCAGTTATCCTGTCATAGCAGGATAGAGAGATAATTGCCACAGTTGACAATTACTGAATTTTCTAACAAAACGAGGAGTAATTTAGATAACACGTGATATTCATTTGGATCCTGTTGATTGTAGGTGAAAATGTAATAAAAACAATAGACCCCATGCCTTTAGCTTTCACAATAGGATTTGAAACCAGGGTAAATATCATAGCGTTTAGTCCTTATTTCCATCCAGCCTTTGCCCCTTTAGGAAACCCAAATAGAGAAGTATATTTTTTGCATATTTACCTTTGGCATTACAGCTACAATCTAATAAAAGAAATACAAAATTCAGAGGATAAAAAGTTTTAAAAAGATACTTAAATACATTCTTAGTTTTAGTTGGACTTAATTTGCACATTAGTAAAACTAAAACGAACCTTTTGCTAAACCAAAGCAGTTTTTTTGTGCACCTTTTATATCGTTGATTTAATTCTTTTTCAGTGGAAATGTTTTGATCTTGATACTTTTAAAATTACATTCTATTGTAGTTGCATTAGATTTATTGCATTCTAAACTTAGGTTTAGTTGTACTACCTAAATTAATGCAGGTTTTCTTGTTTTGAGCAGTCTTTCTTTTCTCAGCCACATTGTAGTTGAGTTAGTTTTTTTTTTAGATGTATTTTTTAGCTTGTTTGAAAATCTGCCACGTGATATATCATTTAACCTTTTTTTATTATCCACTGGATTTGTAGGGTTGTTTTAAATATATTTTTAGGAATGTTAGATATTTATCATTTTGGATAATTTTATATAGGGGGAAGGGTTTTTTTTGCCCCTCACATGCCATTAGTACAAGGGGATTGGGAAAAGCTGATGACTTTTTTAAAAATTTATTTTAGAGAGAGAGGAGAAGGGAAGGAGGGAGAGAGAGAAAAAGAGATACTGATTTGTTGTTCCACTTATTTATGCATTCATTGGTTGCCTCTTGTATATGCCCTGACCAGGGACAGGATCTGCAACCTTGGCATATTAGGATGATGCTCTAACCACCTGAGCTACCAGGTCAGGGCTAAAACCTGATGACTTCTAAATAAAAAGCAGCTTGGCCTGGCTGGTGTGGCTCAGTGGATTAAGTATCATCCCATGGACTGAGAGGTCCCTGATTGATTCCCCATCAGGGCAAATGCTTGGGTTGTGGGCTTGATCCCCAGTAGGGGGCATACAGGAGGCAGCCAATAAATGTTTCTATCTCTCCCTTCCTCTCTAAAAAAATCAATAAAAAATTTGTTTAAATGAAAAGCAGCTTAATTATGTGTTTTGTTTTAAAACATAAAAAATTTTTTAAATCTTACATGCATTAAAAATAGTAACAATCATTGGATCTTAATATTTGGGGAGTTAGAGCACTTTTGAAAGTCTAATGAAAGCTATGGATCTTCTCCTGAGAAAAATACATAAGCATGTACAATTTATTTTTTAATCCTCACCCAAGGATATTTTTCTATTTATCTTCAGATAGAGTGGGAGGGAGGGAGAGAAACAGAAGCATCAACATGAGAGGGACACATCGACTGGTTGCCGCCCATACGACCCTGACCAGGGCCAGGGATGAATCACAGCTGAGGTACATGCCCTTGACTAGAATTGAACCTGCAACTCTGGTCCACAGGCCAATGCTCAAACTGCTGAGCCAAACTGGCCAGGACAAGCATGTACAATTTTGATACAGCTTCAAGGGTCCTTGTCTGTTGCAACAGATCCCAAGGGCTGTGGTTAAGAGCGCTAGTTCTTCAGTAAATAAAAGGAAGAAGATGAAAGGCTAGGACTTGGGCAGGAAAGAAACACTGTTAGAGATGGGAACATGCATTTATAACATGCTCATCAGATAGCTTTAATTTTAGGGTGTTCACATAAAAACATAAAATTGGGTTGTAAATTTTATTTATAAGCATAAATGAGTGATATCACCTTTAGTCTGATAAAATAGATGAGTTTATATCAAGGGCTACATTCAATCCATCATGATGAGTTTATGGTTTAAGGACAGTTTCTCTTAAAATTGTATTATAATTTTCTTTTTTATATGTTAAGAAACATTATGTATTATTTTATATAACTGCTTTTTAAAAACTTAAAATTTTTTTCTTTTTACAGTCGGCCAAATTGCGTAAGCTGCCTCCCTTTCTTACTGTTTCATTATTAAGATTTAATTTTGATTTTGTGAAGTGTGAACGATACAAGGAAACTAGCCGTTATACATTCCCTCTCCGGATCAATCTCAAGCCTTTTTGTGAACAGGTTTGAACTCTTTTATTTTTAAATTCTACTCCCACCCCTTAAGGATTGAATCCTTCATTGACCTGATTTTCCGTTGGCTTATTGCAAAATCTCGGCCTTGGCGCTACACTGTCCCATGCATTGTAGGATGTGAGGCAGGTTCCCTGGCTGCTGCTTGCTAGATGACAGTAGCATCCTCCCCTCCTCCCAGTAGTGACAGAAATGTCCTCAGACCTTGTCAAATGTCCATGTCTCCTTCAAGAAGGGGAGTGGGTAAAATTATTCCCAGCTGAGAATCCCTGGTTTATTATAGTCCTTCTGAATTTCCAATATGGATTTATTCTCACTTCTTTTTACTAAACTCTCTTGAAAAATCTTTGAAAATTTAAGAGCAAAATTAGAAATGACCTCGCATTAGGAAAAAGTACCATTAATTGGTACTGTGCTGTTTGGGTTTAGATTACTTTAGATGCAGTAATGAATTACACATCTAGAAAGTGAACAAGTCATTGGAACTTCACTAGCCTGGAATTTGTAATACTTAAGACTGGGGCAAGAAAAGTCTGAAAACAGGAGGATTCCAAAATGGCGGTGGAGTGAACGGAAGCTACACAGACCATCTCCCAGGACCAAACTGGAATAACAACTAAAATAAAGACAAATCATCGGGAAAAAGCAACAGAAAAGCACCTTGCGAGGACCGCATAACCAGGGACACTGAATCGATCCTGATAGAATTGCGGAGGCGCAAGATTGGGGCTGGGAGCCCATGGATAGCAGTGGTCTTAGCTATGAGCAGCGCCCTTGGGGTTAAACTCCCAAGAGGCTTCACAGCACAGAGAGTGCTAAAATAGCCACTCACCTTCTGCTCCAGCAGAGGGAGGGTGGACTGGACTGGAACTGTGTGGGGACACGGGATTTGGAGGGCGCTCAGAGATTTTCCTGAGGTGCGGCCACGCAGAACAGTGCTAATCTTACTCCTTCCCAGGGTTCAGGGGAGAGGTGGCGACCCATCCCTCAAGGATTTAACCCCAACCAGGTGGGCCATTGAAATGCAAATTGAGGCTCATTAACAATCAGCATCTGCCCACCCTCAGGAAATCTCCTTACGCTGATCACCTGAGGGAGTTTTTCATTCAACTGAGAACCTAAGGCTCTTCAAGTTTAAACTGCAACTAATAGCCTCCAGGCAAAAAGCTAGAGTATAACTGAACCATTCCTGGGCTTGCAACTCTACCCAGGAAAGTAAGACTTGACAGTGGTGTTTAACATAAGTCCTCCCACGCTCATCCAAACCCAGTAGAAGGAGCCACAAACAGCAGAACACCAACACCTACGGGGAAAATATGGAAGGCTCCAAAGCCCGCTTCGTTAGCCAAAATGATGAAACAAAGAAATCCCAAATGAAAGAACAAGAGACCTCTACCGAAGATAAGATAAATAAAATGCAGTTAAGCAAGTTGACAGAGCTAGAATTCAGAGCCACAATCTTGAGGAAGCTGTTTCAACAGCACGAGTAAGGACATCAACACTATGAGTAAAGACAAGAAACATTGAAAATCAACCAATTGGAAATTAAAAACCACCAAGAAGAAATGAAAAATGACATAGCAGAAATACAGAACACATTGGAAGGACTAAACAGCAGAGTAGAGGAAGCTGAGGACTGGATCAGTGAATTAGAAGACAGGGTAGAAAAAAAAAACAATCAGAAAAATAAAAGGAAAAAGCGATTAAAAAACAGGAAGACAGCTTAAGAGAACCGTGGGACAACTTGAAACGTAATAATAATCGCATCATAGGAGTTCCCGAAGAAGAAGAAAATGAGCAAGGGTTAGAGAATATAGTCAAAGAAATAGGGACAGAAACTTCCCTAATCTGGTGAAGGAAGAAGGCATTCAAGTTCAAGAAGCACAGAGAGCCCCAAGTAAGAAGAACCCAAATAGGCACACACCATGACACATAGTAATTAAAATGCCAAAAATTAAAGACAGAATCCTCAAAGCAGGAAGAGATAAGCAACAGGTTACCTACAAAGGAACCCCCATAAAGCTCTCAGCTGACTTCTCAACAGAAACACTACAGGCGAGAAGGGAATGGCATGATGTACTCAACGTCATGAAAAACAAGGATCTGAATCCAAGACTACTCTACCCAGCATGGCTATCATTCAAAATAGAAGGTCAAATAAAAAGCTTCCCAGACAAAAAAAAAAAAAGGCTAAGGGAATACGTACATTAGCACCAAACCAGCACTGCAACAAATGTTAAAAGGACCTCTGTAATTAGTAGAAGAAATAAGAAGGAAAATATAACCACACTGAACGAAAATGGCAGTAAATAACTACATATCAATAATCACCTAAAATATAAATGGAGTGAATGCTCTGATAAAAAGACACAGAGTAGCTGATTGGATAAGAAAGCATGACTCGTATATATTTTATTTACAAGAGACCCACCTCATAACAAAAGACTAACATAGGTTGAAAGTGAAGGGATGGAAAAAAATCCTCCAAGCAAACGGAAAGGAAAAAAAGCTGGGGTAGCAGTACTCATATCGGATCAAATAGATTTCAAAATGAAGGCCATAACTAGAGACAAAGAGGCCACTACATAATATTGAAAGGATCTATCCAACAGGAAGATATAACTTTGGTAAACGTATATGTACTACTACATATAGGAGTACCAAAATATATTAAAAATCTTCTGGAGGACTTCAAAGGAGAAATCAACAGCAATACAATCATAGCAGGGGACTTCACTGGATAGATCCTCTAGACAATAAATTAGCAAGGAAACAGAGACTCTGAATGAAGCACTAGAACAAATGGATTTGATAGATATCTACAGAGAATTACATCCCAAAACTACAGAATTCACATTCTTCTCAAGTGCACATGGGACATTCCCAAAGATAGACCACATGTTAGGACACAAATTAAGTCTCTACAAGTTCAAGAAGATTGAAATCATATCAAGGATCTTCTCAGATCACAGTGGCATGAAACTAGAAATCAATTGCAACAAGAACATGCAAAGACATTTGAACACATGGAGGCTAAATAGCATGTTATTGAACAATGAATGGGTTATTGATACGAGGAGATCAAGGAAGAAATTAAAAACTTCCTGGAAACCAATGAAATAAACACACAACAACACAAAATCTATGGGATGCAGCAAAAGCAGTTCTGAGAGGGAAGTTCATAGCGCTACAGAACTACCTCAAGAAACAAGAAGAATTTCTAATACATTGTCTAACCTCACAACTTAAAGAACTAGAAAGCAAACAAAAAGAAAACCCCAGAGCAAGTAGAAGGAAGGAAATAGTAAAGATCAGAGCAGAAATAAATGGCATAGAGACCAAAAATAGAATTCAAACAGAGAGAGAACCCAAATACACAAAATCAGAAATGAAAGAGAAGTAACAACTGACACCACAGAAATACAAAAGACTGTTGATAAATGCTATGAACAATTATATGGCAAATATTTGACAATCTAAGCAAAATGGACGAATTTCTAGAAACACATACTCTCCCAAACTGAACCAGGAAGAGATAGGAAACTTGAACAGACTAATAACAACTAAGGAAATTGAAGAGGTAATCAAGACTCTGCCAGCAAACAAAAGCCCAGGCCCAGATGGCTTCACAGGGGAGTTTTACCGAACATTCAAAGAAGAACCAACACCCATTCTCAAACTGTTTCAAAAAATTCAAGAAGGAAGACTTCTAAACTCGTTTTATGAGGCCAGAGTAATTCTAATTCCAAAACCAGGAAAAGACACTACAAAGAAAAAAAACTACAGGCCAATATCCCTGATGAACATAGATGCCAAAATCCTGAACAAAATACTAGCAAATCGAATCCAGCAATACATGAAAAAAACTATTCACCATGGCCAAGTGGGATTCATTCCAGGGATGCAATATTCACAGATCAGTAAATGTGATACACCACATAAACAAAATGAAGAATAAAAACCACATGATCATATCAATACGTGCTGAAAAGCACTTGACAAAATCCAGCATCCGTTTCTGATAAAAACACTCAGCAATGTGGGAATAGAGGGGTCATATCTCGACATAATAAAGGCCATATATGAAAGACCTACAGCCAACATCATATTCAATGGGCAAAAACTAAAAGCATCTCCCTTAAGAACAGGAACAAGACAGGGATGCCCACTTTCGCCACTCTTATTTAACATAGTACTGAACGTGTTAGCCACAGCAATCAGACATGAAGAAAAAATGAAAGGGATCCAAATTAGAAAGGAGGAAGTGAGACTGTCATTATTAACGTCAAGAAATCAACAGCATTCTTATACACCAATGATGAAATCACAGAAAGAGAAACAAAAAAAACAAACTCATTTATCATTGCGGCAAAAAAATTAAGACACCTAGGAATAAACTTAATCAAAGAAGTAAAGAACCTATTTGCAGAAAACTACAAGGCATTGAAGAAAGAAATAGAGAATCATTTTTAAGAAATGGAAGCACATACTTTGTTCATGGATTGGAAGAATTAACATTAAAATGTCCGTATTACCCAAAGCAATCTATAGATTCAATGCAATCCCCATTAAAATACGAACAACGTATTTCACAGAACTAGAACAAATACTTCAAAAGTTCATATGGAACCAAAAAAGACCCTGAATAGCCACAGCTATCTTGAAAAAGAAGGACAAAGTAGGTGGGATCACAATACCGGATATCAGGTTATACTACAAAGGCACTGTAATGAAAACAGCCTGGTACTGGCAGAAGAACAGGCAGATAGATCAGTGGAACATAATAGAGAACTCAGAAATGGACCTAAGACATTATGTTCAATTAATATTTGGCAAAGGAGGCAAGAGCATACAATGGAGTAAAGACGGCCTCTTTAATAAATGGTGTTGGGAAAATTGGACAGCTAAATGCAAAAAATGAAACTAGACCATCAACTTACACCATACACAAGAATAAACTCAAAATGGATAAAAGACTTAAATGTGACTCATGAATCCATAAAAATCCTAGAAGAAAATATAGGCAACAAAATTTCAGACATCATACGCAGCAGAATTTTCACTGATACATCACCTAAGGCAACAGAAACAAAGGAGAAAATGAACACATAGGACTACATTAAACTCAAAAGCTTCTGCACAGCAAAAGAAACAAGCATCAGAATATAAAGGCAACCCATTGTATGGGAGAGCATCGTTGCCAATGATACATCAGATAAGGGGTTAATTTCCAAAATATATAGAGTACTCATACAGCTCAACAAAGGTAAGACAAAGAACCCAATTAAAAAATGGGCAGAGGAGCTGAATAGACACCTCTCCAAACAGGACATACAAATGGCCAAGAGACATATGAAGAAATGCTCAACATCACTAATCAGAGAGATGCAAATTAAAACAACAATGAGGTATCACCTCACACCTGTCAGAATGGCCGCCATCAACAAATCATCAAACAAGTGTTGGCGAGGGTGTGGAGAAAAGGGGACTCTACTACACTGCTGGTGGGAATGCAGACTGGTGCAGCCGCTATGGAAAACAATATGGTGTTACCTCAAAAAATGAAAAATTGAATTGCCATTTGACCCAGTGATCCCACTTCTAGGATATGCCCTAAGAAGCCTGAAACACCAATCAAGAAGAATATATGTACCCCCATGTTCATAGCAGCACTATTTACAATAGCTAAGATCTGGAAACAAACAGCCTAAATGTCCATCAGTAGACGAATGGATAAAAAATCAGTGGTACATATACACAATAGAGTACTATGCAGCTGTAAGAAAGAAAGATCTCTTATCCTTTGAGGCAAGATGGAGGGACCTGGAAAGTATTATCCTAAGTGAAACAAGCCAAGCAGAAAAAGACAAATACCACATGATTTCACTTATTTGTGGAATATAATGAACATAACAGCCTGAGAAATGGACCCAGAGACATGGAAGTAGGGTACAGAATGACAACCCTCAAAAGAGGGGGTTTTAGGGGAAGGGAAGAGATACACCATAGAACTTATATGCATGTACGCATAACCAATGGACACGGACAACAAAGCTGGGGACGGGGTGGGGAGGAGGGTGTCAATGGGGAAAAAAAGGAGAAACATCTGTAACAAAAATAATAAAAAATTTTTAAAGAAAATTTTGAAAACAAACTTAGTACATAATCAACCTACTTTGTAAGCCATTTAAAATATTTTCTGTATAACTGCTACACATGCCAAGATCACAATGATGAGACTAATGTATTTCTTATTACAAATCATTCTTTATATGTTTATTAAGGCCAGAACATTTACTAGCTGGCTGTTGAATTTCTATGTATGAAAGTAACTTTTTTTTTAATATTGTTAAAATTAGAGGGCCTTCCTGTACTTCAAGCCTAATTACTGAGCTTTTTGGATTTTGTTTTATTAATTACTGTTCAAAGGTTGTAATTTTGTGTTGATCTGAGCTTGTAATTGGCACACACAGAATCAAGTTTTTCCAGACTAAGTCAGTACACTTGCCTCTCCCTCTATTTACTGCCTGAAAAAAATTTTTTCAGGATAATTGAGTTAGTTTTTTTCTTTTTCAGTTTTATCGAGAAATAATTGACATACATCCCTTTATAAGTTTAAGTATATAGCATGATGGCTTGATTTACACATACTGTGAAATGATTGCCACAATAGGTTTAGTTAACACCCATCATCTCATATAGGCAATTTTTTGTTTTTTTTTACAGCATGCAGTTTTTCCGATGATTATAACATACTTCAAAATAACAAAACAAATTATTAAAACATTGAACACTTATTTGAGAAATTCACAATGATAGTTCTTTTGGTATCTGCATTAATGAAAACATGAACACTTTGTATCTTTGTTTCTCTCTCTTGTCTTTTGTCTGAACCAGACATTTAAAAAAATGCTGCTTACTTTAAAAGTATAATTTCTTAAGCAAATAAGTTTCTCAAATAATTCACAACCCTTCAAGTAGCATCCATATGCAAAGTATCTATTAACTTAAAGTAGATTTTTCTTTCAAATGACAATGTAGGTATTCATCTGTTTGGTGAGTCATATTATAGAGCACATTAATATAGAAAAGTTTAATCATAGAATTAATAAATAAAAAAACCTTTTCATTCCACTAAACTGCCTCTTAACAAAACCAGCTAGTATCCATAATTGTTAAATTACAAGTCAGGAGCGGTGACAGATAGTAGGTAGATAGTAGACAAATCTACTTGGAGTATAGGAAACATTCAACAGCTAAAAACATTTATAAAGCAGCAAAATAGGCACCATCCAAAGAAAGGTTTGTTAAAACTCACAAACTTACTGATAGGCTAGTGTGTTTTGTTATCACTTCACTTACAAGTACATGTTTTCATGTTAAAGACACAGAATCTGGTTGGTGTTGTGTGTTTGGTATTGGATCATTCATTGGTAGATAATCTTTTTTCTAAGAATTAAGAATTTTAAAATTTAAAGTCAATTATTTAAATTTATCTTAATTTACCCTTAAATAACTAATAAACAGTGAAATTTTTATTAATTTCAGTAGTTTAAATTCTTTTTCCCTTTGGTTATGTATCTTCCCACTTTGTGTAAACTATGACAATGTTTATGATCTTTTCCTTTATAGAGTGAACTGGATGACTTGGAATACATGTATGACCTCTTCTCAGTTATTATACACAAAGGCGGTTGCTATGGAGGACATTATCATGTGTATATTAAAGATGTTGATCATTTGGGAAACTGGCAATTTCAGGTGAGCACAGACATTAGTTTAGAACCTTTCAAATTTTTTCCTCAGGGCTGTCTCTGCTTCCTTCAGCACCAACTGCTGCTTTTCCTCAGCCAGGCTCAGATTTCAGGTGCTTTTCCAGCTGCTGGAATTTATCCTCGGTCTTTTGATGCATAAAATATTTATTTGCAATTCCATTTTCAAGTTTATTGTTGAGGTCATGCACAGAGGCATGGGTCGGGTCTTCCTTCTGCGCTCTGCTTCCTTGGACGCTCTTCAATTTTGTGTTACTTACTTCAGAATTGAGGAGCTCTTTTCTAGTCGCACCAGGCTCTTCTCCTGGCTCTGGTAGGTGACTTGAGAGGGCCCACAGTCATTTTTTCATTTGGATTGTCTCTGCACTGCTTTTCTGTTGAAGCTTTGACAGGCCTTAATAATCAGAAGCTTGCTTTCCATTTGTGCTTAGTATTTTTCCTTATTCATGGCTTCTTGGGAAGCATCTCACTTGTTAACTTTCTTCATATCCTGTTCTTTAAGAATCTCTAGCTTTTCATCTAGAGCAGTGGTTCTCAACCTTCCTAATGCTGCGACCCTTTTATATAATTTCTCATGTTGTGGTGACCTCCAACCATAAAATGATTTTCATTGCTACTTCATAACTGTAATTTTACTACTGTTATGAATCGCCATCAGAAATATGTGTTTTCCACTGGTCTTAGGTGACCCCTGTGAAAGGGTCGCTCGGCCCCCCAAAGGGGTCGCAATCCTCAGGTTGAGGACCGCTGATCTAGAGCTTCGTGATGTTCAGGTAATAACTAGTGCCTTAAGAATTTCAGCTTTGGTAGGTAACCTGTTGGACACCACTTGTCCCTTTACTGCCAGTGTCCTGAGAGAGATCTTGTCATTAGAGACAAAGGATTCCAGTGTTCTAATCATAGCCAGATATTGTTCTGTCTGCTTATAGTTTGGGGATTTCTTCTTCCCTTTCAAGGAGCTGTTCTCTGGATAAAGGCAATGTTTTAGTCTCTCTCAGAGCCTGATCTATGCCTCTGCTCCCTAGAGAGTGGGGGAACTTTGTTTCACTGATGGTTGGCATCACTTCTAATACCATCTTTACAAACAAGTCTTCACAACAGCTCCCAGTAGGCAGCCCTGGGACTGGTGCCTACTGGACCAGCTTGTCACCACAGGACCAAGGCTGGACACTGGCGGAGTGGCGGGAGACGGCCCAGCCTGTGTGTCACCTGCACCAGCGTGTCAAATACTAGACAACGCCAGCCTGCCTTTCCCCTCCTACTATTTTTAAATCTCTTGTTCCTTAGTCGTATATCTCTCTAAACATATTAAACACACTATTTTATTATTCTGTGTCTAATAAATGCAGTATCTTAAGACTTTGTGGGTCCGATGTAGATACCTGCTGATTTTGTTTCTTTGTGGTTTTGTTATTTTAGACTACAGGCATGGTTGGTTGGTTGGTTGATTTATATATATACATATATATTTTATTTAGATTTTAGAGAGAGAGGAAGGGAGAGGGAGAGAGAGAAAAACATCAGTCCACTGCCTCCTGCATGCCCCGTACCGGGGATCGAACTTGCAACCTGAGCATATGCCCTGACGGAATTGAACTGGCAGACTTTTGGTGCATGGGACAACACCCAACCAGCTGAGACACACCGGCCAGGGCATGGTTGATTTTTTAAGAACATGATTTATGGGAGTAATTTGAGGCTTTTGTTGAAAATGCTTTCCTCTAAGAAAGACATGTTTGTCTCTACCACATGCCTGCCACTTCTAACAGTTAACAACTTTAAAATAAGGTCTTGACTTGGTGGTTTTTAGAGCCTTACAGCTCGTGTGCATTTGGGCTACAAGCCCACGAGGACCTACATGTGATTATACATTATCAGAGGAAATGTTTTTCTTCCTAGTCGCTTGGTCAAAGCCAGCCAGTTCCTCATTGTCATTGGAGTGGATTTTTTCCTAGGTCATGCTTTAATTGAGAGTGTAGCTCTTTCAGGTTTTATTTTTTAGCTTTTTGCTGGAATCTATCTTAGTGGTATAATAAAAATATATATTTTTTTGTCTTTTTCCCAGGTTCCTGGCATGGAACGCCATGGAATTTCCTGAGTGATAGGCATGACTTTTGTTCACCATACCTGAGTTTATGTTAATGAGGTGACTTGGAATAGGGGCCTAGATACCTTCAGGATGAAGACTAGTGGCCAGAGGAACCAGTCACACGGTTAGAGGGTTGAAACTTTCAGCCCTACCCCCTGACCTAGAGAGGGGAGAGGGGCTGGAGAATCCATCACCAAGAGCCAGTGATTTAATCAATCATGTCTACATAGTGAAACTTTGATAGAAACTCTGAAACAAGGAGACTAAGGGAGCTCTGGGTTGGTGAACACATCCACATGCAGAGAGGGTGGCCACCCTGACTCTGGGGACAGACTCCTACACATAGGATTCTTCTCAACCTCCCATGTGTAGTTCTTCATCTCATTGTTCATTTGTGTCCTTTGTGATAAACTTCAGTCCTGATGTGAGTTCCTGAGTTCTGTGAGCTGCTCTAGGAAATTGTCAAACCTAAAGTGAGTTCTAGGAACGCTAGAATTTGTAGTTAGCCAGGCAGAAGTGCAGCTACCCTGGGGGCCCCATTTGTGGCTGGGCAGTGGGGTAGTCTTATGGAACTTAGTGGTTTGTTGCCGAATTTAATTGAATTGTAGGATACCCAAGTGGTGTCAGAATTGGGAGAATTAGTTGTTTGGAAAGTCAGTCATTCAACTCTCTACTTCAAGTAGGTCCTTAGGCTTTGTTGCCCAAACCCTGTCCTATGGAAGCAGCAAGGTGGAAGCTGCATGTCTGCAGCATTGGGCAGCTGGAGGCCTCAGCTCTGGATTCCTCCCTCCATTCCCATTTCACTTATTTGCTGAGGACTCTCCTGATGTTCTCTTGCTAGCTCAGCATGTGTTTAAAAGATGTATTTGTTGGTTTTATGTTTTACTTTATCTAGCATTTTTAGAAATTTTACAGCAGGATGGCTATACTTAGGTTGCCATATTCTTCTATTTATTCATTATTTTTGTCTTGTGTTAATTGTTTAGGTCTATTTGAATATATGGTTTTAAGCCAATTTAAAATATTTTGCAACATGACATTTATGAAAAATAAATCAATAAAAATACCATATCAAGAATTTTGACACGTTCCCAAATAACTTTATAGTATGGGGTGAAAACCTGGATGCTCAGGAAATAGAATGGAGTGTTTATGAGTTTGCAAAGATGGGTAGGATTTTATTAGGTCAACACAAGAGGATAAATTGGATAAAGACCTGAAAATATTTTGAACTGCATGATATTGAAAGCACAACATATCAGAATTTGTGGAACACAGCTAAAGTGGTGCTGAGTGGGAAAATGGGAAAACGTTGTAACTCATTGTGTGTATTGTGCCAGGAGCTTTACTATCTCACAGTCCTAATTTATAGACAAAGCCAGAGAGATGAAGATAACTGGTCCTGGAGTATTTAACCGAAGCTGGAATTCAAAGCCATTTACAACTTACATTGTTTTTATCGTCATTTCTTCGTCTTGAAACCTCCATAACATAAACATTCCTATTTTGTTAATTACCTTTTAAGGACTGATAATAGAAAGTTTTTAAATTTAAATAATTTTTAAAATTTTTTTCAGTTTTATTTTACATTCACTATTATTTTGTATTAGTTTCAAGTGTACAGTATAGTGGTTAGACAGTTATATACTTATAGTGTTTTTTTTTCCTGTTCTACAAACTTTTTATTGTTTTCTTTCCTAGGAGGAAAACAGTAAATCAGATGTGAATTTGAAAGATCTTCAGAATGAAGAAACTGATGATCCACTGATGATTCTGAAAGCAATCTTAACACAGGTAGAGAGAGTGTGTTTATATTTGTGTACATCTGTGTATATCAGATACATGTACATGAGACTGATTTGGTAGTTCTAATACTTTTTCCTTTGTGGACATTACGTCTATTTTGAAACATCTTTTTAAATTGGAAACTTTCTGAGAGATTCCAAAATGGCGGCAGAGTGAACGGAAGCTACACAGACCGTCTCCCAAAACCAAACTGGAATTGCAACTATAACACAGACAAATCGAAGGGAAAAAGCAACAAAAAAGCATCTTTCGAGGACCATATAACCAGGGACACTGACTCGATCCTGGTAGGATTGCGAAGGCGTGAGATGGGGACTGGGAGCCCACAGACAGCAGTGGCCTTAGCTGTGAGCAGCGACCTCGGGTTAAAGTCCCAAGTGGCTCCGCAGCGCAGAGCAGGGACAGAGGCTAAATTAGCAGCAGCCACTCACCTTGGGCTCCGGCAGAGGGAGGGCAGACTGGACTGAAACTGGGGGGGGACACTCGGGATTTGGAGGGCACTCAGAGCTTTTGCTGAGTTGCAGCCACACAAGACAGTGGCCATATTGCTTCTTCCCAGGGCTCCGGGGAGAGCCTGCAGCCCCTCCCTCGGAGATCCAACCCCACCCTGTGGGCCATTGAAATGCTAACTGAGGCTCATTACCAACCAGCATCTGCCCCACCCTTGGGAAATCCCCTTACGCTGAGCACCTGAGGGAGTTTTTCAATCTACTGACAACCCAAAACTCTTCAAGTAACCTCATCTGCTAGCCTCCAGGCAAAAAGCTAGAGGATAACAATGCCTTTCCTGGGCTAGCAACTCTAACCAGGAAAGTAAGACTTGACAGTGGTGTTTAATGTGGATCCTCCCTCGCTCATCTAAACCCAGGAGAGGGAGCCACAAACAGCAGAACACCAACACCCACAGGGAAAACTTGGCAGACTCCAAAGCCCACTGTGATAGCCAAAATGGTGAAACACAGAAACAAAAGCCAAATGAAAGAACAAGAGACCTCCACTGAAGATGAGATCAGTGTGGAGCAGTTAGGCAAGTTAACAGAGCTAGAATACAGACCCATGATCTTAAGGAAGCTCAACAGCATGAGTAAGGACATAGAGATGCTGAAAATAAACCAATTGGAAATTAAAAACCACCATGAAGAGATCAAAAATGACATATCAGAAATAAAGAACACATTGGAAGGTCTAAAAAGCAGAGTAGAGGAAGCTGAGGATCGGATCAGTGAATGAGAAGACAGAGTAGAAAAAAATCAACCAATCAGAAAACCAAAAGGAAAAAAACAATTAACAGGAAGACAGCTTAAGAGAACCGTGGGACAACTGGAAACATAATAATATTCGCATCATAGGAGTCCCCGAAGAAGAAGAAAATGAGCAAGAGTTAGAGAATATATTCAAAGAAATAGTGACAGAAAACTTCCCTAATTTGGTGAAGGAAAAAGGCATTCAAGTTCAAGAAGCACAGAGAGCCCCAAGTAAGAAGAACCAAAACAGGCTCACACCAAGACACATAGTGATTAAAATGCCAAAAATTAAAGACAGAGAATCCTCAAAGCAGCAAGAGATAAGCAACAGGTTACCTACAAAGGAAACCCCATAAGGCTCTCAGATGACTTCTCACAAGAAACACTACAGGCCAGAAGGGAATGGCATGAAGTAATCAAGGTCATGAAAAACAAGGATCTGAATTCAAGACTATTCTACCCAGTAAGGCTATCAATCAAAATAGAAGGTCAAATAAAAAGCTCCCCAGACAAAAAAAAAGGCTAAGGAAATACAAATATAACCACACTAAACAAAAATGGCGGTAAATAAGTACATATCAATAATCACCTTAAATGTAAATGGATTGAATGCTCCGATAAAAAGACACAGAGTAGCTGACTGGATAAGAAAGCATGACTCACATACATGCTGTTTACGAGAGACCCACCTCACAACAAAAGACTCACATAGGTTGAATGTGAAGGGATGGGAAAAAATTTACCAAGCAAATGGAAAGCAAAAAAAAAAACTCGGGTGGCAATACTCATATCCGATCAAATAGATTTTAAAATGAAGGCCATAACCAGAGACAAAGAAGGCCACTACATAATAGTGATAGGATCTATGCAACAGGAAGATATAACCTTGGTAAACATATATGCACCCAATATAGGAGCACCAAAATATATTAAAAATCTTCTGGAGGACTTCAAGGAGAAATCAATAGCAATACAGTCATAGCAGGGGACTTCAGCACCCCGTTGACATCACTGGATGATAGATCCTCTAGACAAAAAATTAGCAAGGAAACAGACTCTAAATTAAGCACTAGAACAAATGGATTTGATAGATATCTACAGAGAATTACATCCCAAAACTACAGAATTCACATTCTTCTCAAGTGCATATGGGACATTCTCAAAGATAGACCACATGATAGGACACAAACAAAATCTCTACAAGTTCAAGAAGATTAAAATCATATCAAGCATCTTTTCAGATCACAGTGGCATGAATCTAGAAATCAACTGCAACAAGAACATGCAAAAACATTTGAACACATGGAGGCTAAATAGCATGTTATTAAACAATGAATGGGTTACCGAAGAGATCAAGGAAGAAATTAAAAACTTCCTGGAAACCAATGAAAATGAACACACAAGAACACAAAATCTATGGGATGCAGCAAAAGCAGATCTGAGAGGGAAGTTCATAGCACTACAGGCCTACCTCAGGAAACAAGAAAAATTTCTAATTGACTCTCTAACCTCACAACTTAAAGAATTAGAAATCAAGTAAAGCAAAAACCCCAGAGCAAGTAGAAGGAAGGAAATAGTAAAGATTAGAGCAGAAATAAATGACGTAGAGACCAAAAAAACAATTCAAAGGATCAATGAAACAAAGAGCTGGTTTTTCGAAAAGATAAACAAGATTGATGGACCCTTAGCTAGACTCACCAAGAAATAGAGAACCCAAATACACAAAATTAAAAATGAAAGAGAAGTAACAGCTGACACCACAGAAATACAAAAGATCGTTAACAGCTACTATAAACAATATGGCAACAAATACGACAATCTAAGCGAAATGGTCAAATTTTTAGGAACACACAGTCTCCCAAAACTGGGCCATGAAGAGATAGAAAACTAACACCCATTCTCCTCAAACTATTTTTTTTTTTTTTTTTTAATCCTCACCCGAGGACATTTTCCCAATTCTTTTGTTCAGGTAGAGTGGGAGGGAGAGAGAGGAACAGAGAGAGAGAGAGAAACATCGATGTGAAAGGAACACATCGAGTGGCTGCCACCCGCACAACCGACCAGGGCCGGGGACAAACCGCAACCGAGGTACATGCCCTTAGCGGAACTGAACCCGGGTCTCTCAGGACCGCAGGCCGACGCTCTAACCGCTGAGCCAAACTGGCCAGGGCTCCTCAAACTATTTTTAAAAAGTAAAGAAGGAGGAAGACTTCCAAACTCGTTCTATGAGGCCAACATAATTCTAATTCCAAAACCAGGAAAAGACACTACAAAGAAAGAAAACTACAGGCCAATATCCCTGATGAACATAGACGCCAAAATCCTGAACAAAATACTAGCAAATCAGATCCAGCAATACATCAAAAAAATTACTCATCATGACCAAGTGGGATTCATTCCAGGGATGCAAGGCTGGTACAATATTCGCAAATCAATAAATGTGATACACCACATAAACAAAATGAAGAATAAAAACCACATGATCACATCAATAGACACTGAAAAAGCATTCAACAAAGTCCAGCATCCATTTCTGATAAAAACGCTCAGCAATGTGGGAATGCAGGAATCATATCTCAACATAATAAAGGCCATAAATGAAAGACCTACAGCCAACATCATACTCAATGGGCAGAAACTAAAAATGTTTCCCTTAAGAACAGGAACAAGACAGGGGTGTCCACTTTATCCACTCTTATTTAACAGTACTGGAAGTATTAGCCACAGCAATCAGACATGAAGGAAAAATAAAAGGATCCAAATTAGAAAGGAGGAAGTTAAACTGTCATTATTTGCAGATGACATGACATTATACATAGAAAACCCTAAAGACTCCATCAAAAATCTACTAGACTTAATAAATGCATTTGGCAAAGTAGCAGGATACAAAATTAATGTCAAGAAATCAACGGCATTTGTATACACCAATGATGAACTCACAGAAAGAGAAACTAAAAAAACAATCACATTTACTATCTCAGCAAAAAAATTAAGATACCTAGGAATAAACTTAACCAAAGAAATAAAGGACCTATTTGCAGAAAACTACAGGACATTGAAAAAAGAAATAGAGGAAGATATAAAAAAAGTGGAAGCACATACCTTGCTCATGGATTGGAAGAATTAACATCATCAAAATGTCCATACTACCCAAAGCAATCCATAGATTCAATGCAATCCCCATCAAAATACCAGCAACATACCTCACAGAACTAGAACAAATACTTCAAAAGTTCATATGGAACCAAAAAAGACCCTGCATAGCCACAGCAATCTTGAAAAAGAAGAACAAAGCAGGTAGGATCACAATACCAGATATCAGGTTATACCACAAAGCTACTGTAATCAAAACAGCCTGGTACTGGCACAAGAACAGGCATATAGACCCGTGGAACAGAACAGAGAACCCAGAAATGGACCCAAGGCAATACACTCAATTAATATTTGACAAAGGTGGCAAGAGCATACAGTGGAGTAAAGACAGCCTATTCAATAAATGGTGTTGGGAAAATTGGACAGCTAAATGCAAAAAATGAAACTAGACCATCAACTTACACCATACACAAGAATAAACTCAAAATGGATAAAAGACTTAAATGTGACCCGTGAATCCATAAAAATTCTAGAAGAAAATGTAGGCATCAAGATTTCGGACATCATACGCAGCAGAATTTTCACTGATACATCACTTAAGCAACAGAAACAAGGGAGAAAATGAACATATGGGACTACGTCAAACTCAAAAGCTTCTTCACAGCAAAAGAAACAATCATCAAAATGGAAAGGCAACCCGCTGTATGGGAGAGCATCGTTGCCAATGATACATCAGATAAGGGGTTAATTTTCAAAATATATAGAGTACTCATACAACTCAACAAAAGGAAGACAACCCAATTAAAAAACGGGTAGAGGAGCTGAATAGACACCTCTCCAAACAGGACATACAAATGGCCAAGAGACATATGAAGAAATGCTCAACATCACTAATCAGAGAGATGCAAATTAAAACAACAATGAGGTATCACCTCACACCTGTCAGAATGGCCGCCATCAACAAATCATCAAACAACAGGTGTTGGCGACAGTGTGGAGAAAAGGGGACTCTACTACACTGCTGGTGGAAATGCAGACTGGTGCAGCCACTATGGAAAACAATATGGTGTTATCTCAAAAAATGAAAAATTGAATTGCCATTTGACCCAGTGATCCCACTTCTAGGAATATACCCTAAGAAGCCTGAAACACCAATCAGGAAGAATATATGTACCCCCATGTTCATAGCAGCACTATTTACAATAGCTAAGATCTGGAAACAGCCTAAATGTCCATCAGTAGACAAATGGATAACAAAGCAGTGGTACGTATACACAATGGAGTACTACGCAGCTGTAAGAAAGAAAGATCTCTTATTCTTTGAGGTGACATGGAGGGACCTGGAAAGTATTATCCTAAGTGAAACAAGCCAAGCAGAAAAAGACAAATACCACATGATCTCACTTATTTGTGGAATATAATGAACATAACAGTCAGAGGAATATGGTAGACCCAGAAACATGGAAGTAGGGTACAGACTGACAACCCTCAGAAGAGGTGGTGGGGGGTATGAAGAGATAAACCACAAAACTTATATGCATGTATGCATAACCAATGGACATGGACAACAAAGCTGGGGACAGGGTGGGAGGGATGGGGAGGAGGATGCCAGTGGGGTGAAAAAGGAGAAACATCTGTAACAAAAATAAAATAAAATAAAAAAATAGAGGGGGGGGGGAGGGAAAAAATAAAAAAGGAAGCCTGGAAGAACAAGGCTTGGCTGGAGCAGGGAGCAGCTTTTTATCCAGGTCCTGGACTGGACTTTAAACTCCTTTTTAAAAACTCAATGGCAAAAATGAGGAACTCTTTATGTAAGTCATTGCATTTGTATATATCTATAGTTTGTGCTAAATGATGACATGTTATTGCTGGTTAGGAAAGAGAGGATAGCAGCTGCAGAGCCAAGGAGGAAAAACCTGGAGCTGTACTAGTATTTTCTACAAAACATAGCTTCAAGACTATGCCAAAGTTGTAATGAATGCGAGAGTTGAGATGTTTTGGCTTTCAAAGTATTCTCTAATACATTCTCTTATATTTAAAAATAAATAAATAAATAAATTGGAAACTTTCTGGTTCTAAAAGACATACATATTCATGGTAGAAAATTTTAGAGAGAAAAAAAACAGAAAATATATAAGAAAATAAATGGTGTAAATAAACCAAGTGCTCAGTCATTGTTATACTCTGACACATGTTCTTTGCATTTTGTTTTCTTTGCGCTTACACACTTATATTGGGATTGGGTTGTGGGGTTTTTTGGTAGTATTGTTGTCATTTTAAATAGAATTGGGATTTACTTTATATACTATTTTAGAATTTACTGTTTCTTATATTGTCCTTTAATATTTGTAGGACCTGAAGTTATGTCCCCTTTTTTATTCCTAATATTGGTAATACCTCATATAGATGACTTTTAATGTTTAATTGGTAGTGTCCTCTTGTAATGTTGGTAGGTCTCCTTTCATTATTCATTCATTCAAACAGTTCTTTATAATTTTTTACTGGGTACCCAAGCTCAGTCCTTTAGCTGTATTAGTCTCCTAGGTATATAACAAAGTACCACAGACTAGGTGGCTTAAAGCAACAGAAATTTATTTTCTCACAGGTCTGGAGGCTGAGCTGGGAGTTCAAGATCACGGTGTTGGCTGGCTTGGTTTCTCCCGAGGCCTCTCCCTGGCTTATAGAGGGCTGTCTTCTCCCTGCGTCCCAACAGGCCTTTCTTGTGTGTGTCTGTACCTCTGGTGTCTTTGGTGGCCCAGATTTCCTCCTTAGGACACCAGTCAGATTGCATTAGGGCCCATCCTAATGTCCTCATTTTAACTTCTTTAAAGTCCCTATTCCAAAAATAGTCACAGTTGAAATTTTGAGGGTTAGGGATTCAACATAGGAATTTTGGTGGTGGGTCGGGGGGGTGCACATTTCATCCTGTAACAGTCACTTCTTACCCCTTGTTTACACACTGAGACATTCAGGAAAGACATTAATAATCCTTTTTTGCACTTAAATATTTCTTCTAAAAATCCCACATAATACCAGCAATTAACTAAATAAACCTCAGAATACTCTTTGGATATTGCTCTTTAAATGTTTAAACTTTGGCACATGAAAAATGGCAAAATTCAAGTTTTTAAAACTGATCTTAATCTACTTTTTAAGAAACTTTTTACTTTGAAGTAATTATGGCTAATCCACTTACTTGTTCACTGTTAGAGGCGCCTTTAATTAGAGATAATCCTGTTTGTCCCTTTGAACTCGATTTTCTAAAATGACTTTGTGTCTCTTTCATAAGGAGGAGAGTAATCGAATTCCTGTTGATCAGCTGGGCCAGAAACTTTTGAAGAAGGTAGGAATATCTTGGAACAAGAAGTACAGAAAACAGTATGGACCACTGCGAAAGGTAATACATAACATTCTCATAGAAGGTTCTTTTCCCAGGAAATCTTAGTTTAGTAAACGTTCTGGGAGCAGACTGCACTGAAGTTTGAGGCTTAAAAGAGTTCATCACAGCCATCAAACAAAATTGGCTATTCAGAAAGTTCATTACTCAGAGATTTCAAATTGTTGATATTTCGTTGTACCTAAAACAAGTGAGCTACAAAACTATTTACCGTCTATGATACACAGTATTAACGGATTTTCTCTGTGCCCTTCTATGTATGATAAAATAATTTTTCTGATGAGAGAGAGTTGGTGTCACTACAGATTCTTTCTTTCCAACAGAAGCTATTCACCTTCCATAATGATTGATGAGCTCAGCAAATGTTACATATCCCTGCCAAGCAATTTCCTATGTAAAGTAACTTTGTGCTGAGAGCAAGGGAGATGCAAGGCCGCACAGAGATGAGGGAATGAGAGGGGGGAGGGGAGGGAGAGTTGCAGTAGGCACTGGGGAGAGAACACTGTTCTTCCTAATCCTTTAGTTAGTAGTCCTGAGAAATGGTCTTTGGGATTATGACTTAAGTCTTTCTACGCTTTGATTTCCTGAACTAGCTTATCAGCTTCCAGGAGAGAGAACATGCAATTTAGTTAATGTTAAACAATAATTTAGGCTTATAATTACTACCTTATCACAGCAGACTTGGTCTGAGTCACTGGTTTTGAAATTATCTTCTCTGAGGCTTCACTGTGTGATTGCCTTTGTTTTGTGCTTTGTTTGTTTAGATTGCTTTAAAACTTCAGAACTGCTTGTTCTACCTGATCTGTTTCCGTAAAATACTTCTTAAAAACAGCATTATTGAGGTATGAGTAAAGTGTTTTTTAGATTGTGGCATGACAGCTTTCTTCCTTAGTATAACTATTGGACTAGTTAACAGAGAGAACTCTGATTTTTATTAAATGCTTTATGTCCCAAATGGCCTCGCTGGCCAGGCCAAAAATAAAGGTGAAGTTAAAATATCTTATCACAGAAAGAAAGATGAAGATTTTTAAAATCATTTCTAAGTATTAAAAACGTTTTTATTTTTTGTTTTCTGTCTAGTTCTTACAGCTTCATTCTCAGGTATTTCGACTCAGTTCAGATGCAAGCACAGTCCGTCTGCTGAAGGACTGTTCCCTGCAGGCGGAGTCTGATTTCCCGAGGAGGGATCGCCAGCTCTCCAAGATACACACTTCAGAACCCCCAGGATCAAATGATAGAACCTCCCGTCCCCACTGGTTTGATATAAACGACTCCAAGGTCCAACCCATTGAGGAAAAAGATATTGAACAGCAGTTTCAGGGCAAAGAGAGCGCCTACATGTTGTTCTACCGGAAATCCCAGTTGCAGAGACCCCCCGAAGGTATAGAGAGAAAAATGTCCCTATTTGTTTAAGTTGATGATTCAGAAAGATAAATATTAAATGCTGTTTGTCTTATTACCCTTTTAAAAGGAAGTTTACTCATTTAAAAATATTTTTAAGCTAACAGTAAGAAATATATGATGCCAAAAGAAATCCAACAGTCTGTCACTTTTTAAGATCCTATATTTCTACTTAATTTTTTTCCTCTAATAATATGAAACCATAGTCACATTTTCAGAATTGGGTTTTCTTGGATCACAAAATGTGGGCAGATCTGTGTGGTTGCCCTGTTATCAGGCGTGGCTCTGTTATCTGGCCATGTGTTACCTTTGTACGTGGCCTTGGTCTTATTTTCATATGTTCCCTTTTATTTTCCTTTCCCTCAAGGTAATGTGTTCTCTGAGCAATTTAAATATCTTTGAAATACTCTTTGTTGAACCTTCTAATAGAGCTCATACCAAGGAGGTTAAACACTGAGACTCACAATGATGAATGTTTTCATTGAAGCCACTAATATAAATCAGCGTGTAAGACTTGATCACTTCCCAAGGTCTGCTCAAAAGTAAAAATTTTTACTAGGACACTTTAGATTGAGACACATCTGTGATTAGAGATGAGGATGCTGTCATTAGACAGTGAGAACAGTGAGAACAGAAAAGGACAAAGCAGTTAATAATTTGCATGTCAGTCAAAGGAAATTAACTTTCTAGATTTGAAACAGTTACCTAACTATTCTGTTAACCAGAAAGGGCTTTGTATTTTTCTGAGGGGGGGTGTGTGTGTGGCGGGGAGGGCGGATTTGGTAATGGTTCTGATACATATAGTGTAGCAAAATTCAGTTATAAAACTATATATTAATAGAAAAAGACTGTCTTCAGATGGAATGTTGCATTTTTTTCACTACACTGAATTTTAGTATGTACATAATTGGAATATGTACTAAATGACAGTTTTCTAATTAGCTCAGGAATTGAATAAAGGTCCAGCCAAAATTTCGATGGACTTTTTTGAGGGATGAAAGAATGAAATGTGACAAAGTGATTCTGAAATTTACACAGAGAGATAAATGAAAATTGAAGGAGGTACTACTGAAGGAAAATAGGCTCTCAGCAAAAACATACAAGGCTGTGATTATACTAATCACTACTTAAAATTATACTAATCAATTGAATAAAATTGTAGTTCTTTCAGTGTTTATGCAGAAAAGAACCCTTAAAAATGTATGAATATGAATATTTTCTGATCCTAAGGTAGAGAAGACCTTTCTAATCTTAAAAGCAAAGAAAGAAAATAATTAGGAAAAGTGACCTAAACCTTCAACAGTGTTAAGAGGCAAATGATATATGACAAATAAAGTATGTGACAGATATATTTCCCCTATCTGTAGAATGCTATCACATATATTCCATTATCCTCAGTAGTAAATTGGAGAAAAGATATAATAAGAAATAGGAAAAAAAGTAAGTAGAAACAACCAATAAACAGCAAAAAAAAATTCATCCTAACCCATAATAAAAAATGTGAGTCAAAACAGCATTGAGATGACACTGTTTTCCTTCCAAGTCAAATGTTTCTAAGAGTCTGATGCTCAGCAGTTGTCACTTCCTCTGCAGCTGGTGGGCATATAAAGTAATGCAGCCAATTTGGTTGTATGTGTTTAAAATCCTTAAATTGATGCTACTTCTACAAATTTGTCTTGAAATAATCAGAGCTGTGTATACATATTTATGTTCAAAGATGTTTGTTACCCCCATTGTTTTGTAATAATGACTTATGGAAATTACCTAAATGTCTAACAGGAAAATATTGGTTTAAAGAACCAATTTAAAACTTATTTAAAGAATGGACTACTATGCAATAATTTAAAGCTTTGGAAAACTACTCAATATATGCAATGAAAAGCAAGTTATAAATTTGTTTAGTATAGTTCCCATTTGTAACAAATTTAATGCTTTAAATAAGTGTGTGTATATACAAGACACATTGTGTAGTATAGAAAAAAAACCAAAAGTATATATACCAAATTTTAGCAGTATTTCTTGGCAGTGAGATTATAGGTAATATCAATTTATGTTACACTTTTTTAAATGATTTTTTTGAATTTTTACAGTGACAAATTATTATAGTTGTTATCAGGAGGAAAATAGTTGGTGTTCTTTTTAACAAATATATTTAAAGGGCATTGAAGAAGTGACATTCTCCTAGCTTGGCTTAAGGAACTATTTACCTTTCATTTATTCTAATGTTTTCAATTTCTCGGATGGAAAACTGAGATCCAGAGAAAATGGGTGTTCACACAGATAATTGGGCAGAGCCTTGCTAGCTCCCAGCACAGTCTTTTCTGGTTTTCCAAGCTACCTTGTCAGCAACCAGACTTCATTTAGTCAGCACAAGTTAATGAACAATTTTGTTCACAGCTCAAGCTAATCCAAGATACAGGGTTCCACGTCATTTGCTGAATGAAATGGATGCAGCCAACATTGAACTACAAACAAAAAGGTAACTGACTTTAGAGACTGAATGGTTTTTCTGGAGAATGAATCTCATTTAGGTCTTAAGTATTCAATAAGGAAAATTAAAAAGGAAAAAAGCCAGCTAGTTAATGCCAATATCTGTTTAGCAACTGAATTTTTATAGTGAGAGTATCTTTTACTTTGAAATTATCCATATCTGTGAGAAATTATCCATTCTCTTTTGAGAACGAAATAATGACACATAAATGGCCATTGCTAAGTAGGAATTGAAGCCTAAGAAGACTGGAGAGATCTGTGAGCACATAGTTGAGCTAAACAAATTTGTTCCCTTGGTACAAAGAGAGCCTGCTATGAAAATCACTCCTCCTGTTTAAGTAGCTGTGTTTAGATAGCTGTGAAGAACTACATGTAGCGACAGAGACCAGAGGTGGGCATAGGAAGGCACTGTAGATTCTACGAACTGTTGGGCTTACTGTCAATCTTGGGAGAACCTGTAATGGATTTTTAAAGGGATAGTTTGGGAGAACTTGATTTTCTCAGCATTCTCTTTTGAGGTCTAACCTTGGACCCTGAAGAACTAATTCTGTATTTGCTCTCTGACGTGCTCAGTGGGGTATTGGGTTAGAGAAATGGAAACCGCATGGTCTTTTCATGCACCCAAGTGGCTGGTTATGTAGCTGGGTGTGTTCAACATTTTTATCACTGACTTGAAGCTGGGGGGGGAAATGGCAGGTAGATTTAATGGCAAGGCAAGATTACAGGAAATCTCAATAAAAATCAAGACACTAAAAGTATAAAAACTTAAAAGATTAAAATATCTTAAGCATAAAAAGTAACCTGCATGAGTGGTGTGGCTTAGCAGTTGGTATTAAAAACCAAAAACAAAACCTAAGAGATTTTAGTCGTGGTTATCAAAAAAGCTAATGCTATCTTTGACCACATTAATAGAATATGTGAGAAGTACCTGGGTGGTGGTGATAGCCTCATCCACGCTCCATTGGGCTGCCTGGAGTAGAGCGTTTGACACCATGCTTCAAGGCTGCTGCTGAGGACCTTTGACCTGGAGGGTGGGACTCAGGAGGACCATGAGATCGACTTCAGATATTTTATGGGAGACTCTATGGATTTAGTGGAAGTCAGGGTGAATTAGAAGTTTGTAAATCGGACACTGCACAGTTATTAGGAGCAGGTTTCTGGCATTTAGTTCATAACTATAATTGCAGGGTTGGCAGATTTCGAGTGTCACTATTCAGAGTATCATTGCACAGTGTACGTTAAAACTCATTTTCCTTGGAATTCAAGATGGCAGAGCTATTTGCTATTTATTGAGAAACTGAAATGAGTCATTTTGGAGCACGGAAGAAAATGATGTTAACTGCTCAGGTGGAATGGAGAATATGTATTTAGGTTGTAAATCAAATATTTTTGGTTTGAGATAAAACCGTTTTTGTTATAAAAACATAACATTTATATATATATATATATATATTTTTTTTATGCCTCTTTAAAGGGCAGAATATGATTCTACAAACAATTTAGAGCTGCACCTCCACCTGGGTCCTCATTATCATTTCTTCAATGGGGCCCTGCACCCAGTGGTCTCTCAAACAGAAAGCGTGTGGGATTTAACATTTGATAAAAGAAAAACTTTAGGAGATCTTCGACAATCAATATTTCAGGTAATTTAGCTGTACTTCTTCTTAATTTAGACATTAAGGTCCAACTCAAGCTGGATTCTTCTTTTCAAAAACCCTATTTAAGATATAACTATTTATTTTTCAAAGCTGCTTAGAAAAATTCTACATCTGCCAGTTCCATAGAGGGATGACCCAAATGTTCTTCCCGCACGGCCAAGCCCGGTAGAGAGAGGCATCTCTGCACAGCCAGAGACAGTCCTGCCAGGGGCTTTTCAGGGGGAGAATCAACCTGGCATATTGTATTTTGAGGAGAGAAAGAGCTCAAGGTTGTCTCTTTTTTTGAAAAATAAATGTAAGAAGTGTTTTTAAAGGTAATGGAGGGGTAGAAATAAGCATGTTGTCTAAAACCAAGAACTGCTAAAACAAGTAAAAACAGCTGACTTTTCTACCTTTCAGTACAGAGTAGCATTTATTAAGATTGCTAAGTGAAGGAAAATATCTCCTGGTTTATAATAAAACAAACATCGTCATAATCTTTGTTTCCAAATAATGTGTCCAGTTGTGTTTTAATGACAGTAACAACAGTGCTTTTTATTTTACTTCCAGTGCTTTCATATTAACTATGTCATTTGGTTCGTTAACCTCAGGGGACAAGCTAACTAATCCCATCTTAAAGGTGAAGAAATTTTGATTGCCGTGGTCATGCATGTATTAGTGGTGGGAACTAGGATTCCAGTCCTGGTCTCTCTCTTCTCTTTACTTTTAAACACACATCTTCACCCTATACTACTTCCTGATCAAGGAAAAGGAAAATAGAAAATGTTAGCTCCCCCCTCCCCCCAGAAATCATTGAATTTTCTGAAAAACTGTATCAGTTAGCAGAATTATTAGCTTTCCTTTGATTTTCCTCTTGTACAAAGAAAAGTAGGCCAATTTCCTTTTTAACTTGAGTTGATTTGAATGGTATTTAAATGTTCGATCTGCATTAGGATTTCTAAAATTGTCTAAAACCAAGAACTGCTAAAACAATATTTCTGAACTTTTGCATTAAAAGTGCATTTCTGAGCTATTCCTGGCAGTGTTGATATAGGTGGGGCCGGGGATCTGACCCTGTCTGGGGTGACATTAGGTGACAAATGGAAGAGACCTTTAAGTGCACATGTGTGTCATCTTAGAAGCCAGCTACTGAAAAGAGCTGTGAGGTTGACATAGTTCACTAATCCCTGGTAAAGATGAAATTTCTAAGAGAATTGTCTTGTGGTATTGTGGAGAGAGACTAAATAGAACTCATCTTTATGGGTGATGTTATTTTGGCGAGGTTATCACAGTCCCCAGAGTCTTGGATCTACACACTTAAAACACAGACCCCGGTAATCTGTTCCACTGCTGCAATTGACTGCGGGAACATTCCTTTCGGTTGTCCGAGTCGGGGCCACTTTTTCTGGAACAGCACTAATTAAACAGTCGTTTTGCTCTCTGGGAAAGACTCCTGGGCTGGTGTGCTGATCGTTTTGCCGCTGGTATAAATGGTCTTCCCATAGTCATGCGGAGTTGTTCAGATGGTCCTTATGCTCTTTGTGTGTGCCAGGATTTTTCTGTTGCTAATGGATGGGATTAACCATCTTTGATTGAACTAATTTAACAGTGAGTAATGTCTTCTTTCCTCACTTGCGGTATTGGGTGGGGATGGAAGTATTCATTTGTTTGTTCTCTGTACCCTCCACCTATGTAAATTGGCACCCATTGCTTGTTTTATTTAACCAAGAAATGTGATATATGTCACTTTTCCTTGTTCTCTTTTCTTTTATAAATATTCTGTAGCTATTAGAATTTTGGGAAGGAGACATGGTTCTTAGTATTGCCAAGTTTGTACCAGCAGGACTGCACATCTATCAGACACTTGATGGTAAGATAAATATTAAGACACAGCAGCTCATTTTACATATTTATATTTTTGTGGAGCTCATCTGTGATTTTCTACTCTTGGCCACTTTCCCCCTACCTACTACTTTCTTAACTATGTAATTTATCCAATTTATAATGTGCCTAATTTATGTAACATGAAATTCTGCTAACATGGAACCAGTTTATATTTTCTGAAATTAAGGCTGCCTCTGTATCCTCACCTATGGATATGTTTTTTTTGGTTTTAGAAAGGAAGGAATATGGGGGGAGAGAGAGAAACATGGATTGGCTGCCTCCTGCACGTACCGCGACTGGGGACCGAACCTGAGACTGAGGCATGTGCCCTGACTGGAAATCGCACCTGCAGCCTTTTGGTGTATGGAATGGCACTCCAGCCAACGGAGCCATCCAGCCAGGGCTGTGTAGCTTGATTATTTTACTCCTAGCTTCACATTTTGTAGCAAAACAAACAAATATACTTAAAGAGTTCTAAAGTATTTACTTCCTTTAAATAACAACAAAACAGTAATATAGCAGTCATAGTGGTAACAGTTATTTTGGACCTCACTCTGCCAAATACTGAGATAAGTGTTTTATCAAAATTATCTCATTTGATTGTCACAAAATTCCTTTACCCCCATTTCATACAAGAGAAAACTGAAGCTTAGAGACTTGACGTGCACAAGGACATAACATCTAATTACTGATGAGCAGGGACCATTTGATGTCTAAGCCTTATTCCCGTTCACAAGGTCAAGTACAACTGACTGTATATTAAACTCTTCTGTTCTCATGCTCACAAAGTTTATGCAGCAACATGGGGAAATGCTTACATAAAACAGAAGGTTTCAAAACTAAAGGGTGTGATGGGAAGAATAAAGATAAACAATTATTAATATAATAAACATAATTTCTCCCTTCTTAATTTTCTTATTGGGAATGCTTTTTCAAAAAATATTTAAGTGGCTCAGCTTTTTCTTGAGCTAAGCTGATTTTAATAGTGACGATGCACAGTCTCACTGACGCTCACCTTCCTAGGAGATGACCTGACGCTGTGTGAGACTGAGCTCGCTGGTGAGGAGGACATCTTCGTATGGAACGGGGCGGAGGTAAAAAGGATTGAAGAGATGGTCATTATAGTTTGGGGTTTTTTAAAGTTGTCATAATGAAATTTTATTCAGCACATGTGAAGACAATTCAACATTAGAAAACTATGGCATACTGAATAAATTTTAGGAGCAGTCAGTAGTGAAGTGTTAGAGAGACTCTCTGAGCACCTCCACTCTGCCAGGCCGTGTCAGACCCTGGCACAAAGATTCCGGCTCCATGCTGTAACTGCACTAATGTGAGTGCGAGTGGGGTCTGTGCGTGTTCCTGGTGGGTTCCAGAGGGGCGAGCGGCTCTGCCGAGTCAGGGATGGGGGTGACTTGCAGGAGCAGAGTGCACTCTATGTCAGGAAAGGGGCAGGGGCACCCCAGCCACGCTGCGGACTGTCTGCCCCTGGTCCACCTCACGTGTTCTGAGGCTTCATTACCACCCCTGAGGGCTCACCCGTCTCTGTCCCCACTCCAGATTTCTCTCCTCAAAAATAAAACACGGCTAAGAGAAAGTTTCAAAGGAAGAATCTAAAGTTATTTTTCTGATACAAGACATTTGTGAAAACTGTACTTCACTTGAAAAGAAAAAAATTGAGAAATGTGCTGCAAGAGTAGTCTTTTACTGCATTATTATGTTGACTTAATTTTGGCAAATGTGAACTATACTAATGGTTGTTTTGATATCATTGTAGGTTGGCGGGATCCAGATTTCAACTGGTAGCGACTGTGAACCTCTGCTTTTAAATGTCTTCCACCTAGCAACAGGCCGCGACCAGTGTCAGCAGTTGGTAGAATCTCCACATGTCTTTCCTGCTAATGCAGAAGTGGGCACTGTATTCGCAGCCTTAGCCATCCCAGGAGGCGCTGTCTTCACCAGCAGCGCCGGGTCTGTGGGCGAGGAGCGCTGGACCGCCGTTCCCACGGAGGGCCTGAAGAAGACCTTCAGGGAGCTCGGTCTCGGCAACGGAAGCGCGATTTGGGTTCAGGGATCCAGGGATGGTGATCACAGGTAACTCACTAAAAAGAATTTTAAAGTTATTTAAATTAGAGCACTATCTCTTGGAACTAACTCTGAAGCTTTAATAAGAGTTAAATGTTTCTTCTTATTTCTAGACATTGTTTTCTATGTTTTGTAAGTAGGTCAGGCAAGTTGGAGGTAACTTGTATTGTGATACGATTTTTTCGTAAATGTAATAACTAAATAACATAGGAATGGATATAGTCTAGTTGACTATAAAGCAGAGTCCCATCTGAGGAATTCTGATTAGTGCTCATTATAAAACTGAAGACATATTCTCACAAAAATTGTTCCTGAAATTTTTTGTGAGGATGATGTTAAGATCGTAGCTAAATTTATCTGACTATTTTGTCACACAAATTCCATGAGGCAGTTCAGTTTTTCATCACCGTCCTTTTTATGACTCTTGAGATCCTCCCAGCTGCCCACATAGGGCAGTTACATGGGGAATTATGCCCTTGACTCTAAGTCACTTTGGAACCCAGAAATGCCGCCTTTCTCCATTTCTGTTACCCATGTCCTGACCGTGTATAGTGTCAGTTTCTGTAGTCATTGTCATACACTGTAACCCCCCAAATTTCCATATATAGGAGATTTTTGGCTACAAACAATGAATCAGTTACCCCCTCCTCAGGGCTGCGAATGTACTTAGATGACATGGTCCGTAGTATTATTGACAGTGGCCATAACACAGAGGAGCAGAGCATTTGTGAACTGGGCTAATTTTGATAACATTTATCACTATTACTCTTTTGGATGGTTGTTTTCCATACATTTATTTCCCCACCGTGTGTATTTAGTTAAAAAGTTCATCATCTTTCTTTTTTTATTTATTTATGTTTCCAATCTTCACCTGAGGATATTTTTCCATTGATATGTTCTAGATAGAGTGGGGGGAGGGAGATAAAGAGAGAAACTTCGATATGAGAAAGACACATTGGTTGCCTCCCGCATGATCCTGACCTGGCCGGGGATTGAACCCACAATCAAAGAATGTGCTCTTGACTGGGAATTGAACTTGTGACTCTTTGGTCCGCAGGCTGACAAACTAACCACTGAGCCAAACCTGCCAGGGCTATTGTCTTTCTCTTTTAAAGTAATATACCTTTATTAGGACTTGGGAAATACAAAAGTAAAGATGGGAGAATGAAAGCAGAGTCCCTGTACCTCCCAAATAGTGTTCATCATTGTTAGCGTTCCTGTTTGTCTGAGCTCAAATAATTGTTTTTTTTGTTTTGAAGGCTTTTTTTTAAAAACATGATTTTTTGTAGATAGCTATATCCTACTTTTCCCATGTGTGTAGACTTTATAAACCTCATTTCATGGCTACATAATAATCAGTGTAGATGTTACAGTTTACCCAGCTGCTCCTGTGGGAGACAGTCCATATAGTGGGTCAGGATGAGGGCTCTGGAACCAGCTCCCTGGATCTGTTTCCAGCTTTATCACTTCCTAACGGTGACCATGGGCAAGTTACTTCATCTTTCTCTGCTCAGTTTCTTCTGTAAAATAGGGGTAGTAATTAGTATCAACTTCATAGAGCTGTAAGGATTGAAAGATTTAAGTGCCTACAAAGTGTGCATAATGTAAGTGCTGAATATTTTAGCTAATATTGTCATCATCATTCAGCTTTTCGCTATTTTAAGGGTTTATGGAACATCTTTGTGCTTCAAACTTTGCTGTATTTAGAATTGCTAAGGTCAAATGGAGTCCGGAGAGGAATAACTGAAATAAATAGAATTGTGTTTCAGGGCTCTGATATGTACTCCCAAAGAGCCCACTCAGTGCCTCTGTGTGAATTAGAAAGAAGTCACTTGTCTGGCTGGTAGGGCTCAGTGGTTGTGCATCAACCCATGCACCAAGAGGTTGCTGGTTCGATTCCCGGTCAGGACACATGCCCACATTGTGGGCCTGATCCTCAGTGGGGGACATGCAGGAGGCGGCCAATCAATGTTCTCTCTCATCGATGTTTCTATCTCTCTCTCCCTCTCACTTCCTCTTTCTCTAAAATCAATAAAGGGAAAAAAAATTTTTTAAAAAAGAAGGAAGTCACTCTTTCATTGAGATCCTTCATTACTGCTACCTGCAGGCTGCTATCTGGTTGGAACAACACCCTGCTGCCATCTGCTTATAAAATAGCACTTATAATAAACATACAAATATTCAGTGTGTCTGATCCCCTTAGCTGTGCAGTGATCCTGCATGAGTGGACATGGCTGTCCTGTGGGTGGGCCTCTGGCATAGCTGCCCTTTTACAGCGCCCATAGTGATTCCAGTGTGCAGGCAGCAGGCAGCAGCTGTGGCTCAGTGACAGCGGTTCTCTTTGAAAGGGTGGCGACAAATTATTTGTCACTCTAAGTCAAAGAATATTTGAATCATGAATATAGATTCCATAGAATAGAGACTCCAGAGTACTGCCTAACACTACGCTAAAAAGACAGACAACTGTCATAAAGCCAGCTCAGTAGAAGTGGGTCACCTTCAGTTAGTCACATTAAGGAACAGATGCAGACTTTTAGAAGTGGTGCCTAAGGAAAAGTATTGATTTTCTGATTCTTCCTGATCCATAAAAGTGCTGTGTAAAGATACATTTTTTCAAACATCTTTTTACCTACAGTTTGTTGACCAAACAAGGGAAATGGATTACTAGTGTGAATGAGATCGACTGGGTCCAAGTTAATAATTTATGCCAATTAGAATCTGAAGAGGAGCAAGTTAAAATATCAGCAACTGTTAACACAGTGAGTAGATTATAATTCAAGTTTGGTTGACAGTGTTTTAGTTAACAGAATTTTATTTAGAAAGCAATACCTTACTCTTTCAGAAAAGTCTAGGTAGACTTCTAAAACTTAAGAAATCAATGTTTTATTTTTAATACTTAATTTTTGCTTCTTTACTTATTATTAGTCATTGGCATATCTCAAAATACGTGCTTCTTTTTCTCCAAAACCTAGAATTAGAATGTGAGAGTTAGCTATTTCATTAGTCCATGGACTCCTCTAGCTTTGTTATAAAATCTATAATGCTACATCATAATACAAATATATATTTAAACTTATCAAAATATGAAATGATATTTTCAAGGGTCTTTTGGTATTTTTTAAACCAGGTACATATGTTTTGTGTTGTTTTTGTTTTTTAATTTAACTGAACTTGCTCTGCGTTATACCCTGTGCTCTGTATAAAACACCCTCTCTTTAAAAGGGATTTCCTCCTTCAGTCTTCCATTTGAAGACTGTGGTACTTGTTTCCTTACACATTCGTTCAGAAAACATCTTTTTATCTTTATGTAGTCTCAATTCATTAAATTTTTCTCTGTAACATTAAAAGAAACATTAGAATGATTCCTTTTCTGTGAGTATTATGATTTCTTAAGGTGCATTAGTAATAGTTGGTATAGTAAAGGGGACAGTATAAGACCAATGTACTAAGGCTCTGGAGACCTACCACCTGACGCCACTTGGGAGACTGAAGTCGTCGAGCCCTCTCAGCACACTGTGGGGCACTGGTGGGGGGCGGAGTGGATCTCTGACATCACTTCACCCCTAAGTTTACAGTTTTATGCCCTAGAGGCAACTGGCCTAAGCTAAAACGAAAAAAGTTCTAAAATAAAGTAATTTAAACAGTCATTTTAAATAATTACTTTGGATTAGTATTGTACATTTTAATATTATTTCTGCTTATTGGCAATGAATTCTTCATTCTTAACATAAAGAAGTGTAATTACCTGAAATTTCTTTTGTTTCCTCTCATCAGAAAGATTAGCGGTTTGTCAATTTTTTGTTTTTCTAGCTAGAATTGTTTCTCTGGTTTTCTATAGGAGTCCTTTCTGTTCCAATTAACATTACTTTGGTTAAAACTCGCTATTAAGATACAAGTTTTTTATTTTGACTTTGTAGAAGGGAGAAAAGGAATTTCAGGGATGGAGAAAATTTTGTTTCAAGTAGGCAAAAACTACGAAATGTCAGGTAATGAATAGCTCAGTCTGTATACGCACACACTGACAGTCTCCATCTCTTCCTCCCCCATTGTTTTCACCCTATACACAGTCATAGTTTATTTCTCTATTTTAGGTGGTGTTTGATATTCGAATTAAAGCCATAAAGGAATTAAAATTAATGGAGGAACTAGGTAATCATTTATGTTTGCTTTTGATTTTTGGTTTTGGTTTTTAATTGAAAAAATTAAGGGAGACTACAAAAAATAATTTAGGGAAAACTCATGCACCTACCACCCAAAATGGACAGATGTTAACATTTCGTCATGTTTGTTTTTTGGAAACATTACAAAGTCTTCTGTGTCCTCCTCAGAACTCTCTCTCCCTCCCCAGATGCAACGAGTATATCTGGTTTGGGTGTGTGTCTAGTCTGTGTACTCGTTTTGTATGTAATATGTTTCCATATATATGTTTATGTGTATGTTGTATTTTTACATTTACATAAATTATACTGAATATAGAATTCTGCAAATTCACTATTCACTCAGCATTGGGCTTTCTTTAACAGTCTTATTACAATAAGGTACAATTTACATAACATCAAACACCCGTCTGGAGTGTAATTCAATGATTATTAGTTAATGTATAGAGTTGTACAACCATCACTGTAATTGAGTTTTAGAACATTTTCATCACTCCAAAATGATCCCTCATTACTATTTGCATTCTGAGCCCCCGGCAACCACTCACCTACACTCTGTCTGTCTAGATTTGCTTTTCTGGACATTTTGTGTAAATGGAACCATGTAACATATCGTCTTTTGTGTCTGGCTTCTTTCACTTAACATTCCATTTTTGGGTTCATCCATGATTTAGCATGTATCAGTAATTTGTTCCTTTTTACTATGCTGACTAGTGTTCCATTGTATGAATATGTCACATTTTGTTTATTCATTCACCAGTTGATTGATTCATTCACTTTTTGGTTTTTATGAATAGTATGCTATAAACATTATCTTTGTATAGACATGTGTTTTCATTCTCTTGGGTAGATATGCAGGATTGGACTTGCAGGGTGAAATAGCATATTTATGTTCAGCTTTATAAGAAACTGCCATACTGCTTTCCAAAGTGACTGAACCAGCAGCATGTCTGGGTTATAGCTTCTCCATGTCCTTGGCACCAGTTGTAATTGTGTTTTTTTATAGCCATTCCAGTGAATAGGAACTGGTATCATGGTGTGTTTAATTGTATTTTTTTTATGCAATGATGGTGAGCACTGTTGATGTGCTTATTTTCCATTTGTACATCCTAAGGAGTCTGTTAAAAGGTTACTAGAGTCTGGCCAGTGTGGCTCAGTGGATTGAGCGCCATCCTATGGACTGAGAGGTCCTGGTTTGATCCCTGGTTAGGGCACATGCCCGGGTTGTGGGCTAAATCTCCAGTAGGGGGAGTGCAGAAGGCAGCCAATCGATATTTCTGTTCGATGTTTCTATCTCTCTCCTTCCCTCTCTCTCTAAAAATATCAATAAAAACTTTTTTTTAAAAAAAGCTACTAGAAATTAGTGAGTTTAACAGAAACTCAAATCAGTATACAAAAATCTATTGCATATTTATCTACTAGCAACAAAAACAAATGGAAAATTAAGAAAATACTTGCCCTAGCCAGTTTGGTTCAACAGTTAGAGCATGAGCCTGTGGACCAAATAGTTGCAGGTTTGATTCCGGTCAAGGGTTCATACCTCGGTTGCTATTCAATCCCCAGCCCTGGTTGGGGTCATGTAGGAGGCAAGCAGTCAATGTGTATCTCTCACATCGATGTTTCTCTCTCTCTCTCTCTCTCCCTCTCTTTCTCTGCCCCCCCCCCCCATCTGAAAATCGATGGAGGAATATCCTCAGGTGAGGATTTAAAAAAAGAAAACACTTAGAATAAGATACCATGAAATACTTAGGGATAAATTTAACAAAATGTGTGTAAGACCTGTATACTGAAAATTAGAAAACATTGCTGTGAGGAATAAAAAAAGACCTGAACAAACGGAATGATGTACCGTTTTCTGGGGTTGGAAGACATAATATTGTTAAGAGGCTAATTCTCTCAAAATTAATTTGTAGACAGAATGCAGTTGCACTCAAAATTATAGCAGGTTGGGAGGGGAATGATTCTTTAGTTTATGTGGAAATGCAAAGGACCTAAGCATCCATAACAATGTGGGGAAGGAAAACAAAGTTGGAAGAGTCCCACTGTCTGATTTCGAGACTGTTGGAGTTGAGACATTGTGTATTGGCATAAGAGTAGACAGACCAGGGGTCACAGGCAGTGGCCTACAGCCTGTTTCTGTGCAGCCAGTGAGCTAAGAATAGGTTTTCATTTTCTAAAGGGCTCTTTTAATAAGAATCTGCAACAGCGATCATAACTGGTTTTCGAAGCCTAAAATATATGCAACAGAACTACACTGAGAATACAAAAATAAGTGCAAACATATTTAGGCAGTTGACTTTCAACAAAAGCGCCAAGGCATTGCCAAGGGGAAAGGCAGTATATTTTCAGCCTAAGTGCTAGACCTGTTAGACCCCAGAGATGCAGAGAAAACCTCCAGCTCTGCTTACATCGCATAAAACACCAGTTCAACATGTATCTAGGTCTAAATGTTAAAACCTAAAACAGATTTCTGGAAGAAAACATGAGAAAATCTCTGTTACTTTTACCGTAAGGAAAATATATTGTTTTTAAGATAGGACTCAGAAAGTATAAACCATGAAAGAAAACTAATAAATTAGACTGCCTCCAAATAATAGAACTTCTGTTCTTCAAAAAGCAAGCCACAAACTGGGAGAAAAATATTATAAAACATATTTGGCAATAGACTTACATCAGGTTATATAAAAAATACTTGTAACCTAATCAAAAGACAACCCAACCCAAATCAAGAGGATACCTTGCAAAAGAAGACCGACCTATAAATGACCGACATGCCAGGAAAGATGCTCAGTATCATTAGCTGCCAAACGAAGACCATAATGACCCCACTGCACCCCCCAGAGAATGATTAAAATTATAGGTGCTGACTGAACCCAGGGGCAGTGGAGAAGGACACAGGTGCGGCCATGCATTGCTGCCGGGAGGGGAGAATGTTAGTCACTTTGGTAGAGTCCGTCTGTTTCTGATTGATGTAAACCTTCGCCTACCAGTTCTAGATTCACCCAAGGGAAATTGAAATATGTATACTGACACATACTGCGCACACTCTGCATAGCCAGAAACTGAAACGATCCATTTGTCTGTGAGTAGGTGAATGAAGGACCAGATTGTGGTGTATCCACACAACAGGATGCTGTTCGTCAATGAAAGGAGCGAATGGCCGCCACAGACATGGATGACTCCGAGACGTTATGCCAAGCCAGAGCTAGACACAAAGGAGTATACTCTTACTCCATTTACACGACATTTTTGAAAAAGAAAACCCAAGCTGTAGTTCCAGAGGCAAATAAAAATTGGGAGTGGGGTTGACTGCAGAGAGCTGCATGGGAATTTTGGGGAATGATGAGAATTTTATCTCAATTTGCTGGTGGCTGCCTAGTGTTTATATCAGACACTTTGTACAGTTAAACTGGATGTGTGTTATAGGGAAATTATACCTCAGAAAACTTGATTAAAGTATATGGTTTATTAAAATGAATAGTCTGTCGCCCTGGCCAGTTTGGCTCAGTGGTTAGAGTGTTGGCCCATGGACGTAAGAGCCTTGGATTTGATTCCCAGTCAAGGTCACATACCTGGGTTGCTGGTTTGATCCCCAGCCCGGCAGGGTGCATGCGAGAGGCAACCAATCCATGTGTCTCTCACACTGAGGTCTCTCTCTCTCTCTCTCTCTCTCTCTCTCTTTCACCTGCCCTCCCTCTTTCTTCCTTTTCCTTTCCCTAACCCCACTCCCTGCCTTCCACTGTGTCTCAAAATTAATGGGAAAAATTCTTGGGTAAAGGTTAACAAAACCAATAATGATGAAATGAATAGCTTGTCTCCCCGTATAACAGGTCTCCCCTCCCAACCATTCTCCCTGTGGCCTGGGATCGTAAAGTGGGTGAATGGGAGCCTGGGCCCCTGCCCCAGCCCTGGAGCGCTCCCCCTGCACGTGGGCTCCCCTAGCCACAGAGCCCCTCCGGCTGCCCCAGCCTAGCCGCTGCGCCCCAGGCCGGCGGAGTTCTCGTGCCAGGCTCTCCCCCGCTCTTCCTTCTCAGTCCTGTCGTCCCCCAGGGCTCGGCCCTCACTTCAGTCGTCCGGCGGGTCGCCGCTGAGATTTCACTTCTCCAGTGTCCCTGACCACAGTCTCACCTCGTCTCTGTTTCGGAAGAGCCCTGTGCTGTTGCTCGGGGTGCCTATGCTGCGACACCGTGTTAGTGCGGCGAGGCCCCGAGGGCAGCAGCCGCGGCCGTCCCCTCCCTCCTGCGATGGCAGCTTCTGGTGCGGTGCCCGGCGCCGAGGAGACTCTGTGTTTTCTCAGTGAAGGCGAAGAGAAACTGAAGGAGACATTTCAAATGTATTTTTCAATTGGAGAATTCTTTTCATAAGTTGAGTCATTTGTCAGAAAAAGCATATTAGAACCATATGCTAGTTTCATCTGACTGATAGAAGATGTGGAGCTCGGGAATCTCAGAAAGAGCTGCCAAGGTCTAAGAACGTTGGCGCCTCTAAGACCCTGCCGCTCCTGCCCTCTTGCCCTCTCAGAAGGCTCCAGCCCTTCTAACGCCCTGTCTCAGATCCACTTCGTGAGAGCCCCGCTTGGACTGAACCAGGTGTGCTCCTTCCCACAACGCAGGAATCCTTGCATCCTCACAAATAGGGCACACCTGCCCCAACCCACTGCACGGACATTAAAAAAATCGCCGAACGTATCGTAAATAGAGGCTGTCTCTGCCCGGGTCCGATGTGCACACATTTCAGTTACCACGGTTTATTACATAACAGTAGTTAACCAGCACCATGGTTCAAATTCCAGCTACCACTGGATGTAGCTGAGTGATCACATAAAGCACACACTTGGCTACTAGCTCCAGTCCACTGGTCACTACATAAACTACAGGTGTGCACCACTGCGGGTCTGAACAGCAGCATGTGTAGGTCACTGCCTCCGTTTCTACCGGGGTGGACCACATGACATTTCATAAGGACAGGTCACTGGACTGGCCAGCAAAGACAGAAGTGCAGCAAAGAAACAAAGCACATGGAGTGACAAGAAATAGCTGACAAGGGGTGTTGATATGCAGTCCTGCGAGAGACTAGCCATGCAGGTGGATGACCTTAATGGACGGGAACTTACCGCAGAAGTGAGGACATGGTTGTGACAGGAAGGATGAAGCTATCCCAGGAGAAGTGACGCTGGCAAAAGAACTTCACGTTAAAGGATCTCTTGGACATACTGTATGAGTTGAAAACAAAATATAAAATACTGGAAGCGGATCCAAACTTAGAAATCTGAGTATGGTGATCTGATGGGAAAGATGCGCACTCTGTAGCATAGCCTCACGGTGAGCAGAAGAGAGAAGCCCTGTTGACACTCTCCTTGATGTGTTTTAACTAAGAAATAAAACGTGATCATACATGTTTTTAGTTTTTTAAATTATGGTGTCAATATTAGCTTTGCAGTTTTCTTTATTTCATTTCACATGTGTAACTGACAGTTTTAAATGTTTTGACAACTGTCTAAAGGTCAAGAACAGTCGCAGTTTTTCTCCCTGGTATGAAGATGGCTTTGCCCAGCTTCAGCTTGCACAGGCTCTGCCCTGCCGTGCAGCGAGGGCTGCCTGCGCGCGCTGGTTGTGGGGCTGGGGCTTTGTTTTTCTAGCTCCTTGTAGCTTCCTTGTAATTAGCCGAGTAGAGACTCTCTCTTTAGTTTTCTTTGGTGCACTAACCAGCTTCTTTTTACTTGTAGCTGAGAACAGCTGTTTGAGACCTATTGATAGAAATGGGAAGCTTCTTTGTCCAGGTAAATCTTTGTGGTAAAGCTGACACGTACTCATGTTCTCTGACTTTTTTAACACTTTTACTTGAAAAGATGGTTTCCAGTACCTAATATTCTTAACTCACCTTTTAAAAATTGATTTATAGGACACACCATCATCCAGGTGTTTGACCTGTGTATTAAAGAACATCTTAACCAAAAATTCAAACCATTCCGTTTTCTAGAGTGGAACACCTGACTTTCTGATGAGCTGATCCTCATTTTAGTCATGGTTTTGATCTAGTTGTATCTTTGTAGGTTTATTGTCATGTTTTTGTGTGCTAACTTTATTGAGATAACTGTTATGGAATCGAGTCTTTGTTCGCACCTGTGTAACACATCTTGTCATAGATTTAATTGAGTCTAACTGTTGATGGTAGTCACCAAAGCAGCTTTAAACTTGGAAGAAGCTAGCCCATCATGAATCGATTCAGAATATCTAACTTGTAATCTGTGTAAGCAACAGCTTCTTGATTTTTATAAATACGACTCTAGAAGAGGCATAGCCACCTCTGATACCATAGCGTTGTTGTACAGATGACAGGAACAATGTGCTCTGGAATGTGTGACTAGAAATCAAACATACCCATTACCACATGTAATCATTTTGCATGGAATGCAGCTTTTTTCTTTCTTTCTTGACATTCTTGATTTTCAAAGAAAACTTATTTCAGTACATGATTTTGCCCAGATAGGTAGTTGTTAATATTCATGACGTTATCAAAATTATTTGTAGTGCCAGACAGTTGCACTTTGAAGGAAGCAGAACTGAAGATGGGGAGCTCACTGGGTCTCTGTCCTGGAAGACCACCAACTTCCTCTCAGGTAACGCCAGGTGGCACCCCAGCCCCTTCCCCCAATAAGGTCTTCATTTTGTAATTCATGCCTTAACGACTGCAGTAATGCTGTTATTCTTAAACATTTTCTTTTCTTTCGGTAATACCTTTGGTTGTAGGAATACATCCATATATAGTTCTCTGTGCATAAATAAAAAATATTAGCCAGGCCGGAGTGGCTCAGTTGATTGCACATCATCCTGTGCACCAAAAGGTCACCGGTTCTATTGCCTAGTAAGGGCACATACCTGGGTTTCAGGTTTGATCCCTGGTCAGGGGCTGGTGTGGAAAGGAGCCCATCAGTGTTTTTCTCTCTCTGTCTTCCCCGTCCTCTCTCTCAGCATGTTCTCAGTTGAGGGTCCAGAAAAGAAACTGTAGCCCAGTCAGTGTGGCCGAGTGGATTGAGCATCGTTCCATGGACTGAGAGGTTCTGGTTCAGTTCCCAGTAACGGTGTGCAGGAGGCAGCCGATCGACGTTTCTCCCTTACGTCAATGTTCCTATCTCTCTCTCCCATTCCTCTCTCTAAAAAAGTTAATAAAAATACATACTTTAAAAAATTTATAAATAAAAAATAGCCCTGGACAGTTTGGTTCAGCAGTTAGAGCATCAACCCTCAGACCAAAGAGTCTGTTTTGATTCTTGGCCAAGGGCATGTACCTCAATGGTGAGTTTGATCCCTGAGCCTGGTCAGGGTCCTGCAGGAGGCAACCAATTGATGTGTCTGTCTCACATCTGTGTCTGTTTTGCTCTCATCAATGTGTCTGTCTGTCTGTCTCTCTCCTTCCTTCCCTCCCTCCCTATCTAAAAAAAAAAAAAAAAAAGCTCTGGTCGGTTTGGCTCAGCGGTTAGAGCGTCGGCCTGCGGTCCGGAGAGACCCAGGTTCGGTTCCCGCTAAGGGCACGTACCTTGGTTGCAGTTTGTCCCCAGCCCGGGTTGGGTTGTGTGGGTGGCAACCACTCGATGTGTCACTTTCACGTCGATGTTTCGCTCTCTCTCTCTCCCTCTCACTCTATCTGAACAAAATATCGAAAAATGTCCTCGGGTGAGGATAAGAAAAAAAAAAAAAATCAGTGGAAAAATATCCTCAGGTGAAGATTAAAAATATGCATACATATTATTTCAAAGCATATTCGTAAGATTCGTTTTTTGTGAAAATATTGTGGTTAAGGGGGATCTTTAAAGATGAGTGGCTACCAGTTTTATCCACATTTCAGAAATTCCGAAATGTTCCCTCCCCCCTTCTAAGGTCTGGGAGAGCCTGCTCCTTTCGTCCGCGGCGCCCTGCAGTTGTCGGCCATTCTGGTTCCTTTTATTATTATTATTTCTTTAAATTCTCACCCGAGGACACTTTTGATTTATCTTCAGATAGAGCCGGAGGGAGAACGGGAGGGGGAGAGAGAGAGAAACATCGACGTGAAAGGGACACATCGAGTGGCTGCCACCCACACGACCCCAACTGGGGCCGGGGACAAACTGCAACCAAGGTACGTGCCCTTAGCGGGAACTGAACCCGTCCATGGGCCAACACTCTAACCGCTGAGCCAGACCGGCCAGGGCTACTGTTTCCTTTCTCTGTGCTATGTGAAGCAATGAGGAACAGGCATTTTGGGCTTAATGAAATACAGGATATTAATTTTGGATATAATTACTCTGTAATAATTTAACAGCTTGTTCTTTATCAGTATTCATTTCCTGTATAAAACCATCTGATTGACTTTGCCAGAAGCCCTATCTATTTAGTTAATTTTTATTACAGTCCAAAAGTCGTACTGTGTCCTACTGTTAGAGTGCATTGAGGTTGGCCGGGTCGTATCAGGACCCCTGGGCCTGGGTCCACTTCTCTGGATTCCCAACCACCGCTCTTTAATTTGTTCTCCCCTGACCTCGAGCAAACAGTGCAGACGACAGCTGGAGGAGGAAAACGCGACACGTGAGGTTGAGTTGGAAGGGAAGTAGGGCTCTAAGGAGCTGACTTGACAAGAGATCAGACTCACAGTTTTCCTGTGGGGTCTTAGGAGTCAGTATGTGGGCAGAAAATAAGGTCACAGCCAAGTGACTCAGAGGAAAAGCACAGTTATGCTTACAGTGTATCGTGACTGCAAGTCCCCTTGAGGGACGACCAGGAAAGAGATGGAGATCATAGAAAAATAAATAATATCTGTGAGAGATGTTTTAGGAGTAAAAATATTGGTGTTGAAGCATCTTAACATTTCTAGGTAGTTGAGATTATTGTTTAAAATGTAACGTGACCCAATGTAGTTTTGTTTTTATATACATGGAGATTTTGATTCAAGTTCCATGGACTACATTGGCTTTTCTTTTTTGGAAGTAAATAATACATTTGTAGAATTTTAAAATTTAGATTAAGTCGCATTCATACTCTGTCTTGATCTTAGCTGTTCCTGTTTTTTGCTATGGGAAGTGACATTCAGCCTGGGACAGAGATGGAAATCATAGTAGAAGAAACAATATCTGTGAGAGATGTAAGTCATTTTACTTTTCAGGGGACAGGTGTCTATGGGTGTTTGGTATGGAAAACAGTGGTAACCTGTATTAGGACTGTGAGGTCCTAAGGTTAGGGTTTACATAACACACTTGAAAGAATTCTGTGTACTCACTAAAGGAGGAGTTTTGGAAGCTTAAAAATTGGTGAACTAAATGGACTTTTAAGTTAAGTTATTATTTTTTATTATTAATAATACTTGTCAATTGTAGAAATTTGGGATATGTAGAAATAGATTAAAAGAAAACATTTAAAACTCCTCATTATGTCTTATCCCACTAATATGAACACTGGCATATTTGCTTTGTTTTCACTTTATATACACACGTAGTCACATACACAGAGTAGTCACATACACAGAGGTAGGAGTGAGTGAGTGTGTGTATGTGAGAGAGAGAGAGAGATAAAGCAAGCACATGACTATGTTGATGTCACTGAGAACTGGGACTTTCAGTGTTGGAAGATGGACAGACAGAATGACATCATTGTGGGTAAGTAAAACCTGTACTCTTAATTTGAATTAGGAGAGTCAAATGAACTTACTGTATTTTTTTTTAAACAAATATTTTTCTAGTTCTTTCCCCGAAACAGCTTAGAAACAATGACTAACGTGGCAGTAGTGAGCACCCAGCACCCAGATTGTGGTTGCTGACTACCATTTCCTACAAGAAGGAACCAGGGCTTCTTGGAGTAATGGCTGGCCTGTGTCTAGGTCAGGAGAGTGTAAGATGAGCCTAGAACAACTTGTCAGAACAGAAAAGTCGACTGGCGTCGGCAGAGACTCAGGAGCCAACTCGAAGAGGCTCCCACTGGTCAAAGATGAGACAGTTCGAACCTCAGTGGGCATAGTAATGAAAGTTGATTGGTACACATACCTAAAATCATGAGTTCACGTCATCCTAAAGATGCTGTATTCGTTCGTTACCTGTGAGTAACTGAACCATAGAGGAGAGAGTCAGGCATTTATCCTGTTTTGTTTTGCAGGTTATACTGCAGGGCAACCAGCTAGTAAAATGAAGAAAGAATTTTAGACTGTCAGTTTTTCAACTCCAAATGCGTTAATGCATCTAGGCAGTGATCCTGAGAGTCTGCTAACAACCCAAGAAGAGCAACACCCAGGCATTGTAGAAGTTTCAAATAGTACCCACACTTTTCTTGCCCCCAGAACCCCCAAACAACCTGAGTCCAGTCAAGCCTGTAGGTGTGAGTACCGTTTTATAAGAAGCGCAGGGGACGGGGGATGTGTTGAGTGCACCCCAGACCTGCAGTCAGCACAGTCCCAAAGTAGGTTAGAAGAGTCTTGGGGGGAAACAGCAAGCAGGGCAGCATGTGGGCTTCATTTGGCCCTTGATTCAAACCAAAAGAATTATAATAATAGTTTGGGAGAAAGCAGGGAAATTTGAACATTGACCGGACATTTATTATTAGAGTTCTTAATATTTTTGGATGTCATCATTGTTTTAGGGTTCTGTTTTTGAAAAGAATGTTTATCTTTGTAAATATTAATACAGGAAATGACATATCTGACACTTGCTTTAAGAGAACCTGGGGTATGGGAAGTGGGCTGGGCCACAGCTGTAATTGAGATGGGGTGATGGGTTCCCGAGGGGTCATCCTCTGCGCCTGGTTCAAGTTCTCCATGAGAAAACATTTTCTTCATACGTTTTTCACCCTTTGTTACATGCTGTAAATATTTCTGGAGTTTTTCATTTGCTTTTGAACTTTATTGTGTTTTTCTTTTGAATTTCAAAGAAAGGAAACCACAAAACTTTTCAAAGGAGCGGTGTGTGTATCTTTCTGTTCTCTTTGAATGCACGGGTGGGGGGGCAGACTCGTTCCCCAGCCGACAGCTCCTACCCTGTGCAGTGAGCCATTCTGTCTTCACCTCTCCCCGTGGGGGTGCGTGCACCTCGATTCTTAGACTGAACCTTGCCCCAAAACTCCAGACTTAAACATCCAGCGGCTGCTCGGTTGTCATCGTCACCCCAAATTACAGCACGACCAGAGCAGCGCCCCGTCCTCAGCACAGCTTCACTCGCGTGGTCCTCTTCGGCCCGGGGCTCCATCTGTCTGCCTGCTCAGGCTGAAACTGCGAAGTCATGTCGATTCTGCTTTCTCTCACTTCACATCCCGTTCTCCAGCATACCCTGCGGGCCCTGCCCCCACTGTTCCCCTGAGACCTGACCGCATCTCACTCCCTCTGCTCTTCCCTGTCATCTTCCAGCGAATCCCTCACTGCTCTGCACCCAACCGGGCACCTCCAGGGCCTCCTCTCAGAGCAGGCGAGGGTCCTCGCGGGTGTGAGTCAGAGCGGTCCCTCCTGGACTCCGGGCCCCTGTGCTTCCCCACGCTCCAGCGAGAGCCACGTCCTGAGTGACCGTACAGGCCCCGTGGGATCCGGGCCTCCAGCCGCTCCCCCTCGCTCGCTCTGCTCCAGCTGCAGGGCCTCCATGCTGTCCCCCCAGCAGGCCTGGCCCCGCTGTTCTCTCCACGGGAACACAGATCAGTTGAATGCTCGTGTTTGTTTTTCTTACAAAATGGAAGCCTTTAAGACTGAGGTTTTTTTTTAATACAGCGTTGGTCCCATTCCCTGTGTTTTAATATATTGTGTTCTCACTGCTGTCATTTTCTAAACAACCTGTAATTATAAAATACCTTTATATTATAAAAAGACTTTTAAAAGTCTTATTTTTAATCATACAAGTAATCGTGGATTTATTCTTTATTTTTTTTAACTTTAGGGAGGGGCTAAATATCTCCCTTGGTCACTGCCCTATCCTGGTCCCTTCCCCAGCTGCTGATGTCATCAAATAATAGTCTCACCCACATCAGTGGAGTGTGCCTCCTTCCATAACTGCCATGTGTGCACCAACATGTGGGGGTGGGGTGCACACAGAGGAAGCACCTGGTGGCGTGATGGAATCATGCCGCACGCGTCATCCCGTGCAGGTCCAGGCCAGTGCACAGGCCCTACCTACACTTCCGACTGTCTTAAGACTTACAGTTTACTGAAATGTTCCCATTAGAGGATATTTTGCCTTTTTTCTCTTATGCAAGCAATACAGCAGTGAGCATCCTAATTCTTGCTCCCTTCTGCTCTAGTGTAGTATAAATCAAATACTACTTACTATTTTCCCTAGATTTAAGAATGTTTGTCCTCTCTAGAAATTGGTTTTTTATCATTTTTGTTTTATTTAAACTCCTGTTAATCATGTCTTGTTTATTGCCTTGTTCCATGAGATCACAGCTTGTATAATTCTTTCCTTGTGAGTGGACGCATGACCAGTTGTGTTTCATGGGTGCCAAATAAAGGCTAATCTCCTTTATAGGATTCAAAGTTTAATGTATGTGTATCTGGGAAATCAGAAATCAGCCTAATTAATCAAAATACACGATTATCTTCATCCTACACACCTGGAAGTGGATGAACAAAACTTTGAACGGAATCCTGGGTGCAAACACAGGCGGCTGTTTTCCCTCCTGAGTCGGCCCCACCGGGCTCTTAGGAAGGAGAGCTTACGTAAGCATCTTAACTGTGTGCGTCCTTATCTGTTTGAGAATTATTAATATAATCTGACTTAAATAGGCCCGGAGTCCAAAAAGCTTGTTTCTTATAACAGTGAAACTCAGAAACAGAAAAACTAATGAACAGTGTTGTTTTTTTTACAGTGTTTAAAGATAATGCTGGAGAAATTTGGCCTCCCAGGTAAGTTACAAGCCATAATGATATAGAATCTTATCCACATCCTTTACTAGTAAGAAATTACTTGCAAGCCTAATGAAAACATTTCAGACCTTTTTCTCAGGGTTGTCAGTTACACCTTGCATTTGTGTGTACATAATGGATTCTGGTTCTGTTTGCAAGTGAAAAGAACACGGCTGGTTGTGAGTTAGCCTGTCACTGAGGAGAGAACCTAGGGACAGAAGAGGTGCAGTTAAGATTTACGCTCTGGTTTTGTTTAAACCGCAGCGATTCGGAATTTCAGTGACCAGGTTCCATGCCAGGGTTTCCGGCGTAGAGAGCCGGGAAGCGATGTGTAGGAAAGCACAGTGCAGGGCATCTGAAGCAGCCACCGCTGTTCCCATCTTACAGATGGCAGGAGAGGCTGAGGTGGTTACGGCTTACCCAGAGTCACTTACCAGCAGTATGATTTGCACGGTCTCTCTGATTTCAGAACCCAAGTTCTGTCCCCCTTGCTGTGCTGTGAAGTAATGGGATTCACTTTTAACTTATTGGTGGTGTTTTGTTTCATTTTGTTTCAAAACATACTTAGATTGAGTTAAATATTCATATAAGTCTTACTGTTTTTAAAATTAGAACTAATGACAGAAAGGGTCTGCAAAGAAGAGTATTGGGATTCAGAGCCTGTGGTCTGTGCAGGATAAATATGAGATCTGTGTTTTTTCCTTCGGCTGCAATTTCTTTTGGTGGGTGGGGGAGCCGACTGGAAGACGTTGCTGTTTTTCTTAACCAGGGTCTCCAGCTTCTGTTCCACTCGGCTCCCTCCCCTCAGAAGTTCTCTTCCCGTTTCCCGGTGTGGGCGAGCATACGAGAACAGAAATCTGCTTACAGAATGCCCACCATGTAAATGTGCGTTTATACCAACTTCATTAGATGCCGCCCCGAAAGCACCGCTGTCTGTTAGGGGAGCGGCCGCTGGAGGGCGGCCCTGTGCGCGGTGCAGGCCGCCGAGCAGTGCTGCGCCTCTTCCGGCCGGGCTTCTCCCCTGACGTGTGTGCCTGTGTTTACACTCGTGATGTGCGTACGTGTAAATGATAGAGGCATAATGGAGCTATTGGATCACAGTAACAAATGTTATTTTTATTTGCAAGTACACATTAATTATATGCAATTATACATCTGTTCTTGCTGGAACAGAGATAAAAAATAACCAGATTGGAGGAATAACTTAATTATTTTTCATGCTCTGAAAGAGAGAATTTTTAAAAATTATTTAATAATTATTAGATCAAATCCCACTTGATAGTCATTTACCAAGAAGGGTCATTCTGACAAACTTTTTTATTTTTTAATTTTTTTTCTTTATTGATTTTGGAGAGAGAGATAGAAACATCAATGAGAGAACATTGACTGGCCGCCTCCTGCACGCCCCCCACTGGGGATTGGGCCCACAACCTGGGCATGTGCTCTGACCGGGAATCGAACCGGCGGCCTCGTGGTGCATGGGTCAGTGTTCAGCCAGAGCCATACCGGCCAGGCTCCTGACAAACTCTTAAAACATACTCTTCAAATTGTTTTTCATTCTGATTTTGATTCCTTCATAGGAGACACGTGGCATTTACGAAAAATGGATTGGTGCTATGAAGCTGGGGAGCCTTTGTGCGAAGTAAGATTATACTTATACATTACATTCTTTAAAATGATTGTGTTTATTTGGTATTTTCATACATGACACTCATATAAATAAATTCTGGAGAAGGCTTTAATTTGTTTAGGATGCAGAATGTATGCGTGGTTCCCTTACTGTTCCCTTCCTGTAGTCATGTGGGCGCATTCGGGGGCAGGTCTCAGCCGAATGGGAATGCTTCTGGCATCTCTGCTAAGTCCTCTTCTGGTGAGGTGTGTCCCTGGGAACAGTGGGTCTTCCTTAGGAGGCAGAGAACTGGAGAGAACAAAAGACATGAACTAATGAAAGAATTTGGAGATACAGTCTCAATTTTAAAACCTGAATATTTTAATCTCAGAGTTTCTGAGGGTTTAATCAGAGTTTCTCTGCAAGTTGATGGTGGAATTCATCTTACTAACCACTCACTCAGGCTCTGATCCAAACACCATCTCTAGACCTATCCAAACTCTTCGGGTAGCCTTAGAAACGGTAGGGTGGGCTTAGGAACGGTAGGGTGGGCTCGGGAACGGTAGGGTGGGCTCGGGAACGGTAGGGTGGGCTCGGGAACGGTAGGGTGGGCTCGGGAACGGTAGCGTGGGCTCGGGAACGGTAGCGTGGGCTCGGGAACGGTAGCGTGGGCTCGGGAACGGTAGCGTGGGCTCGGGAACGGTAGGGTGGGCTCAGGAACAGTTGTGTCACAGGATAGTGGAATCTGGTTAAGCTTGCTATTGACCCAAACAGCATCAAACCTCCCTTCCAAACCCACGCCTTAGCAGTAAACCCAAAGTGAAGCTTTGTGAGGCTGTTTATAGACAGTTGTGGTCAGCCGCCCTGCCCCCTGGTCTGTCCGCCTCTGTTCAGTGATAGACAGACGGTGGCATTGAACACCGACAGGTCGATTTAAGCAGGTGTACGGGGCTGTCCCTGGAATACTCTTTGCTGTAAGGTAGTCAGTAGCAGTATAGAGAGGACCCTCTTGAGTTCTGGCCAAGAATTTTCCCAGAGTAAGAAGGGGACCTCAAAGAATCTTTAGGACATACTGTTTGGATGTCAGAACAGTAATAGCTAGTCAGATGGTGTCCACATTTTCCTCTCTGTTAAGTCCCAGGTTCGTATCAAACAGTTCTACAGCTCCTTAGAGCAAACCCATCACCTCAGAACGGGCTCCTCTCCCTGGATTTGCTGTCTGTCCCCCATCCTGACCTCTCTCGGCTGACACGTGGCCAACCCTGCTTACCTGCCATCCTTCGTGTTCGGGCTCGGCCGTCACAGGCCTGTCCCTTTCCACTCCTTCCTCACTAGTCCACTGCTGGCCTCCTGGTTCAAGCCCTTTTTTTCCTCTTCCTCTCATCTAAATTACAGCTGGCTTCCCTGAGCTCAGGTGTCCCTACTTCAGTGTGTTACACAAGTGGCAGCCAGATTGATTTTTAATAACCCCTTCTCAGAAGTCTTGAGGAAAAAAAAACTCTTTTTTTTTTTCCTATTCCACATGCCTTCAATCTGTGCCCACCCTCACCATCCAGTTTTCCCCATTACTCTCCAACTGATGCTGCCCACTCTGACCAGCCTGGTCTGGCAGCTCTTCCTAGGACAAGCCACACTGACTCTTGACATCCTCGACTCTGCCTTTCCATGAGAAGTTCCTTCTCTTCTCTCGTTTCACCCAGCTTTCCAAATCCAACCGATCTTTGTAGGCTTAACTAAAATTTCATGTTCCACAAATCAGTCTCATCGTTCCTCACCTCACCCCTCTCCCTTTCCTCTCATCTTGTGTGATGCTTCCAGTTCATACTCGTAACCTCATGTTCCAGTTCATACTCGTAACTTCATGTTCCAGTTCACACTCGTAACTTCATGTTCCAGTTCACGCTCGTAACTTCATGTTCCAGTTCACATTCGTAACTTCATGTTCCAGTTCACACTCGTAACTTCATGTTCCAGTTCATACTCGTAACCTCATGTTCCAGTTCACACTCGTAACTTCATGTTCCAGTTCACACTCGTAACTTCATGTTCCAGTTCACACTCGTAACTTCATGTTCCAGTTCACACTCGTAACTTCATGTTCCAGTTCATACTCGTAACCTCATGTTCCAGTTCACACTCGTAACTTCATGTTCCAGTTCACACTCGTAACCGCATGTTCCAGTCATACTCGTAACCTCGTGTTCCAGTTCACACTCGTAACCTCGTGTTCCAGTTCACACTCGTAACTTCATGTTCCAGTTCACACTCGTAACTTCATGTTCCAGTTCACACTCGTAACCGCATGTTCCAGTCATACTCGTAACCTCATGTTCCAGTTCACGCTCGTAACTTCATGTTCCAGTTCACATTCGTAACCGCATGTTCCAGTCATACTCGTAACCTCGTGTTCCAGTTCACACTCGTAACTTCATGTTCCAGTTCACGCTCGTAACTTCATGTTCCAGTTCACACTCGTAACTTCATGTGTAACGACTCACTGTTTCATAGGCTCGCCTATTTCCTGCTTTATTATTTATTCATTTATTTATTTCAAGGGTAATAGATGTATAGGGTTAAAAAAAAAAAATGGGTCCAGTGGTTGGTTTGTTCTGTCTGTTCCTTGCGTAAGTCACAAGTAGGAAAAAAGAATTTTTGTATTCCCAGGATGCAACACTGGAAGAGCTTGCGATACGTTCTGGAGACACTCTGCTGTTAACTGAAGGGAAACTTCTTCCTCCGGTAAGACTGCCTTCAGTAGGCACTTTGTGGATGATCGTCATTGCTGTCTCTGGGGAAGGGGCACTGCAACCATCATAGACAACAGAGCGCTAACCCAAAGCCCACCGAACACACAGCCACCATGTTTTATCTCTTTAGGTGTTTCCTCCTATAAAACCCACTGTGTATACACTTTTCTTTTCTGCTTCTTATATTTAATTTGTTAACCTGACCATAAAATCCAAAAACAGTTATTATAGCCAGTGTATGGTTTATCACAGTTTAATTCACTTTTTATCCCCATTGTTGGAAATGTAGCTTGTTTTCAGTTTTTTCTTACAATAGTACTTAAAAACAAATCCATCATTAGACACTTCTAAAGATGGGATTAACAAGTCGAAGGTGTGAAGTGTTTAATTAAAGACTTGAAGGTATGCCAGGTTGTTTTCCTGGAGCCCACCAGACTCACAGCCCGGCGCGCGTGTGTGCAGACTCACCGCCCTGAGGGCACAGCCTGCCCTTCCACACTGCACGGCCCTTTCAGCCATTGTGTACCTATATGCATGTGGACACGTAGATTTTTTTAAAAGTGACCCAAATTCCAATACTCAGATGACCACTCTGCTTATGATGAGAAAATTTATAGCACAGAAGTCTATAAAATGAAAAACAAGTTTCTCTCACATCTTTCTCTCCAGAAAGAGCCACAATGACTGACTTTTCCTTGCATATCCTCCCAGAAAAGGTGCAGCCTGTCTGTGTGCAAGTGTAAATGTAGCACACATCCATCTAAAGCCCTGTAAAGGGATCTCCACACGGCGCGTCACACTATTGTTGTTACTTACGTAATATATCTTTAGGATCTGCTCATATCAGCACATACAGAACTACCTTATTCTTTTTCATGACTTCATAGAATTCTGTGGTATTTTATACCATGCTCTTTAGAGTTAATTTTTGAATTGTGATACTCATGAAGCAAAACTCAAAGTGTATAAAAGCTGGGCCAGAAAGAGTAAGTGTCCCCGCCTGTTCCCTAGCCACCCTGTGTGCCCCTCCATAGGCAGCCAGTTGCCTCTGTCAACACACACACGTGTGTGTGCACAGCACATATATGCATATTTACATAGACATTATTTCTCCATTTATGGGGTGGGCAGAAATAGGTTTCCAGTTGTGAGTACACGAAACACAGAATTATTCTTGTATTATTATTTATTAATTGTTGTATTACAGCCGGCCCTCGTGTTTCGCTCCCAATCAATTCCAGACTCTACTGCGATAAATGAGTTTCCGTGAAGTAGGGTTCTTGATTATACACAGTCGGCCCTCGTTTATGCGGTTGATCTGTTCCAGACTCGCGGTGGCACCTGGCGTTGACGGATTCCTGGGGCTCGAGTACATAGGCCCAGTCCATACGTACAGTGGTTTTAATTGTAATCATAATATAGGGGTGTATAATCGACTCAGACAGCTGAGCGCTCGCTGTATCATTTTCACCGTCTAGATCAACTTTTTAATGAATATATTGGAAAAAAACGTGATAGCGTGAAGCCGCAAAAGTCGAAGCGCAAAGTGGCGAGGGACGACTGTATTTATATTACAACTGTAAACCTACTCTTGCCCACTCTGTATACACTGTAGCAGAACACATAAAGTTATCTTGTTCTGTTGATGGCTATTTATATCTTTCACTGTAGGGAGGTACCATAATTGATTTAATTATTTAATTCGAAGAAGATTTAGGACACTGCAAAAAATATCATAAATGTGCCATTTTGCAAGTATCCATCTACAGAATAAATTCCTAGGCCGACCACTACATCCTGCTTCCACAAATAGCCAGCAGCGACTGTCCTTGCACCTGTGGCCTTATCTGAGAGCTGGTCCATCAGAAGGCAAATTCTCCCGCGGATGGCAGGTCAGGGGCTTGACATTTCAACCGGGGTGTGTCAGATTGCTCTCCAGGAACTGGACCCCAGTTCACACTCCTGCCACCAATTCGCCCACATTTCCAACAACATACAGAATAGTGCTAGACTTTCTGGTTTTTGACAGTCTGATAGGGGAAAAAATAGAATTGCGTTGGTCTGATTTATACTTATTGATTTAATTGAATGGAGATTGAGTATTTATTAATCACATATTTAATAAACAAAAATATTTTTATTTTAATACACATTTCTTGAAATATATATTTTAAAATATTTTACATGGTTTTTTCACATTCTCATCTTCTATTGGAAACTGAGCACTGTAACATCTTTAATCCCTAATAAATCCATTAAAGTTCTTTACCAACTGACAAGAAAGGGGTAGTGAAGAATGAGTTGCTTTAGTAAAATTGAAATTACAGGATATGGGTAAGGAAATGGGTTTATTCCCTTCAGTGTACGCAGGAGTCCCACTCCGAGCCGCAGGCTGCCGGTTCTCTGAAGTTCCCTGGGAACCTGAGTGAGCGGAAGCTCCTGCTGCTCTTACCCTGAGTGTATCTGTGAAGGTGGTGCTGTCAAACATTTCGCCATTTTGTTTATCCTGTTCATGGATTGTAGCTACTGAGATGCTTCTAAGCAAAGAACATTTAGTCTGATTTTTATCACTTAAACTTTTGATTGTAAAAGTAACTAACAAATATAATATAGGGCAGTTATACATCTAAAAGGAAAAGTAATACATCTGGGAACACTTTTGTTACTAAGATGTTCCTCTATGGAAGTAGAGTTGGAAGTTCACGTGATCTGTGTGCCTCACAGCAGTGAGAAATGCTCCCTTCTCCAGGGTCTCCTGAAGGTGCCCATCTGGTGGTACCAGCCTCGGGGGCCCGAGGGTCAGGGGAAGAGCCATCAGGACCAGATGAACTGTACACCTTCTCAAGGTGGGGTCTGGAGAGCTACGTCCCCCCCAGGTGAGTGCACAGCGGAACTGCAGCAGCCAACGTGCCATCAAGAAAAGTGAGATGACTCCTGCTTGGAGGGACGAGTGACATATTTAGTCTTTAAAATGTACAGTTGAGCTCGGATGTACATCCGGCGTGGCTCAGTGGTTGAGCGTCGACCCTGCACCAGGAGGTCGCCGGTTCAATTCCCAGTCAGGGCACAGGCCCAGGTTGTGATCCCCATTGGGGGGGCGTGCAGGAGGCGGCCAGTCGATGTTCTCTCTCATCGATGTTTCTATCTCTCCCTCTCCCTTCCTCTCTCTTTAAAAACCAATAAAGAAAAAAAAATAATAAAACATACAGTTGAAAATCAGAATCTATTTATACCATAAGTCATTTCATAGCAATGACACCATCCTGTTTTTATACAGCCATTCGCTATAAGATAGACTATGTTAAAGCCTTTGTATCAGTATATTTTTTCAAGGAATTTTTTATGTCACCTCTCAAGGTGCTCATGGCAATAAAAATAGCAGCTCTTGCTCCTGGCAGATGAGGCTACGGGGCAGCCTCGGGGGCAGAGGCAGGGCTGGGGTCCCCCCGGGACCCTGCTCAGCTCCCAGTCCATTCCTTCTGCCCCTGGCTCCCCAGCAACTGCCCCCAGGGCATTCCACTCCCTTACTGCCTTCTGAGAATAAACCGGGACAGTATAAAGTGCTTCTCTGTGGACAAAATTCACACACGTCCTGATGAGCAAGAGGTCACTAGCAGTGAGTTTGAATTTCTGATGTAAAAATGGGTTTCCACTTTCTTATAAAGAAAACACTGATCAGTCTCCTTTGTAACTGTAGTTATATTTTTAGTAGGAACAACTCTTTATATATGATTTTTAATCATGCTTTATTTCATTATTTAGCTTTGGGGGGTGTTAGTATTATATACTTATATTTCTGTTTTTATCTCTTTTATTTTTTCTTTATTGATTTTAGAGAGAAAGGAAGGGAGAGGGGGAGGGAGAGAGAGAGAGAGAAACATTGATGAGAGAGAACATCGATTGGCCATCTCCTACATGCCCCCCACTAGGGATTTGGCCCACAACCTGGGCATGTGCCCTTACCGAGAATTGAACCAGTGACCTCTTGGTGCATGGGTCGACACTCAACCACTGAGCTACACTGGCTGAGCTCTGTTTTTACCGATTAAACCTCAGTACTGAAATTACTGAAAATGAATCAAATTCTTATCTCTCTACTCTTTGAAATTAAGAATATATGTTTAGAGCAATAAAATATTTTTGTGTTGAATTAACTATGAAATTGGCATTAAGTTATTTTTGGTTGGTTTATATTAGATGTGTCAATTCTGAAAATGCGCCCAGCCCGTGTGGCTCAGTGGATGGAGCATCATCCCATGGACTGAGAAGTCCCAGTTTGATTCCCGGTCAGGGCACATGCCCAGGTTGCGGGCTCCATCCCCAGTGGGGGGCGTGCAGGAGTCACCCAGCCAAACCCCATGTTTCTTCTCTCACATCCATGTTTCTCTCTCTCCCTTCCTCTTTCTCAAAAAAAATCAATAAAAACAAAAAAAATTAAAAGACAATTTAATTCTAAAAATGCTTTGGTAATAGAATAATAATTATATATAGAATTGGCTACAAACTTGAAATTCATGTTTAATTAGTGTGTTTCTCCATGAAAGTGAAGAGACAGGCTCAGGTTGATAGTCCTTATTTATAACAGCATGAGAAACACACTAATTCCTGAGAGTTTCCGAAAACTATCTGTCAGCTGGCTGTGTACTTAAGACACAAAAGACCCATCCATGAAGTTTTGGTCAGTTCATTTATGATCTAATTTATTATGAGCAGTGTGCCCAGCAATAAACAAAGACATTTAATTAAAGCAGAAATGAGTTAAATTATTCTGAATTCTAAATTTAGTTGCCAACTTTTATACCCAGAATTTTAGATGAGAGAACGTTTATTTTCCCCCTTTTTATAACAAATGTAGAAGGCCTTCTCACTGTCAAGGACCCTTTCAGTCAGTACACATTTACTGTGTGACACCCGCCCTACCAGAGCCTGGACAGGGAAGGAGAATGCTGGCCTGTCCTCTCCTGAAAGTTGTAGTCTCTGTGTATACCTAAGAAAACAGACCAAAGAGAAACAGGAGGGATAGGAGGGAGGAGAGAAGGAAACAGGAAGCTGATATAAAGAATAAGGGCAGTCCTGGCTGGTTTGGCTCAGGGGTTGGAGCGTCGACCTGTGGTCCAGAGAGTCCCAGGTTCGGTTCCCGCTAAGGGCACGTACCTTGGTTGCCGTTTGTCCCCGGCCCTGGTTGGGTTGTGTGGGAGGCGGCCACTCGATGTGTCCCTTTCACATCGATGTTTCTCTCTCTTCCTCTCTCTCCCTCCCACTCTATCTGAACAAAAAATGGAAAATGTCCTTGGGTGAGAGGAAGGGAGGGAGGGAGGGAGGGAGGGAGAGAGGGAGGGAGGGAGGGCAGAGTATCCTACCAGAAAGGCCTCTTTGAGGAAAGAGAGTGTCAAAAAGAACACCTTAGGTTGACAGCACAAGTGTGAAATCCTCGAACCCATCCCGGTGAGAAGGTGTGGCCCTGCGCCCACAGGCAGGCAGGGCGTCCTCCCCTCCAAAGTAATGAGGCGCGAATACTGGGCGCTCGGACTCTGAGCTTCATGAATGGAAATGTATTAAAAGTATTTACAACATCAACACGTGGCATAGATTTCAGAAAGATGAAATAAATGCGTTTCAGGCTCCTTTCACACATCTGGCTCTGTCCTGTGCAGGGGCTCCTGGTGACATGCATATGGAAGTTCCCCTCCACCACCTGGGAGATGTCGAAATCTCAGAAGATGCCACCTTAGTGGAGCTGAAGGCTCAGGTCAGACTCTTCCTGCAGCGTGCCTTAGTGGGGGTCTGGCTGCTTCCAGTGAGATACTAATCTATTCTTCTATTTCCGTTTCCCTCACTAACAGTCGTTCTGATGTGGCATGTGTTACACACCATGTTCAGTGGTGCGTGCCCAGCAGGCGACACGCACATGCTCAGACAGCTCCCTGGCGTTCTTTTCTGCGCCGCCCTTGTGGCTCTCATTCCTCCCTGCCGGCATGCAGTGCTTTCATTTGAATAGATCCTCAGTGATTTGCAGCTTATGTTTATTTTTACTTTTTGGGTAAACACGATTTATTGAAACGTGTAAAGCATTGTTTTTGTATCATTGTGATCCATGTGTTCTATGTTGTTAGTTAAAAGAGACGTGATCGATTTCCCAGGAGGTCAGAATAAAAGTAGACATTGTAGTGTCTCCTTATGCGCGTCAGAAGCATCTGACGGTTAATGGGCTGAAGTGAACATCCCTTCTTCCTCCTAAAGGAAAAAAATGTGCGAACTGACCTTCCTCAGAAAAAGCAAATGGTTTTATTCTCATAAGCACAAGTGAGAAAAGACACTTTTTTTCTCATGTTGGATTGAAAGACACAAAGTTGCTGTTTTTAGGTTAAAAATGGATGAATACTGGCCATTTTATTTTTATTTATTTATTTTTTTTTGTGGTACGTGCCCCTAGCGGGAACCAAACCCGGGACTCTCTGGTCTGCAGGCTGACGCTCAACCACTGAGCCAAATTGGCCAGGGCTGAATACTGGCCATTTTGTATACTACAACCTAAATAATATAAATAGGTATCTGCTCCTCCAGAATTAGTTCAGCAGTTTGGGCCTAGCAGTAGGACCCACAGATTTTGAAATATCTCAGAATCAGAAGTCACTTCCTTGGCAGCGCAGACGGCGCTGGCGAAGTACCCGGTGCAAGTGGACGGGCCCTCGCTTCTGCAGTGACCGTTAGGCTCGCAGAAACTAATCCCAGCGCTCATCTTCTCAAACATGAGGGTTAAAAAGGAGCTTTAGGCACAGATTCGGAAATCGAATACTCACTTCTCTCTCAAGCCGATCTCAGTAGAGAGAAATACAAAACGTACTCATGGTCAGTTTCATTCACAGGAGAGTCCTGGGAGTCTTAGCAGATGCTGTCAGTACTCAAGTACTCTTCCCGCAGATGTCCTTGCGTGGGGCTTCGTTTCCCCCCGAAGCAGTCTTCAAGAGTGCTTTCCAACCCCTTGGACAAATGTCCGTTCCTTTTCCAGGCCATGGCCTTGCCCTCCTTGTCAGAGTTGTTCATCCCGTCCCCAGCCTGCCTCAGAGCCTGGACAGTGGACAGCAAACGCCCCGGCAGGCTTTTACGGAGAAACCAGCAGCCGCTCAGGTGGGTTCCTCGTTGAACACTCAGTAACAGATCCCGACCCTGGTGATTCCACCTGTCAGCTGGATGAGCTGCTTATCCCGAGTCAGACTCTGGAACAACTTCGGTTTTCCATATTAAGCGTAAAATGTGACTTCGTGTATTTTTACTATACTCCAGAGACTGTGAACAAAATTTGGAGTGTTTTTCCCAAGCTGTATTGAGCGGTAGCTGATATAACATTGTATACATTGATGGCATACGACCTGTCGATTGGATGCACATACTTATTGCAACATGATCACCACCATAGTGTTAGCTGCCACCGGCATCATAGCACATGAGGACCATTTCTTTCTCGTGGTGAGAACACCTAAGATTTCTCTTAGCAACTTTCAAGTACGTAATACAGCATCGTTAGCTGTAATCACCATGCAGAACTTATTCATCTTGTTAATGCAGATTTGTACCCTGTGACCAGCCTCTCCTCTTCCTCCCACTGCTAGCCCCTGACAACGGCTGTTTTGGTCTCTGTTGCTATGAATTTGGCTTTTTTAGATTCTACATATAAGTAAATATACAGTATTTGTCTCTCTCTGTCTGACTTAATCTTGTTTATCATAATACCCTCAAGGTCCATCCATGTCACATACAGCAGCATGTCCTTCTTTCTCATGGCTGAATAATAGTCGTGTGTGTATGTGGGTGCATGTGAACACTCATTTTTTTTCTTAATCTCACCCAAGGACATTTTTCCATTTTTTGTTCAGATAGAGTGGGAAGGAGAGAGAGGAAGAGACAGAGAGAGAGAGAAACATCAACGTGAAAGGGACACATTGAGTGGCTGCCACCCACACAACCAACCAGGGCTGGGGACAAAGTGCAACCGAGGTACATGCCCTTAGCGGGAACCGAACCCAGGTCTCTCTGGACCACAGGCCGACGCTCTAACCGCTGAGCCAAACCAGCCAGGGCTCATTTTTATCGATTCATTCATTGGTGGGCACAGGTAGTGTCCGTATCTTAGCGGTTGTGAATAATGCTGCAGTGAACATGGATGGGAATGCAGGCATTTTTTTGATAGCCTGTTTTCATTTCCTTTTTCGTTGATTTCCTGAAAAAGTAGGATTGCTGGATCATTTGGTAGTTCTTTTAATTTTTTGAGGAACCTTCATACTGTTTTTTCACAGTGGATGAGTACATTTACATTCCCTCAAACAATGCACAAGAGTTCCATTTCCTACACATCCCCACCAATACTTATCTCATTTGCTTAACCATAACCATTCTAACACGTGTGAAGTGAAAACATGGTTCTCATTTGCATTTCCCTGATGATTAGTGATGATGAGCACCTACTCATGTGCCTGTTGGCTATTAGTCTGTCTTCCTCATATATTTTGGGGATTAACCCCCTATCGGGTATATGATTTCTCCATTTCATAGGTGCCTTTTCATTTGTCGATGGCTTCCTTTGCTGTGCAGAAGCTTTTTAATTTGATGAAGTCCCACCTGTTCATTTTTATTTTGCTGCCTTTGCTCTTAATGTCAAATCCAAAGAACCATTGCCAAGGCCAATGTTAAGGAGCTAGCCCGTTTTTCTCTCTGAGTTTTATAGTTTCAGCTCAGGTTTAAGCCTTTAATCCATTTTGAGTTGATTTTTGTGTATGGTGTAGTAAGATAATGGTCCAGTTTCATTCTTTTGCATGAGGTTGTCCGGTTTTCCCAGCACCATTTATTGAAGAGAATATCCTTTCCCCATTTAATATTCTTGGTGCCTTTGTCATAAGTTAACTGAGTGTGTATGTGTGGGTTTATTTCTGGGGTCTCTGTTGTGTTCCATCATAGATCTGTGTGCCTGTTTTTACGTCATGACCGTACTGTTTTGATGACTACAGCTTTATCATCTTATTTGAAATCAGGGAGTGTGATGCCTTCAGCTTTGTTCTTAAGATTGCTGTGGCTGTTCATGGTATTTTTGTGGTTCCATACAAATTTCAGGATTGTTTATTCTATTTCTGTGAAAAATGCCATTGACATTTTTAATAGGGTTTGCATTTTCCTGTAGACCACTTTGGGCAGTGGGAACATTTTAACAGTATTCTTCTAGCCGTGAGCATGGAGTATCTTTCCATTTAGTTGTGTCTAGGTCAGTGTCCTTCATCAATGTCTTATAATCTTTTCAGTGGACAAATCTTTCCCCTCCTCAGTTAAATTTATTCCTATTTTATTCTCTTTGATGCTGTTGTAAATGGGATTTTTCTTTTTTTCTCTTTCTGATAATTAGTTGTTAGTATATAAAATGCAGTTGAGTTTTGTGTATTGATTTTGTATGCTGCAAACTTATTGAATACATTTATTAGTTTTACTAGCTTTTTGGTGTAGTGTTTAAGGCTTTCTAAATATAACGTCATGTCATCTGCAATTAGGAACTATTTTAATTCTTCCTTTCTCTTACCTAACTGCTCTGACTAGGACTTCCCAGTACAATTCAATAAGATGGGCACCTTGTCTTGTTCTAGAACTTAGAGGAAAAGTTCTCAGCTTCCCACCATTAAGTATGATGTTAGCTGTGGGCGTGTCATGTATGACATTCCTCATGTACATTTCCTCTATATCCAGTTTGTTGAATTTTTAACATGAAAAGATGTTGAATTTTGTCAGATGTTTTTTTTCTGCATCTATTGAGGTGATCATATCACTTTTATCCTTCATTCTGTTAATGTGATGTTTCACACGAATCGATTTGCAGGTATTTGACACAGCCTTGCACCCCTGGCATAAATCCCACTTGATCATGGTGTGTGATTCTTTTAATGTATTCTTGAATGCACTTTGCTAATATTTTATCGAGGATTTTGCATCTATGCTCCTGTAGAGAGTGCTAGCCTGTCATTTTCTTAAAGTGTCCTTGTCTGGTGGTGACATATATCAGGGTGACGCTGGCCTCATAAATATAAGTTTGGAAGTGTTCCTACCTCTTTTGTTCTTTGGAAGCATTTGAGAAGGATTGGTATTCTTTTTAAAATGTTTGTTAGACCTCATCAGCGAAAACCATCTGATCCTAGACTTTTCTTGGTTGGGGGATTTTTTATTTCTGATTCAATTTCCTTACTAACAATTGGTTTGTTCATATGTTCTGTGTCTTTATGACTCATTCCTGGTAGGCTGCGTGTGCCTGGGAATGTACCCATTTCTTCTAAGTTGTCCAGTTTGTTGGAGTATAGTTGTTCCCCAGTAGTCTCACAAGTTTTGAGTGTTATGTATAATATTTTGCTTAAAATTGACAAAACAATGTTTAAAAGATGAGTGATGTCACTATTATTTTGTTTCATTGATTATCAGGGAATATAAGTTGGGAAGGAGACCTGAGATCTGCCTAGAGCCGCTTCGGAAAGAAGAACACTTAGGGTAAGTCGTCCTGCAGCACAGAGCTACACGTCTCATCACGAGTGGCTTCTTGGAAGTCTGACAACACAGGACTGTGTTCCAGACGGTGACTCTGCGCCTGCGTCAAGGGTGTGGAGCCCGTTCTCCATGAAAGTGAGACTTGTTCAGTGAGTCCCGACTGCACACTCACCCCACGCGGCCTGGAGAGTGAACAGGTGCTCCTGTCAGCTGTCGGTCCCTCTGGCCCCTTAGTCTACTTTTTCATCCTAATATCAAACCTGACGTATTATGTACTTATTGAATTATCCGTTCGTTATCTTTGTGAGAGCAAGACTTTGGTTTTTGGTCATGGCTGAATCCCCGGTATTGGAACAGTGCCTTTGTCATAGTCAACCATTATTTTTTGAATAACGAAGCACCCCAAAGTTGTCTACAATCAAATTATTTTCTCACTATAGGAAAATCTTTTATAAGACGTTTTGTTAGCATCAACCAGTGTTTAGATTCCCTCTGCCTGACGAGGTGTAACTGTCAGCCTGTCATCCAGAACTGCCACCTGATTCCAGCCACGTCTAAAACCATGGGCGGGACGGTCTCAGCACAGTGGGTCACTGGAGGGGTTTCCGGGAGGGAGTCCTGGATCGAATGGTGTGGACATTGTAAACTTTTTACTTGTGTTAATCCTCACCCGAGAATATTTTTTCATTGATTTCTTAGAGTAGAAGGGAGGGGAAAAGAGACGTATCAATTGGTTGCTTCGCACACAACCCCGACCAGGCTCAAACTTGCAGCCCTTTGGTCCATGGGCCTGTGCTCTGACCACCAAGCCAAACCGGCCAGGGAGGCACTTTAGACCTTTTAAAATAAAGTGTTAATTCCTTTTCAAGGAAGTTATACCAAGTTATATTCCCACAAACAGTGTTTCTGAGTCTACCTCACCCTCAAACCAACATTGAATATTGTCATTGTTTAAATGTTTGCTAACTTGATACATGAAAAATGGTTATCTTGTCTCATTTGCATCATTGCTTTGATTGCTACTAAAATTGGGCATTTTTTCAAAGGCCTATAAGCCATTTGTAGTTAGAGCGTGTGAACTGTTTCATACGTGTTCCTGTTTCAGTGAGGTCTCGCCTGTGTGGGCTCTCTGTGTCGTGCTGACCTCGGCCCTGCGCCACGTCTGCCCGCCTCTGCAGGGAGCACGCCCTTGAGTGTGTGCTCGGCGCCTGGCCCCGCCAGAGGCTGGCCTTTCCCACTGCGCCCCTCCCCCTTGCAGGAGCTCCAGCACAGCAGAAATCGTCCTTAAAATCACGTTTCTTCCTAAAAACAAACAAAACGGGTTTTCATCTCTCCCCTCCCCCTTCCAGGAGTTCTTGCTGCATGTCTGTGACAACCTAACCACATCTAACTTCCCTCCCACCTTTCGGCTGCTCGCCCCCTCCAGGCCCTGCTCTGCGGGGCTCTCTTGCTGTCCACCTCCCTCCTCCCAACTAGAAGCCCTTGGCTCCTCCCTGGCTGCCCCAGGGCAAGGCAGGTGTCGGCACCTGAAATAGCTTTCTCCCGGCCAGCTTCTGCTGCCAGCACCCCGCTCTCCTCCGGCCTCCCTCCGGGCCCCTCCATCTGGGCCAGGGTCAGAGGAGATGGGAAGGAAGAGGGCTTCCCCCAGCATTCCGGGAAAACCTCGTAAGTGAGAGGAGTTGGAGGGAGCGGTGCCGTCACGCCCCCCCTCCTGGTTGCCAAGTTTCTCTTGTTTCCAATCTGACGTTGGACTGTTTCCTGGTGCAGCCCCCAGGACATGCTGCTGAGGACACAGCGGCGCCTCCCCGGCCAGCAGGCGTGCGCCCCGCCCGCGGACATGGTGTGGGACGCCACCCGGGCCACCGCCAGCTCCCTCCGGCAGCAAGTGGCTGCTTTCTACTCCCTTCCCGTGGACAAGACTGAAATTGCCAAGTACCTCCCCGACAAGTCTGCGTGGCTTCCCGTGTCCAGCTGGGTAACGTGGGCCTTCCCGGCAGCCAGAGCTTCCCTGCAGTGTTCAGACGGGGAATTAGAGAGACTTTGGGGTGGTTTTCTTTATTCAAGATGCTTGATTTTTCTATAGAGCCAGCAAATTACCAAGAGGAAAAAGAAGAAAAAGCAAGACAACTTGCTGGGGCCGCCTTATTACTTGAAAGACGGAGATGTCATTGGTGTCAAGGTAAGGAGTTGACAGCACGTTCCCGTTGCGAGGAAGCACCAGGACCGAGCGCTGTTGTAGAGACAGGAGACCAGGGCAGAGCCCACTGTGGAACAGTCCAGAGCAGGGACGGTGCCGAGGGCAAGCGGACAGCACCTCATGTGGGCCTCGCACCACACTAGGGTCTGACCTGAATAAAAATGCCTGTAGAGTGTCAGCCCGAAGCGTCATGGGTTCGATCCCTGGTCAGGGTTGTGCAGGAGGCAACCAATTGATGTTTCTCTCTCCCTTCTTCCCTCCCACCAATCTAAAAAAAAAAAAAAATCAATAGGAAAGTATCCTCGGGCGAGGATGAGAAAACCGCTTCGAAGTTTCGTACCAAGTGTGTTGCAGCCGTAGGTTTGAGTGGGTGCCTGCCTCGGTTAGGACGCCACCGTCATTCCTGGTGGGCTCTGAGCTCTGAATCATGCATGAACCCGGAGTTCTGCTGCATTTTATTCTGTGCATTTTCTTTCTGCATGATTGCATTTGCCATTTGGCTTTGGTTCTTTAATCGGGGTCATTACAGAAATATGTCCTTGACATGGGCCATTCTTTTTTTTTTTTTTTTTTTTAATCCTCACCCGAGGACATTTTTCCATTTTTTGTACAGACAGAGTGGGAGGGAGAAAGAGCGAGAGAGAGAGAGAGAGAAACATCGACGTGAAGGGACACATCGAGTGGCTGCCACCTGCACGACCAACCAGGGCCGGGGACAAACTGCAACCGAAGTACGTGCCCTTAGCGGGAACCGAACCCGGGTCTCTCCGGACCGCAGGCCGACGCTCTAACCGCTGAGCCAAACCAGCCAGGGCGACATGGGCCATTCTTATGGCAAACCTAGTTTGTAGTCATGCAGCGATACTTTTTATAATAAGGGTTAATAAAAAATTTAATCCTTAATTTAAATGAACTATTTACTGGTAATAAATTATTGATTTAATATAACTCTTGACTTAGTAATTGATATTTTTGTATTAAGGAATCTTCTAGTCAGCATTGTACTAGACAATTGACCCTCCTCCCCCGAAAAAGAAAAGATTTAAATAAACAAAAATCGAAAGACAGGTAAGACAACTGTTTACCTGCAGTGCTTCTGCAAAGGAGGTTCGAGAGACCACACAGTGCACATTGACGAGGTTATGAGGTCGCTGGCTCACATCCAGCAGGACGGCTTCTCAGACTGCTCTGGGACCCGCACGCTGTGCTGGTGGCGGCTCTGGTGGCGCCGGAGCCGCGCGTGCCGCTGGAGGGCCCTGCAGCAGTGAGGGCATCCGTCCCACCGCTCCGGGGAGGGCCCCCACCGCGGAGGTTAAAGAGAGGTCAGGGCACTCGCCCACCAGGCACTGGGACCGCCACACGGCTACGGGTGCACAGACGCCCCAACAGCCTCCTGGGCCGTGCCGTCCGCCCATCAGCTCCGCACTTCTCTTCCTTGTCAGGCCGCACGGTTTCTAAAGCACGTCATGGACCAGTCCTGGTGCTGGAGGTGTCAGTATTCACTGGGACATTTTCCTCCCGAGAGCAGAAGCAGACAAGCCCGGCAGTCGCTCTCACGGGTCCCAGCCTGGGTGACCAGAGTCAGCTTCCCCAAGCCACTTGGAAGTGTGGCCCCATTGCCCTGCCAGGCCTGGTGAGACTCAGGCGGCCCTTTCTCTGCCCTGCCCTTCGGGGTCACGTTTTCTCACAGCCGAGATCTGCGTATTCCCTCTGGGACGTGGCTGCAGGCAGCCCAGGGGCGGCCGGTATTTATGGGAAATGAATTCATATATGAAACTGATCGCCAGTACTGGGAGGGGGCTTGGCCGCTCAGGAGCCTGTGCTGAGCATTCTGTGCCTGCCGCGCACTGTGCTAGAAGCTTCCGGAGATTCCAGGGAGGTCAGAGACAGGGCACCCCACTCCCAGGGGAGCCAGAGATGCTGGGTGGAGAGTGACCCAGACCACAGGCTGGTCCCGCTGCTCCAGCTGCAGGTGGGCTCTGCCCTGTGCCCACCCCCAAATGCCCTTGAATTTTTTTTCTTTATTGATTTTTTTTAGAGAAAGAGGAAGCAGGAGAGAGAAACATGGATGAGAGAGAACATCAATGGGCCGCCTCCTGCAGGCCCCCCACTGGGGAGCCGGCCCACAACCTGGGCATGTGTCCTGACCTGGAATCGAACCCATGACCTCTTGGTGCAGGGTCGACGCTCACCCACGGAGCCGCCCGGCGGCTGCAAATGCCCTTTGCTGCCCTCACTCCCGGGCGAGGTCCGCCTGCCGCGCGCTCTGCCGTTGAGCACCAGGTGCTTCTGTCAGTTACGAATCTAGTGCAGGTGGATTTAGGTCATTTTTCCTGTTACCTAAATGTTCACGTAAACGTACGCAGTGCGGGCTGGAAGGTGTCTGAGCACGCGGCCTCCCCCTTTCCCTGAAACGCAGGGTCTCCTGGTGGGAGAGGATGACGGCACTGGGAAGGAGAGCCCGGCGCAGCCTGCTCCCGGGAAGAGAAGGTAACATTGGGGTTCTCCCTGTGCGACCGATGTCCCCGGGACCCCTGGCAGCTCCCTCTCGCTCCCTGGAAGCTCTGGCCGGAGCCTGGAGCCCGGAGCCCGCGCGGGGCTGCGCATTCGGGAGAAACAGGGCTTGAGTCCTGAGAACGTGAGACAGGCCTGGGAGCTGGGAAGGGAGCTGTCAGCCTCCCTGCGGGCACAGCCGCCAGGCCGCCTCCCCAACCTCTGCTCCACCTCTTCCTTCCTCTCCCCCTTCCTGGGCCTTCCCTTCAGACACAGGCTCAGGGTCAGTCACCTGGGAGCAGGAGTTCTCCAGTCACACGTCCACCCGCTGTCGCCTGGCGCTCTGCTCCCCACCGCCCCCTACTCCTTATCCCAGGAGTCAGCCGGCCTCACCTCTGCTCAGCACAGCTGACCTGCCCCCGCACAAGCTCAGCGCCCCTGCACCCAGGTTCCTTCCCCGCCGGCTTCCAGAGGCGGGTCCCCTGCGCTCACTCTGCACGCAGCCCCCCACCCCCCACTCTGCACGCAGACACCCCCACCCCCGTCCTCTCTCCACTCTGCATGCAGACCCCCGTCCTTCTATGCAGAATTGCTCCCTGGCCTCTGGGTCCCCGCACCTCCCAGGATCTCCTGAATACCCTCTGACACCCCCCTTCAAGCCCCCAGGGCCAGCCCCAGCTCTCACCACCTTGGTCCGCGTCATCACCCGACACAGGCCACACCAGGGTTGCCGTGTCCTCCTCCCCTGCTCCCCACTTCAGCTCCCTGAGGTCGTTCCACACCCTTGACCTGGGTGGACCCTGTGTCTCCGCAGCCAGGAAGCCCTTCGTGTCCAGAGCAGAGACCTCCCCGGGGCAGAGACGCCCGGTCGGCCCCACAGACCAGAAGCGTCCCTGTCCATCCACGTGGGGAGTTTCAGATAGCGCCGCACCGACGCCCGCTGGGACCAGAGCAGCTGAGGCCCAGAGCCTGGCTGGGAGCGGGCTCCGCCCCCCTGCTGACCCGCGTGGTTCCATGAGCAGGCTTGTAGGTTTGCACACAGACCCAGCCTTTCTCAGGGCAGAGGGACGCCGGGTCCCGGGCCAGGGGATCCCCTTTCTCCCGGCTGCGCAGCACGTGCCCCTCAGGCTGGGCCCAGGCACACGTGGCCCTCACCGCGCACTTGACCCCGGGGCCACCGCCGGAGCATCTCGTCTGCATTCGCCCCGACCTCGGAGCAGTCTGCCCCCCTCGCTGCCAGGTCACAAGGGCTGGCCAGGCCCGTGCCGGGGAGAAAGGGTAGTTGTGTCCTGGTCCCCACACGCACACATTCCCCTCTGGTTCCGGTTCCAACTGGGCGTCTGATCAGAACGTTCCCGCTGCTGTGGCTGGAGGCCCGGGTGTGCTGAGCCGATGGGCCTGCGGAGCCGGACTGGACCAGGAAGGAGCCGCCCGGACGCTGTGCCTGTCCCGGCAGCATGGCCGCTGCGGATGGACAGAGGGACGAGGAGCAGCACCCGTCGCCCAGCTGGGGGACAGGACGCGGACGACTCGGGGCAGGATTCCTCAGCGGCTCTGCGCTCGCACCTCCAGGGGCGGCTGGTGACCGGCTGTCCGCGCGGCCGCACCCTCGGCTCAGCCCTCGGCGCTGACAGACGCGCGCCAGGCCTCGGCCGGCCGCTCACCGCGGGAGGACTTGTGCCGCCCGGCTGGCCTTCCACAGAGCTGGGCGCCCGTGGGTGCGCCACTGCCTCCTGCCCCCTGCCCCCTGCCCCCTGCCCCCTGCCCCCTGCCCCGTCCCCGCCCCGTCAGGACCCGCGGCATCCGTCTTCTCGGCTGCTTGAGACTGCTGGTCTCGAACTCCAGCACCTGGGACAAGCCGCCCTCGGGCCGGGGCACCCGTTCCTGTGAAGGTCCCTGTGAGGGCGCGGCGGCCGGGCCAGCCCTGCCCAGCTCTGCTCCTTTGTAACACGTGTCTCCTCGCCGTGCCTGTCCCGGCAGCCGTGGCTCCTGTGGAGTAACTGGGGGCTTGCTGTGGACAAGCCGGAGCCTCCGTGGACGTGCCTCAGCAAGTCGGGGGCTGGGGGTGCGCCGTGGGGTCCGCAGTGAGCCGCCAGGGCCGGGGTGTCTCTGGTTCCCTTGCCCCGCCCTCTTGCAGTGTGGGGGTGGCCTGGGGCTGCAGGGAGAGCTGTACAGTTGTTTTAAAGAAAAAATAAAGCATCTAAAGCATCTTCACGTCGTTTCCATTGTAAGTTGGCCACTCGGCCTCTTCCCAAGCAGCTTCTGATGCCGAACACACATGGTTTGTCTTCAGAGAGACTGCCCAGGGCCGCTGCACAAGTAACAGAAGCATGTTTGGTATTAAATCAGTTCAGACCCCTGGGAAAGCTTGTGTTGGAAGAAACGCAGTTCTGGTCTCGTCCCCGCCCAGGGACGTGGAGCTGGCCGCGGGGCTGCAGAGGCAGTTGCTCTCTGGGACGTGTTTCTGCCAGAGCGGAGGGCGGACAGGTTCTGATGAGCCACGTTATGGCTTCGCAGGCCTTCCCTCCGGACCGACCTGGCTGACGCGCCGCGGCCCCGCCCCGTCCGCAGGCGGCACGCTCATCCGGTCTGTTCCCGAGGGTGCCCATCCCAAGCAGGGCCGATACGGGCCACAAGACCCGTAACTAATGTGTGTCCGGAGACTCAGCACCCTGCGGAGGGACAAGCAGCAGCGAAGTGGACACGCAGGGAGGGAGGGTTGTCCGGCTCCCGCCGCTGCCTCCCCTCCGTCCCAGGCACTGGCGGGCCCTGGCTTAGGGGCTCCCCAGCCCGCCAGGCCCTGTGCCTTCCCTGCTGGTTTCCACCTCCCAGGGCCTGACACCCATTGGCTCAAAGTGGGTGCCCTGCCCGCCCTGCTGTCTCCATTCAAATGACAGTGGAGGGGAGCAGGGCAGGTGGGGTTACCCACAAGAGACCCCACATGAAAATGTCAAATGTGCCCTGGCCGGTTTGGCTCAGCGGTCAGAGCGTCGGCCTGCGGTCCCGAGAGACCCGGGTTCGGTTCCCGTAAGGGCGCGTACCTCGGTTGCAGTTTGTCCCCGGCCCTGGTTGGGTCGTGTGGGTGGCGACCACTCAACGTGTCCCTTTCACGTCGATGTGTCTCTCTCTCTCTCTCCCTCCCACTCTACCTGAACATAAAATAGAAGAAATGTCCTCGGGTGAGGATAAAATAAGTCGAATGGACAGCACCTGGATGTAACACCAATTCGATGTTGACAGCGAGTCCCCCCACCAGCCGACCACGTGCCCCCACGGCAGGCGACGCGGAGCCCCACCAGCTTCGGCTCCCACCAGGTCTCGGGCGGCACTTGCTTCTCGGCTGGGTTCAGGGGCTGTGACACCTCCCAGTTCAACCTACGGCTAAGTGACGTAGAACCAGAGAACCAGTAGAGTGGGGGGGTGGCCACGGTGGCACCTCTCTCTGGGACACAGAGGACAACTCACAGCTGTCACAAGCCCAAGCGGCTGCACAATTGCACCCACTCCCCGCCCCGCCCGGGGTGAGCCCCTGCCCAGCCACAACACTGGCCGCTCTGTTCTGCCCCAGAGCGTCTCGCACACCCGTCCCTGCGAGTGGGAGGACCTCACGGGCACTGCCTTCCTGGGGGCACGTCCTGGAGGCCTGGGGACCGATGGCTCGAGAGCACAGCCTTGGGTCTGCCAGCTCAGAGTTCAGCTGGCAACACGATTTCCTTAAAAGCTCGGGAGACTTCCCATAGAATCTGCCTCTGAACGTGGGCAAGGGGGCCGGTGCCTCCAGCCAGCTGCTCACCACCGTGTGCAGCCTCGGTGCATCTGTGGTCGCAGCTGGGCAGGCTGCGCGTAGCTCTAAGGCCAGCCCCAGGCCGGGCAGGGCGGCCCAGCTGCATCCCCAGGGGGCGGGTCCGTGGGCCACCTCCTTGCTCTCTGACCACGCCCCCACGGAGGCCTCCACGCTGGAACCATCTCCCAGGCGTGCGCCTCTGCTAGGAAGTGTTCCCTGCACCAGTTCACCCATCTCTGGTAGGGCCCCGGCCTCACGCCTGCTGAATCGTTAAAACCTGTCTCTACATGCTTTTGCTTTTCCCAAACAAAATCGTCACCCTCAATCCTTCCGTCTTGAGGCCAACCATGGCCCGAGCTAGCTGCTGGAGGTCCAGCCATCAAGCCTGCCCTCCAGGCGAGGGAGGCACGCTCCCGAAAGTCAGTGGCATCAGTAAGGTCGCACAGGAGTCTGGGGAACCCGGCCCACTTGCCGGGGTTATTTGGCGCAGCCTCCGCTCCCACCGTGCAGGAGAGAGAGAACTGATGTCCACAGGCATCGAGCAGTGGCTTCCACAGGGGCCGAGCCAGTCTGGGCATCGGATACTCCGTTAACGCGGAACAGTCTGCGACGAGCGGTCATGAGCTGGGAGATCCCCTTTAGAAAAGCCCAGTGCCCCGCCTCTGCGAGGACCCCCGCCGCGCTCCACGCCGCCCCAGGCTCTGCAGAGGGACAGCAGACTGCAAGTCCTCACCTCACAGACAATGCAGGGAAAGGGGAGCAGGAAGAGAAGGACAAAATGCCACACTGTCTCTCAGTGCCCCCTCCGCAGCCCTCATGTCCGGGTTTAATCTCCCCGAGCCAACCTGGTCGCCGTGCAGTGGGCGCTGAGCTGGGAAGCAGCGGCGTGGCCTCTGTGGCCAGAGGTCGGGATCGCAGCCACCAGAAACACTGCCTGAGGCCACGGAACAGTCCCTGGGGTACAGGCCACTACCAGGTGCAAGGCCAGCATCCCAGCGAGCAGGTCAAGGCCACACGGCTGAGCAGATGGTGCCAAGGGTCAGCTTGGAACACAGGGCTCCCTTGCCCTCCCCTCGGGCACACAGGGCTCCGAGGAGCAACGCAGGCAAGAGGACAGTAACGGGGAGACCTTCCCCCTGAGGGACTACAGCGGGGGCAGCCGGCTGATGAGCACAGGCAGTGGCCCTTCCTCCCTCCCTCCGCGCAGGGCCAGGTGGCATTTCCCAGCCTCCTTTGCAGCCAGGTGTGCCAGGCCCTCGGGTGAGCTTGCATCCCCAGCACCGCTGCCCCGGGCAGGGTCAGGACAGCTCTGCACATTTCCCCAGGCTCCCCAGCCCAGCAGGAAGGGGTGCCAGAGCCGCCTCGACCACTACGAGGGTCCCCGGGTCCTGACACACGTCCGCCCTGACCGTCGTCAGCGCTGCCATCGGGCTTCCCCGTGAGAGCGTCGTCTATGCCAGCCCGCAGTTCACGGCCCGGGCCAGGGGAAGGTGGACTGGACAGAGCCCTTGCCTGTGGCGATGAGTCCGCACCAGGGAGCTGCCTGTGGTCCTGCAATCGCACGGCACTCGAACCCTCCCTCCCCTCTGGACTGGCACCAGCCTCCCCTCCAGAGGGCCCTGGGGCGGCTCCCGTCTGCTCTCCGGCCCCTGGACCAGGTCTGCAGGCAGCCCGCCCGGTGCAGGAGTGGAGGCTGGCAGCCGGCCCACACTGCCCTCCCCAGCAGCCTGGCTCCTGCTCAGTCACTGAGGAGTGACCAGCAAGGAGTCCGGCTTCAGCACCAGGACCCTTGCGTGTGACTTGGGCCCTACTGCCCACCTGTCATGTAGGCTGGGCTTGGAGTCAGGCCTGGGTCATCACTACTGTTGAGGCGTGGCCTCTGGTGCCAAGTGCTGTGTGACATGCGGCAAGTTGCAAACCTCTCTGAACCTTTTCTTCATCTGTAAAATGTAGATACCCACCTGGTAGGACTGTTAGGAGGAAAAGAGGACTTAACATGTTAATAAAATATTAGCAATGTTCTGTTTAAATGTTACCAGCATGGCAACCAGTCATGGTCAGCAAGGCCCCATTCTCTGCACTGACTCAGTCAGGACTGTGGGACCCAATTCTAGACAATGAGATATTAGGGGAGGTCAGTGGAAGCCAGGGCTTCTGAAAAGTGTCCTTCTATCTTAAAAAGAGACACAGAAGAGACAACCACAGACTCACACACTTTATACGGCACAAGTTTGAGTGTGATGCCCGGAACGATGGCAGCCATCCTGTGACCTGAGGCCTGATCCTGAATGGCCACATGGCAGGAGGGCGTATTCCAGGACAAAACTGGGGCTTTATTAAGCCTGGAAGAGGGAGGAAGAGCTGCTGGAAGGCAACCTCCAGGTGGGAAGTACGTGCAGCCCCTCTGTTCCTTGGCAGCATGACTCAGCTCCGCGGTCCCAGCCCTCAGCCTTCACCCCAGGAAGCGGGCGGTGACAACTGAGTGACTTGGAGCTTGAAGAGGCAGCTCACTTGGAACAAAGGCACGATGAGTGAGCGGAGACAGAGGGCTGCCGGTCCTGGCGAGAATACAGCCAGCACGACCTGCCCTCAGCAAGCAGGCTGGGCCGAGGCGGCATGGAATCGAACCCGAGACCTCTGCTCTCCCAGAGGCCCCATCGCTGAGTTCTTACAGATCCTAGAACCCACATGTGAGAAAATGCATGGCGCTCCGTTTTGCTTTTCAGCCACCATCAATTCAACTTAATTTTAGAGCAGCTGAAAAATGTAACTGAATGCAGTTTGGAAGGATCTTGGCAACCATTTTATGTCAAAGCACAAGGAATGAGGACAAGAAATCCGACAATGAGATCCAAAACAGGCTTGTTTTATTTACAGAGAACAACGTATTTACAAGCCCACACCTGGACTATGTACACAGCGATACAGCAGGCACTGTATAAATTAAGATCATAAATATGAGGGTGAGCCCACCCGAGAACATAAAACCTCCTCCAAGACTCTCCGGGATCCTTCCTCCCTCCCCCCGGGACAGGACACCCCGCCCCGGACAGACGAGCCGCCCCACGCGCAGCACAAAGACACCACAGGACCAGGGACCCGCCTTCATGCAGAACACGTCCATTCCTTTGCTTCTGACAATGAGAAAAATGGCTTTTACGTCAACGGTGTTGAACACTGACGACATTTTTTATCAGCACGCATGACCCAAACCTAAGCTTTTCCCGAGGGGGTGCTGAGGGCACGGGGTAGCCCTGGGCCAGCTCCCCTGCACCCCCTCACTGCGTTCCAGCTTACCCCGTCCCGTCCAGAGGCCCTGGGAACATCGGAACCCGGGGCCCAGCTCGGACAGGACAGCCCCTTCTGGGACCCCGACCTCTACTGAGGCTCCGCCTTCCTGCACGCAGACAGCTGCTCTGACGGGACGCATCACGGCAGGAAGGGCCACACGACTGCCCGTCTCAGCTCCAGTGGGCGGCCGAGGGAGCTCTCACCCGAACCCCAACACGGCCATGCCCCATGAGGGCACAGGAGTGGGCCCAGCACCCAGAAGAGCCACCAGTGGGAGCACCCCCAAACAAGAGACGGTGCCTGGCCAGCCGGGCAGGGAACCCAGTGGGGTCTGCAAAGTGAGTGGCAGGTAAAAGCTGTTCAGCTGTGACTGATGGTGCCCTGAGGCCGCCTCTCTGGTGCCCTCCCCTTTGGGGTGCAAGGCCCTGGCACACGGGGTTGGGGTTATGGAACCCCCTTTCCAAGGTGGACGAAAGCCCTGTGAGGTGTGGCCAAGGGCGGCAAGGGGCAGAGTCAAAGGCAGTGACAACTTGGTGAGAGCCACATGGGCCGCTAACCGCATGGGACCTGGGGCCCGGCAGCACAAGACAGAAGCCACCTGCAGGGTCAGAGGCAGCAGCCGGTCCCAGAGGAGGGAGACGCCCTCTCCACAGAAATACTGACCCAGCACGACACACGGCCTCCACGGCGGGGAGGCCACCGGCCCTCGCCACCGGGTGCTCCCGGCCCAAGCAGCACTCCTGGACAGACAGCTCAGGAGGGACAGGGCACATCGGGACGGGGGCTCCAGGAGGAGCGAGTCCTCCTCTCTCTTCACGTCAAATTAAAATGAACAGGACCAGAAACGCACCCACACGCTTGCGAACCAGGACCTGACACGGCAGCCTCGAGGGGCCGCGGGGACCACGAGCGCCCACTGGGCACAGATCTGCCCGGTGAGGGACTGCGGTCTGGTGCCACGCGGCGTGCCGTGGAAGGACACACAGCGGAGCCCACGGGGCAGCCGTGTGCGGCCGGTCAGGCCATTTCTGCTGCAATGCCCGGGGCCAGGGAGGCCAGACCTGGCCCAGGACGTGGGTCAGCGAGAGCTGAGAGGTGGCGGCACGGTCGCCCACACACCGCTGGGTTGGAGAGGTGCGTGTCCAGGTAGCTATGTTGCTGTGTCCGAGAGCCTGGAGCTGGCAGGGCGTGAGGCTCCCTGCGCGAGCGCGGACAGAGCACCACGGGCGGGCAGGCAGCCCCTGCTCCCGCCTCAGTCGCAGGAGGAGCGCAGGACGCAGGCCGAGAGGGCGGAGGCTAGGCCTCGGTGACAGGGGGGCCGCGGCTCAGCTCCTTGATGCCACACAGGATCCTCTTCATGTGGCCCACCTTGGTCACGCCCAGGTCCTGCAACGAGAGCACAGCCACCCTGATGCCAGGCAGAGCGCCCGGCCACAGCACCACGACGGGCTGCCCAGCGACTGCACACAGACACCGGGCATCATGGTGACCCCGGACGGAAAGCAATGGCATGAGAAGTGACAAGTGTGCAGAGCCCCACCCCTCCTGCGACCCAGTCACGGGCACCACCGGGCCGAGCCAGCGCCCGAGCCGGGCAGGTGCCCACCTGCAAGTGCGGGACACAGGCAAGCGGGACGGCGCCGGGGCGGCCGCCATGGGCCCGGCAGCCACCGGGTCTGCCCGACTCTAACCAGCCGTGTGACCAACACAGGGCAGCCCGCAGGCCGGTCCCCACCGCACCGCGCTTCCGCTGGCCGTCCACCCCGGCTGGGCTGACCGAGCCGGGCTCCCCGTGTCTCCTGTGGGTGGAGACATCACTGCCAGGGCACCACACAGTCACCCCGAGTTGTACGAAGGACGAGAAGAGCCGTAAAGAGAAGCCTGATGCTGGGACGCGGCCAGGTCGGAGGGAGGGGACAGAGCCGCGGGGAGCCCAGGTGTGGAAGTACCTTGAGGTCCCTCCGCTCCAGGTGCAGGAGCTCGGAGCCCCGGATGTCGTGCCGAGTGAAGATGTCCTTATACTCACAGAGACTGAGGTGCTCCAGCCAGGCAGCAACCTCCTCTGTCCCCCAGAGGTGAACTGTCAGAGACGGAAAAGCAGGAGCAGTGAGCGCCAGCACCCCACACCAGGCAGGCAGCAGCAGGCACCCCGAAAGACCACAGCAGCCAGCACCCAAGATGCCCCAGCAGCCAGTGCCCCGAAACACCACGGCAGCTGACACCCAAGATGCCCAGCGGCAGGCACCTGAAGCACCCCAGCACCCATGACACCCGAAGCACCCCAGCACCCATGACACTCGAAGCACCCCAGCAACCACGGCACCCGACACCCCAGCAACCACGGCGGCTCAAAGCTGTGCAGGGTGCGGGCTCAGCAGGAGCCGCGTGTCCTGCGGGGAGGGGCCTCCCAGGGACCACAGGCAGGTGGGGGGGCGGGGCCTGGCTGTGCGGGAAGCCATCTGCTCCGCCTTCTGGGGCCGCGGGCTCAGCTGGCACCTCCCGGCCACAGACTCGGGTTCCTCGCGCCAGACAGTTGTCTTCTGCCAGCGTGACGGCAGAAACAGGGTGATTTCGATTCGCTCACACCAGATGGCTACGGCTGGGCCGGCTGTTGTCATGTTTTGAGGACAAGAGCTCAGACAGGACCGTGTGTCTGGGTGGCCTGCGGCACACTGGCTGAAAACCACGGCTCTAGAGGGCCCCTTCCAGCTTGAGCCACCGCAGGAGGGAGACACGCAGAGCTCGTGCAGGCAGAGCCACCGTCATTAGAAGGAACCTGATTTCTGGACAAACGTGAAGAAGGAAATCGAAGGGCGCTGCCCTAGTGGGCACCGCCGCCGCCCAAACCCCCTGGGCCACAGCACCCGAGAGCGCGGGCACAGCTGTGCTCGGGGCCAACCCTTCAGATGGGAATTTAAAGCCCCAATTTACTGACCCAAAGGGAAAACGCCCCTCGGTGTCATTTCTGTTGATTTCCCGCCCACAGCTGGTGGCCCAGGCTCCCAGAGGCGCAGGGACGTGATCAGAATCAACTGAAAGGCATCAGCAGCCCCAGAGGAGGCCTGAAGGTGAGCTGTCTCTGTCGTCACCTCTGCTATCCTCCCCTCCTTGCACCCCATCCAGGGCTGGCAGTGGGCCGGTCACCCAGAGTCTGCGCGGGGACACGGTCAGGGCAGGAATGACAGCACAGAAGGGAAAGCAAGGCACAGTCTGTGGCTCCAGACAGCAGGCTCGTGCGGGCCACAGGGATCTTCAGCTCGGGGCCTCGGGGAACAGCCAGGCGGCCAAGGGAGAAAGTGGGGGCCAGGAGGCACACGCAGCGGCTCAGATGGCCAGGAGAGGAGGCAGGTACCCGGGGCTCCCAGGCTGCTGTGAGTGTCTCTGTTCTTGCTGTTCTTCTCCTTCTTAAACTTGGTCACCAGGCGGAACTTCCCGCTGCGGCTGCGTCTGGAGAGATCCGACGTCGCGTTCTGCGCGGAAAGCGACACACTGAGGATCAGACTGCGCACCAAGGCCCAAGGCACCCTGGGATCAGGGCAGCAGGCTGCCTGGTTCCCGCCTCGCTTCTTCGCCTAATTTTCTTTGATTTTGTCTCATATTTATTGTTGATTTTAATGCCATTAAAAGTGGTTTCATGGTCATCAGTGTTTATTTTCATATTTAATTTTTCATTTTATATTGTGCATTTCCCACATGATTAAAAAGCTTTGCAAATCGTATTTAAGTATCAGCACCACCTGGGCAGTGACGAGCAGGCTGCTGAGCCCCTCCCCCTGTCCATGGCAGACTGACAGGTGCGCACCTCCCTGCGCTGTGCACTTCCCTTGGATTTACTCCCCGAGGCCCTCTCAGAGGTGTGACCCGAGCTGCGCTCCCCACTGGGCAGCACCACCCACAGAGCACCCAGGCGCTGAGCAGCCGGCACTGCCCGGCGCCCCGCTCTGCGCAGACACCTGTGCGCGAGCTTGTGGCGGCTCCTTCCTGCCCCCTGGCCTGGAGCCTGTCGCAGGCCCGGCCTCCCACGCCCACCTGACCCACGTTAGGCTTCACAGCTCCGTGCCAAGAGCACCTATCTGGTCGCACTGAGAACACCCCTGGGGACCCTCCCTGGCCCGCGCAAACCCTCATGAGTAATTCACCCGGGAGTGTGCTGTGGAGACACTCAGTCCCCTACACGCCCTTCAGAGTCGCCTCAGGGACTTCTTGTCACAGGGTTTCATGTTTTTAAGTTTCCTACTGTGACAGAGACCTCATGAAGATATTTTCTCATCAATCACGTGAGTACTCATGAGACTCATTTTCACTAATTTCTTGTCCTCGGCCAAAGTGGACACTGACACTGCTCTGTCGGACCCTCGGGCCAGGGCCCGCGCTCTGTCCCCAGGCAGGCGACCCCCTCCCTGCAGCTCTCCCAACAGGATTCGACAAAACCCTACTCCCGACTTTACGGAATTTCTTTTTATTCACGTACACATGAGTATTACATTTACTTCTAACTTTAATATGAATGAAGCTGGTTATCAACATGTTATCTGACTTTGTCTCACCAGAGACAATAACCTCAGATAACAAATTATTCCCCCCGGAACTACTTCATAAGCAACTCCAAGAGACAATCCTCTCTTCTTCAAACATAAGCACAGTGCCATTATCACCGAGCCACCCCAACACCCCACTAATGCATCCTCTGTACCCAGCTGCCCACTGCGCCATGGTCCACCCCCAGCTGGTGTGAGTCAGGGCCTGACGAGGTCCTTCGCCTACCAACAAACCAATTGTCTGTCCTGGGACAGCTGGTGGCTCCCTGCCCCTCCCTTTGCGTGGGGCTGCTGAGGACATGGACACCTCCAGACGGGGATGTCCGGGGCCTGGCCCACCCACCATGACCCACCTATGTCCAGTGTCTGCCCGGGGGACACGAAATGGCCTTGTAGCCCTCCACACTCCCCAGCTGGGACGCTTTTACAAATAATGTCCTTCGTCAGCTATTTTATTTAAAGAAATGATTTGTAGGGATCTACTAATAATACTGCATTTTGGAATCAATGTGCTAGTTATAAAAAAATGATTGAAAGTTCTAAACACTTGTTTCCCAATAATGCGAATACACTTTACTTAAATTGTACAATAAATGACAAAGATTGATACATTTTGTTTTCCCCCACAATTAAACACAGTGAGCTGGGACGCTGCCAACCTTTTCTAGCTTGAATGCTGGTTCTTACACAGGGGAAGCACATTCCTTAGCAGTTTTTCTTGGGAGGCAGTATTTATTTAGATTATTTTTTAAGGTGTTCTGTGGCTATTCTCTTTTAAATGTCTTCAGATTTCTATTTGTATAAATTCTTCCTGAAAACTCACGTTTTATCAGGATTTAAAATGTATGACCATTTCTTTGAATGTATCGATTTCCTTCCTTGTGTTTTGTTACATTTCCTTCATCGCTGCATTCTGTTGTTCACTTTTTCTTTCCATTTTTGCCAGAGAAGGGTTTAACTTGTTTTACTTTCCCTTCAAAAACCCAGCTCATAGGTTTATTGGTTTTTGTTTTTTTCTTTCAAATAAATGGCTTCTCTATTTTCAGGGGGCAGCAAGGACACCGTCCCCGGCCTCCAGGCCCCCTGGCCCTCTGCACGTCACCCCATCCCTCAGGGCGAGCAGGAGGGAGCTCCGAGCTGCAAGGTGGCCAGCAGGCCATTCTGGGGACACCTGGCTGCAACTTCTGGCCTCAGGCTCCATCAGATGGAGGCGCCCCCGCCCCTCCCCCCACACTGTCCGAGCTGCGAGCTAAGGGTTCCGTAACTAAGCCTGCTCTTGGGGCCCACCCACCTGTACTATTTCTCACCTGTTTCTGCGATAACTAACACCTGCGCCATTCCTGAAGCCCAGGTCCAGGAACCTAGAAACCAGGGCAGCTCTAGACGTGGCCCAGAGGACAGCATGCCACACCTCCAGGCAACCTGTGCCGTCTGTGTGTGTTTCTGCAGCACACGCTGCACCGCACTCGGCAGTGTTTGTTTTGACATGTTTCGGTTGGAAGCGCTGGACAACGCCTGTGACATGGGCTTCTAGCACTAAGACCGGACAGTCCCAAACAAACTGGGCTGGCCGGCCGCCCTGCAACCAGGCCCGAGGCTGTGAGCCTCCCTGCCGCGGCTGCTGCTCCGGCTGCCCCACAGGAAACCTGCGCAGAGGAAGCAGCCGCGTGTGGGCGGACAGGACCCAGGACATGGGGCTGTGGGGGCTGTGCTGAATGACGGGCACAATTTCCCTGAGTCTGTAGCTGAGGTTTCCTTGTGCCCTAGAACTGTGATACTCAAACTACCCCTGGAAAAGAACTAGTACAGTGGACTGGTATTTTCATAAATACAATAAATGACTAGAAAAACGAAACCAAAAGAGAGCATACACAAAACAAACCGTCAATTGCTTTCAAGTTTTTATCCTCTTCCTCTCAATTTCTATCATGATCACACGTTCCTGCCATCAGTAGTGGTCCAGAATGTGACCAGACTGAATGTCCGTGGGCACAGGAGGGAAAGAGAGTCCCGGCCACTGCACAGCACAGCGAGGCACCTCTCGGAGAGAAGCACGGGACGTGCGTGTGCCACACCCTACGGCGCATGCTCCTCCAGCTCCTGTCCAGATGCCTCGCGGGTTTGCTGGATTCTATGGCCACGGCCTGGTAGTGATGGCTCATGCTACAATCTGGTTTGTCACTGTCATTACGAGTTTTCACTTTACATATTTTATGCATATATATTAAAATTAAAATGTAGGGGGGTAATCACTAAAAAAAACCCAGAGAGTATGTATTCCCAAACTAGTAGAGGGGACAAACAGAACTGTGTGGGAGGAAGCAGGGCCTCATCAAAAGGAGAAATTAAAAGAAACAGAAAAAGTGGGACAAATAGAATGCACAAAATATAATAGAAATATGTCTAAATGTGTCAGTAATTAATGATAATATAATAAATGTAAATAGACTGGACTCTCCAATTAAAACAAAGTACCACACTGGATAAAAATCCAGCATTTAGCAATATGCTGTTACGAGACACTCCAGCCCTGGCCGGTTTGGCTCAGAGGTTAGAATGTCGGCCTGTGGTCCAGAGAGACCTGGGTTCAGTTCCCACTAAGGGCACGTACCTCAGTTGCCATTTGTCCCCGGCCCTGGTTGGGTAGTGCGGGTAGCAACCACTTGATGTGTCCCTTTCACGTCAATGTCTGTCTGTCTGTCTCTCTCTCCCCGTCCCACTCTATCTGAACAAAAAAAAAAAAAAAAAAAAAAAGGAAAAATGTCCTGGGGTGAGGATAAAAAAAAAGGAGAGACACTCCAAATAAAGCTGGAAAGTAAAACCATGAAAAAGAATATACCAAACAACCAGGCGTAAAAATAAAAGAACTACTGAAGGTCTTCACATAACGATAAACCTATAAGCACCCAACAACACAGCCTCAAAATATAGAAAGCAGATACACAAAATCACAAAGACAAACTGAGACAGCTGTATCTGTGGGCAGAGTACAACAGTAATTGATAGATCAAGAAGACAAAAAAACACATTTTGTAAAATTATTATATTTTTATCAATATAAAGTGATCCCCTTTGATCATTTATTGCTTTAGGTATGCAATTCTGGGTTGTTTTTTTTAAATCCTCACCTGAGGACATTTTTCCATTTATTTTCAGATAGAGCAGGAAGGGGAAGGGGAGTGTGAGAGAGAGAGAGAGGACTTACATGAGACAGACGCATGGATTGGTTGCTCTGTCCTGCGAGACCCAGATCAGAGCTGGGGACAGAACCACAAATGAGGTACGTACCCTTGTCTATAGGTCGACATTCTAACTGCTAAGCCAAACCAGTCAGGGCTGCAATTCTGTTTTTATGTTAATACTGTTACGGAATTTTTTTACTGTTTCATTGAAAATTGTTTACTTTTCATCTCTCTGTCATAAGTTTTTACTGGGGATCTGGGAGAGAAAACTGGGCTCTGTGACTAATATATGGTTAGATTTCTTTTTTAACACAGTCTGAGAAAAATTTGCCTTTAACACACTGTGTACCACATAGAAACCTCTAAGACATATGCCAGGGACCGCACGTTTCTGGGCAAACTGCACGTTCGGTTCTGAGCTCACGCATTTGAACCAGCAGATACCCATTCCCCAGCTACTGCAAGAATAGAGAACCATGTGCGGTTTTCAAACTTCGACCCACAGGACGAAGAGTCACAAATACAATAACCCTATGTTACCCTGGGTTCCAAAACCGGAAACAGCTGATGCGAGTGCAAACCCGATTACCTCGTGCGCGGTCCGCAACGTCTGGGCAGGAAAACACGAGTTAACTCGTGAGCGGTCAAAAATGTGTTAAGAGTGAAATCTATATCATTTTCTATATCTTATCTTTATATTACTACAGACCAGATCTTTTACAACATATATATTTTTTGTACTTTGTAGTGATTTGGAAAGATAAAAATCTCAACGCTCCTAGAAAGCACCTGTGAGTGTTTAAACAGCAGTGCAGACTCCGCATTTCCCTCATTATCAAGGTCAAGAAGGAACTTAATGTGCTTCCGTTCCTCGGTCCTGCCCTTTCCCCCCTCCTCCCCGTCCACTTCACAGGCTTGGATAACTTAACCTTAATCTGGAATTACCGGGCTACGTGCTGTTACATCTGTTGAGTATTTTATATACTGTTATTTTGGTAATTTTTTTTTTAGTGGAAATTTTATCTATCATTAACAGTTTAACCAGCTGTGATGAGCTTAGCCTGCATGCATCCTTACACCAGCATGTCCTCATCCTGAAGACGCTCAGTTTTGTCCCCTGGCTGGAAGGCCTGAGTCGTTTTCCAAGCAGGGTTTGTCAACAAACGTCTGCGGATTCGAAGACGGGTACGCGGCTGCTGTGAGCTTGCCTCGGCCCCCACCCTGCTCTGTCAACAGGTCTGAACAAACCAAGCTGGCGGCGGGCAGGGTGCCCAACGTTTCATGTCCAGCAGTTGCCCTGTGGGGGAATTATTGCCCCAGGGTGCACTCGACTCCTGGCCCACTCTGCTCTCTATCCCTGAGGGGAAGGCAGTCCAGGCTCTGCTTTGTCCAGACGCCGCCCATGGAAACCGCCATTCAGCAAGCACCCTCTCTGGGCTCTTCCTGCCTGCTCGCCACTGCAGGAGGTGACTGCTCCCCGGGGTGCAATGTGCCCAGGGTCCTATCTGTCCCAGTTCTAGGACCTGTGGCAACTGAGTGTGCGTGGTGGTGGGGGGGTGGAGTCTCTAAATACATGAAGAAGAGAAGTGTGAGTGTAAGCCTAACACACCAACTCTGTCCCTGTCAAAAACAAACTTTCAAGAAGCTGCCATTTAACCAGCAAATGTGTGTCCACGGCAGGGGAACAGTGGGGCTGGGCTCAGCCCTCGTTCTCCCTCTTGCCTGGTCAGCGTGCAGCTCTGTTCCTGAGGGCAACATGTGCCCTGGTCTCCAAGGGTCATTCTCGATACCAACTATGAACTCCCTTCTCCTGCAGTCTCTCTCCACCCCCTGAAGGCACCAGACTACAGAAGCCTTGAGAAGCCATGTCAAGGGCTGCCAGGCTGACGCCATCCAAAGCCACAGAGCACAGTGAACACAGGCCACTGCACCTAGGGGTGCCCAAGCTGAAGCCCCCAGCCCACATACCTCTTCATCACTGGGCTCCATGGGCTGGCACAGCCAGGGGGTGTCCGCCAGCTTCCGGAGCTGCTGGTCCATGTTGGCGAGCGCAGCCCCGAGCCGCTCCTTCTGTGGGAGATCCAACTGCTGTTCTCGCGGTGGGGGGAGGGGGGAGAACACGGCTGGTTATTAGCAGTGAGGAGCTGGGCTCCGCTCAAGAGTTCTTGTCAGGACTCCTGAGGAAATGGAGTCACAGAGCACAGGCTAAGGCCCTCCCCTTCTAAGGAGTGTCGGGTAAGAGGGTTACACTCTCCTTTCATAAACAGTGGAGCGAACTCGTCTGCTTGTCTGACAGTCGCTCACAGGGCTGACACCACTGCCCTCGTTTGCCTTGGGACCCTCTGTCAAAAAGGGGACATGACCAGCCGCCTGCAGCAGGTAAGGGGATGCTGCTCCATGCCAAGACAGCAGCATTTTGGGGGGAAGAGCAGAGGGTATAAAAACTAGATTTTGGGGACCATTCTCCAGCTGTGTGATTTTTAGCAAGTCACTTCGCCTCCCGGCCTTCTATGTCCTCATTTTATAAAAGAAGGTTGACCAGGCAACCTCTCAGCCTCTCCCTCGTGCAGGTCCTGTGGTTCAGCAGCCTCCCCACCCCCACCCCGAGTGCAGCCAGGTCTGCAGGGCTGAGTGAGGCTGGAACGAGCATGTGTGCCTGCCAGGACCCAGGAGGACAGTGGCCACCTGCAGGCGTATAAGGGAGACTTTTGTCTCTGATGACAAAGGCGTTCAGTCCCCAGGAATCTAACACCCTAGAGATGATGTGGCTGAGATGTGGCCAGAAGGGTGTGTACACACCAACCACATGGAAAGATCACATGACCTGAGGCCCCTTCCAACAATGAGTCTACATTCGTTTGTTTTTTGTTTTTTGTTTTTTTTGGTATGTGCCCCTAGTGGGAACCGAACCCGGAACTCTCTAATTTGCAGCCGACGCTCCAACCACTGAGCCAGACTGGCCAGGGCCTGAGTCTACATTCTTAAGGCGGGGAAACCTGGACAAGAGTGTGCTCACCAGGGCCACCTTCCCGGCCAGCAGCAGCTCCGTCTCGCTGCGCAGGGCCTTGATGTTGCTCACCATCTCCAGGACCAGGCTGCAGCTGAGCCCCTGCGATGAAACAGAACAGACACATGGAGGAGCCCGAGGCTACATGCGCCCAGACGAGCAAGACTGGAAAGGTGCAGGCACCTCCGTGGTCCTGGGCTTGCTGTACACACGGTCCATGGACTTGGAGCTGGCGTTGACGGCGTGGGCGAGTTCTTGCTCCATGTCTCGATGGGACTGAGCTATCTCCCGGATGCTGGAGAGGAGGAGAAACACGCACTCATCAGGCCGGACGGAGTGGCCTGGCCGTCCCCTCGATCTCTGGCACGAAGTGGAAACAGTAAGCGGACTGTTCCCTTGAGTCCAAGGCAGGTGTGCAGATCTGTGAGCTGGCTCTGAAAACACCCACCCACGTCAACTCTGAACAGCCTCGGAGAGGCGATTCGTGGAAATGAACCAAAGCCAGGGGCGAGCAGAAACCCTCGTAAAGGGGGCCAGCCAGCACCGAGTCCGTGAGGAGGACTCAAGCCTGCGTCCCAGTAATGGACGTGGAGCCTGGTGCTCCGGCCGGGAGGGCTGACCTGTGGATGAGCGCTCCCGCTGCCTGCCCGAACTGGTCCAGCTGGGTGGCCTCTTCCTCGGACAGGATCTCCGGGTGCAGGGAGAAAGTCGGCGCACGCGGCAGTTCACACTTCTGCTTGTCTTCCCAGGACTTCAGGGTGTTCTCAAAGGCCTAGGGCATAAGAACCCGGAGTTACATTTCCTGCTGCTCTCGGAGGTGAGCACATGTCTACTGACAACAGGGACGCTGGCATTCAGCAGGGTCACAGAAAGGGAGATAGTCTCCCTCCCTACTGAGGAAGAGAAACGGTCCAAGGAATTACTGTCCTGCTGGCTTAATTATTGCGTCTAAAAAAAAATAAAATAAATTCCTAGAAGTAAACATTAAAATCCCCGAGTCGTCTTAGAGAAGCACAGGTGTGCCTGCAGGGGAGCCCCCGTCCCACAGGCAGCCCTCTTACCCTGTCTCGGGTGAGCATCTGGGCCCGGTTCTTGTGGACAATCCGAATGTATCCTGGAGGCTGGATCCAGGCCTCTCCATCCACCTGCACAGGCACGCCCTCATCCCCCAGGATGGAGATCTTCACCGTGCGGCACTGCACAGACATCACAGCCGTTATTCATGCACCGAACTCACCAAGGGGCCCTACGCTGAGCACTGCAGGAGCCTTCCTGTTCGACACACTCCCACACGCAGCTGACCTCTGGGGCGACAGCCTGCCCTGTGGTCGGAGCATCCCTGTCCAGTGCAGAGCTCATGGAGCCTGAGGGTCTGTGCCCCACCCCCACCCCACCGTCCCCTCACTCAGCACTGCATCTATGATCGCAGTGAAATCTCAGTGATCAGACACCAGCGCCAGGCCCAGGGTCAGGACTCATGGCTTCCAAGAGCCATTGCGCCCCTGGGCACATGCAAACACACCCAGAACAGAGCAAACGACCAACAAGCGGTTAAGAAAGAACTGGTCCCCTTTCCAACAAAACATGGAGCCGAAGACTTAAAATAGTGAAATCTCAGCAGCCTACTGTGGGGACAGACGGGACTACGCAGCCTGGGACTCAAGTCTCAGAACAGCTCCTGCCCAGGTCTTTGTGCACAAAGCACCGCCCACCCCAGCCCGTCACCAGAAGCAAGTAACGGGAGAGCCCAGAGCCCACATCCCTGCCGGGCGAGGCCACACTTTCTCTGCCAGCCACCTATGCTCAGCCTGTTACCAAGCCCAGGCTGCTGCTTCTGACAGCTGCAGGCACGGGTCCAAGTTCAGGCCAGGCCTGTTTCATCTCATCCCACCTCAGTGAGGGGCTAGGATACAAGTGGCACCCCAGGGAAAATCAGGGCGGGGAGCTCAGGCAGGGTGCAAATTGGCCCCAATTTTGAGCACCCATTCTTCTGGGCTCTGCACCAGGATGCATTTACTGGGGGGAGAGTAGTGTCGAGTCTGGGGCTCTGGGCCAGGCCCCACCTCTCTGAGTGTGTAAGCCAGACTGCCTCCCAGGCCCTCCCTGCCTCCAGGACAACAGCCAGTACCTGCGCAATCCGGTGATGCTGCAGCTTAATGACCCGAGAGACAGCCATCTGCATACTGCCAAACACAGCGACCACCTCCAAGATCTTATCATCGAACGAAGGAGCTGCGAAAGTCTGAAAGGCCCGAGTCAGAGCTGACCTGGGCTCCCACTACCCCGACCACACGCCACACACTTCTCGCTGTGAGGGCTGCTGCGCTGGTAAAGACAGGCCCACGACGTGACGTGTCCTAACTGAAGCAGGAGCCCCAGCTGAACCCATTACTAAGATCCTGAAACCAGCTTCCTGGGACCAAATTGCGGACCTGCCACTTCCTCGCCTTGTGAGCTTGGTGGGCAAGTCGCTTCATTTCCCTGTTTCTCAGCTGCCTCGTTTGTAAATGGGGCAATAACAGGGTGAGCCTCAGGGGCTATTACAAGGACTGACTGAGTTAGCATGTGCACAGTCTCAGAACAGCGACCAGAACATCTGAAGTGTCCAATCAGTGTCAACTATTTTTATTAGCTCTTATATACAAAGGAAGCCACGCCCTTGCTTAAAACTATCGATGCCACTCAGAGTTCTCAGCATAAACGCCGACGTTCTCCCCTGGCTCACACAGCTCCAAGGGAGCACTGACCCTCTGCGCCCGCCCGCTGCACAGGCCACCACGCTCCCTCCCACCTTGCCTTCTGGCCACTAAGCCTTCCATCAGCCGCTCCTTCTACCTGGAACAGCCGCCCCACCTCTCCCCTCCCAACACTCCACCTTAACTGGCTGACCCAAGTCATCCTTCAGGTCTCAAAACAGATGTCCCCTCCTCCTAGAAGCCTTACCAGATCACCCCAAGTCAGGGTTGGGCCCGGCTTCTGATCACACCCGTGCCTCTGACCACATCTGTTCAACTCAGCCCCCATTTTCATAAGCGGGGAACCCCACCTGTGTGCCAGTACTAGACAGGTGGTGCACATCCATCCCTCTGTCACCGCCAGAGCACCCTGAGTGCCGACGCTCCAGCAGGGCCCTAAGTGGCTGGCGCTCCTTGAAGGGGCCGCCTCTCTGGACACCACCCCCTGGCCCCTGAGCTCAGGCCCATGCCACCCAGCATCCCTATACGTACATCATCTTCCTTGGTGCCCCCCCAGAAGTTGGTCCCTCCGGCATAGCTGGGAATGTTGAGGACAGCAATTCCCTGGAGACTGGGGAGCGGGATGGGCCGCCCGTCACACTAGCGATGGGAAAGCAGGACAAGGAGAGAAGAGATGTGGGCATCGACCAGCCTTCCTCACCAGCCATCCGCCCCTGGCTGCGGAGACCATGCTGCAGCGGGTCTGCCCCGAGGGGTCCACGGGGCGGAAGGGCTAACAGGAGCCCCGTTGGGCCCCGGCTGCCTGCCATTGCAGGAGACCCCGGCTCACCTCCAGCAGGACCTTCTGCTCCAGGTTCTTGTAGGTTCTGTGCAGCAACTCTTTTGTCCCAAGAACCCCATACCACATCATGTTCTTGGTTCGACTCCTAGAGACGGAAAGCAAAAAACAAACATGGGCTCTCTGCAGTTAACTACGGCTGCTGCTGCAGAGCAGGGCGGCCCTGACTGCTCAGCGCCCCACGGCGGGGACCCCCACGGCGGACACAGTCCTGGGAGGAGCTACAGAAGGGAAGCAGGGACGTGGTCACCGACAGGAAGGGCGGTACTTGATGAGAATGTGATCACACCCTGAAGTACAGAAGCACATGACCCTGTGTGTGCCACCGCCGCGTGTTTCCAAGGCTCTGGATGTGGAGTTTACAGGTGGAATGACCGGGCTGCAGTCTCCTGACCCACTCTGTCCACTTCACCCGCACGGAGCACACCACTGCGTGTCCTGAGACACGACCCATCTCCGTGGGCTCCTCCCCGTGTCACCCGGCTCATCCCTCTGACCGGACCCGGCTCAGCCCCACTCCCAAGCTCTAGGAAGTGGCCTCTCTGCCAGGTTCCAATCACTTCTTTTCTTTTTTAAAAAATTGATTTCAGAGAGAGTGAGTGAGAGAGGAAGGGAGAGGGAGAGAGAGAGAGAGAAACATCCATGTGAGAGAGAAACATGGACCAGTTGCCTCTCGTACGCACTCTGACCAGGGGACCAAACCCATAACCTGGGCACGTGCCCTGACCAGGAACCGAACCGTGACCCTTCAGTGCACAGGACAACGCTCCAACCACTGAACCACGCCAGCCGGGGCTCCAGCCACTTGTCTAGGATAGGTCTGTAGAAATGGAATTCTTCTGGGTAGATGAATTCAAAGCTCTCGATGCAAACTCAGAGAGGTTACACCAGGTCCAAAGGTTCTAAAAATGGGTTAAACACAGCCCTCTTCCTCAACCATCTTACTCTGCTAAATTCAGTCCTTCCCGAACTAACAAAAATAACATTGTTATTCTGAATGATTCGGGCTCACCACCATGTCCTGCACACCAGGGTGTCCCTGGGCACCTCCGGGCCACTCTCCTCCACACAGAGTCCCAGAGCTAAACAGTTTTTAAATTCCTGAGTGGGATCTAGTTTTCCTAGAAATGTCCAAATACACAAAATGCGCACATCGACTTGGGTGTGGGTGTGGCCCTCCTGTCCAGCTCCCCCCCGCAGCTCCCCTCCAGGGACAGTGGCACCATGGGGAGCTGGTGGGCACACGAGAGTGTGAGCAGGTCTGTAGGCCCTCCCCAAGGCCTCCTGCGCCCTGTGGCATGGCTGCTCCGCCCAACAGCACACAGCCCCCCTCGCCCTCCTCCCAGAACGTCACAGCCAAATGGTCTCTTCCTCCAGGTAGTTACCGGGGGCAGGGTGGGGGGGTGGGGAGGTATTAACTCCCTACTTCTCGTGTTTACATGAAGGAAAGGGAATTTCCACATCAGCTCAGGAGGAAGCTCCCCATTTCTTCCATCCCGTCCCAGGCCTGGAGGGGCAGGAAGATGGTAATTTAGGGGGAAACTGAACATCCCCAGCAAAAGCCCTCAGGACCTCTCAGGCGGCCACCCTCTCCCGGAGGGGGGTTCTCGAGGCCCTGACCCCAGGACCGCTGCTGTGCGCTGAGTGCAGACTTGCCGGCGGAGGTCGGGGACCCGCAGCCATTCCTCAGCACAGCTCACGCAACCTGCCGCCCTACAGCTACATCAGTCCACGACTTGCCTGAGACTCAGTCCCTATTCTTATCGACTGGGGTCACTCACTTCTCATGCTGAATGCGCCCCAACCTGGCCAACCCTAGGGGAACCCTCCTCCGGGCTGGCCTCTTGGATTCTCACCCACTTCCACCCACACCTTTGGAAGCACTTCCATTTCCAGACACAAGATATTCAGGCTCCAAGTTTGTCTTCTTCCTTAGCAGCTGCACGTCCTTTTACCCGCTGGCTCCAGAAATGACCTTACTGACCGAAGGACAAACGAAGAGGATGCGAAGGACAGGTGTGCGCAGAGGCGTCACCCACCTGCACTTCTCTGGGTGCTCGTCACGCTTGTTGTTGAAGTCCAGGGATATCTTCGCATCCAGGCCGATGCCGAAGTAGTTGTTCATGACGCACTTCTCCGTGTAGCACTCTCTGCAAAGGCAGTTCCGCAGCAGTCAGAACCCCAGCCCAGCAGGGCCACTGCGCACCTCCCAACCTCCAGGCATTTCTTCCTGAGGGCACAACTCACACTTCCTTTTCTGTATAACAGTTTCATTGAGAAATAATTCATATATCATATAGTTTACTTACTTAAGATGTACAACGTGATATTTAATGATTCACACAGTCACATAACTGTCATTACAATCAACTTCAGAATTACTGAATCACCCTGAACAAAAGTTCACATCCTTTAGCCAACAGTGCCAACTCCTCCCCAGCTCCCGACAACCACTAATCTACTCCCTCTCTCCCTATGGACCTGCCTCCTCTGGGCATTTCACATGAATCAGGTCCCACAATACAGGGTCCTTGCGCCTAGCTCTCTTCACTAAACACTGTTTTTAGGGCACAGGGCCTGGAGGAGGTGGGGTAGCAGGGGCCTGGGCAGCAGGACAGGCAGGCTCCAGGAGGCCATCACAGCACAGGCAGAGTGACCAAGTATCCCAGCCTGGGTGGAGGAGGGGAGCAGCTTTGGTCTCCCCAGGTAAAGGAGAAGGCTCCCCTGTATGAAGAGGAGAGAGCATAGACAGACTAACAGCCATGGCTGCCAGACGTGGAACCTCAGGGATCTCAGATTGAAAGAAACAAACAAAACATCAAGTTTGGGCCTGGCCAGTGTGGCTCAGTGGTTGAGCGTCTTCCCTGCACCAAGAGGTCACAGGTTTGACTCCTAGCCAGGGCACGTACCCAGGCTGAAAGCTTGATCTCCAGTGGGGGGCCTGCAGAGGGCAGCCAATCGAGGTTTCTATCTCTCTTTCCCTCTCCTTTACTCTCTCTCTAAAAAAATAAAATAAAATAAAATAAAATAAAATAAAATAAAATAAAATATTTTTTTAAATCGATATATATATATATATATATATCGAATTCAGGAGGTCCCGGGAGCACTGCTACAGGACAACAGCGCTGGCCCTTTCGAGGAAATGACATCAGGCCGGGTCAAGGCCAGAGCCCAGGCAGCCCGCGGAGGGGCCTGGAGTGAGGCGCAGACGGCAGGTAAGTCAGTGTCAGGTCCAGGGCAGATGCCCGGCACTGGGTAGGCCAGCATCGGGCAGCACATGTCCGAACAGAGGCCCCTCCCTGGCAAATGCCTGGCGGGCTGCACTCCGCACAGTTCCAGCCCTGCCTTCTGCACACAGCACACTGCTCAGTGGCTCGCCTCCACCGCGCCAGACACATGGGCAGCAACTTTTAACAGCTGCCACCTGTCGCTAGCCGCCCAGAACTTGCGATCAGCCAGCAGAAAGGAAAACCTAGAACGGGTTTTCAAATACCATCTGTGTCTGCAATGGCGTGTGCACACAAGAACAGACTCAACCGAACTACTGCACACAGTCCTCACCGCCTCGCGGCTGGGGCCAAGGACACAGGGCCAGGAGCACAGAGCAGCTCCGAGACTTTCCTCCCCACACGTCTCAGCCCCAGACAGCGTCTCCCTGGGGATCGCCAGGAGTTTCCAGCCCAGGGAGCTGACTGCCACTCTAATGGGGAAGCAGGCCGTACGGGAAAGCAGAACAGCCAGAGCGGAAGGTGGTCAGGAAGAGGAGCCAGCGTGGGGCCAGCCGAGGTTACCAGAGTGACAATGGGGGATGAGTTCTAAGTCAGCTCCCAACAGGAGTGTCCGAACCTGCCAAAAACCTCAGAACATGACACGTACTCAGAACGCCGACGCGTGACCAGCAGGGAAGCTGGGAGTGACCAGGACAGGCTGGTCCCATCGTCCCAGCCCGGAACCCTGCGACACACTCGCAGCGCGGCTTCTAGGCTGCCCACCAGCGGACACCAGCTGGAGGGCCCGAGTCAGCACGGCCCTCTCGCTAGCCCCCCTCAGTTTCTGGCTCCAGCACTCCTTCCCCGGTGTGCCCCTGGTTCACGCCACACTCACAGGTTTTCTGGCTCGGAGTTGAAGGGATCGGCGTTAATTAACAAGCGACTGATGACTGAACTGCCGGGTAAGGAACCAGACATCCCCGCGCGAACATCTGTGAGGGAGACAACGGGAGGAGACGGCACTGGGCGGGAGAAGCTGCTATCTCTGAGGATGACAGACACATTTCCCAGAATGTGACAATTAATCGTTTCAAAATAACGCATAAATATGTCCAAATTTTGTCAATTAATGGTTTCAGATCAAAAATAATCCATCATCAACCCATCTTCATGAAACAAAAGTAAACATACTGGCTGAAATCAACACCCATGAGACGTGAAAACAGCTTACAAAAACAGTTCTTGTTACACGTGAAAAGCTCCGGCAGAAGGAGCTCTCTGCGGCCACTCTTAGAGCCCAGTCATCCAAGCCTCAGAAGGCCAAATTCATGAGAAATAAACATCAAGGACACTCCAGGTGACAAGAACCTTCAAGCCACCTGCATCAATGTAAAATCTTTACATTACACCTTAAGACTGAAATGAAGCCCTGCTTTTGAACATCCATGCCTTCCGGTCATCTTTGTCAATGACTGACCGAGTGCTTCTCATGTCCAAGGGCTCAGTTCCCAAGGGCTCCTGGAATTTTCATTCTACCTAGTGGAGATTCACTAGAAATCAACAAATCCCTTATAGGAGCAGACGGTGTGGCTAGGAGGCCTCGGGACTCTACTTGAAGCTGGTTAGGAGGTGCTACTGGCAATCTCAACCCCTGTGGCATTCCTTCCTTCGACGACACAAGAACTGTCACAGCTCCCCTAAGGGAGGAGGGCGAAACGGGAGCCAGGAAAGAGGAGCGGGCCAGCCCTCCCGGCAGCTGGCTGTGCTCCTGCTGGAATCATGTGCGAAACAGTGATACGATCCCCCCAGGAGGCGATTTGGTTGCCATCTGCCCTTTGTAATAAATAAGGGCACTTTCATACTGTGACCTAACTCTGAATTCGTCTACTTTCCCAAGGACCTATAGGCTCTCGGAAGACAAGGACCTCATCTCATTGATCCCCACAGACTCAGTGCCAGGCAAAGCAATAGGCCCCAATGCCCCCCCCCCCCCCCCCCCCCCGCAGACACTAGGCCACTGTGTCAGCACTGCCACCCTGGCCCACCTGGGTGGGGACACTCACTCGGGAACAGGATCTTGGTGTTCAGCGCTGGCAGGCCATCCCGGTTTCCTGACTGGGGAGGAAGAGAGGCAGAACTGCCCAGTGACAAACTTCCTTTGCTGATCAGCTTCTCACATGGGGACTTGGACACTAGAAACAGGACACAAAGCCAGAAGGCTGTCCAGACAGACCATGGCCGACTACTGGGAGAGGTCACTAGAGGATGGTCAGGTGAGGGCCGGGGGATGTGAGGAGCTTACAAGCCACGGGTCAGCACAGGTAGAGTGGGTGAGATAAAGAAAAAGGCCCAGAGACAGACAGGAGAGGAGAAACAGGTGGGTCTGAGCACCCACTGGAGGATGAAGCTGGGGCGGGGCACGGAGGGGCTAGACCCTAATCACACTGGGGCTGTGGAGCCCACGCCAAGCGTAGTTCTGAGTGATAATGACTATGGAGTGCCTCCTAGGGGCTTGTCCATACAAAGGAGGGGCCACGTGCAGTTGGTGGGGAGGGACAACTCTCCACAGGAGCCCGCACCAGGGGCTGTCCCAGGAGGGCCAAGGCTCAGGCAGATGGCCTGTGGGGCTGGGTGATGCCCTAGCCAAAATGCCAGGCAAGGCCGGCTCTGGCTGGAGCAAATTTCACGTGTATGGCATTTGGCTAGCTGCAGCCAAGAAGCCCTGAGCCCTGTTGGGTCTGGGGAGCCCAGGGAGGTTCTGAGGAAAGCACATTCCTGAGCAGCAAGGCTCACCCCAGCCCCCCACCCCCACCCCAAGCAGCACACAGCGTGTGGTGCACAGAAAGGCGGTGTGTCCTGACATTTCATACCGCCACATGGCCACAGCAATTATGAGAAAACACCCTAATACTCCCCTCGGCGAGCTTGCTGAGTACCACAAAGGCCCAAGCGCAGCACTGAGGGGTACCCAGGCTGGCGGGCTGTACCTTTGCGGAGGCTCCTGTGCTTGGCAACCCTGCAGCTCTCGCTGTGGCACAGTGGGTCGTCCAACTTCAGGTCCTTTTTCTCCTCTGACTCAGAGAGATCTAAGACAATCCTCTCCTGTTCTTGGGTCTGGGCATTCTGCTCATCAACAGCTACGAGGGAAGAATGTTTGCAGCTCAGCCTGTGGCCTTTAGCCGCAGACAAGGCCAGGCCGGTGGAGGTCCTGCTGAACAGACTCTTCTCTTCATCTCCCAGTTTGACTATTCTTCAGATGTCCTCTTGGCTGCAGCTCAGACCCACTGTACCCCCAGGCCTAGCACATCACAAGTACCATGGACACTGAGCATCGTGCCAGCAGGCTGGGGAGGAGGGCCCGGAGGCTGAAGATGTAGAAAGAAGGTAAGTGAAGGACCGAGAGCCCAGAGTAACCCCAGAAGACATGGCAAAGGCCTCCACCTTGCATACCCACCAGTGTGCAGGTGGGAGGTATGATCTCACTGTTTTGCCGAAGCAAGAGCAGGCTGGTCTGCTGGGGGGGGGAGGAGGCCAGGAGAGTGTCTGGAGTGTGTAGAGTGCACAGATGGTCTCTGAGGGTGATGAGCAGACAGACCCAGGACATGAAAAGACTTGCTAAAGGGAGCTGGGGGTCCTGATGAGGTCGGAGGCAATGAGTGGGTCACTGTGATTTTTCAGTGTTCTCATCACAGCTCAGCAAACCAAGTCTAGGAAAGGGCGCGACTGGCCAGGTGAATCTTTCATGCCATGTGGTCTATCTCCCTCCCCCAGGCCCCAGGCTGATGCTGGCAGTCGGCACTGGCAACCCGCACACCAGGCCAATGACCTGCCCAGGCCCTGGGCACCCTCTGCTACTGCAGCCAGCCCTGCCTCAGATACCATGGTGCACATGTCCTCCCAGTCCTCTGACGCCTCCCCATGCTCCCCAGCCTCCAGTGTCTCTCTGTGCACCGACTTGATGGCCTCACCCACAGTCTCCGGTTGGGGCCCACCTCTCCAGGTGTCCTCAGAGCACCTCAGTTCTACGCACCACGGCTCTCTCAGAACATGCTCCCCTGGAGCAGCCCACCTCCCCCTGGACAAGGACACAGCCTGCACGGCTGCACCAGAGGCTGAGTTCCCACGGGTTAGGTCCCTTCCAGGAAGTGGGTCCCTTGTTAGGGGATCGGTTTCTCCAACGAGCCCCCTGCGTGCACGAGGTAACTTGTCACCAGCTAGGGGTGCCCTCCAAGCTCTGCCGCCTACTTTCTGGACCCTGACCCAAGCAGGTGCGCACAGAGACATGCTGCCGCCCTGCTCTCAGGTAGGTGCTGCCTCACATCGGGCAGCCTGGAGACAAGCACACTCGTCAGGCTTTGGTCTACATGGCAGCTGCCTCTCTATCGCCGTGTATGGAGGAAACCGGGCATGCCCAGCACTTGCCCAAGGAAAGCTCCCTGGTTATTAAGAGACCAGCTACCTTTTTCTGTGTGTTCTATGATCTGACGAATCGCCTTCTTCAGGCTGTTGGCTCTCAGCATGAGCTGTTCCCGAGGCCGGAATATCTGCGGCCGGGCTGGGCACGCAGACCCCACCAAGCGGTCCACCGTCGAGCCGCAGCTGCTGCCCGTCCCATCTCCATCTTCCGCCTCCTCGGCAATGGTGGGCGGCGGAGTGGGCAGAGAGGACGAGGCCTGAGATTCGTCATCCAAGGTCTTGAGGAGAGAATCCAGCTTCTCTTTCAGGACAGAGCACTGCACGGGGAACAAGTGGAGTGGAATAAAGTGCCTCTCCGTCCCGACGCCCCCACCCCAGCCAGGGGCCCAGGGAACAGACCTTCTTGGCCATGACCTCCGACTCCTCCGAGTTCTCCGTTGTCTTCTCGTAGGCCTTTCCCACTCGAGCCACAAAGTCCTTCACCGTCTCACAGAGCACTCTGTGGGAAGAAATGCAGAAAGATGCTTCTAGAGAGACAGTCCTGGCTGGGAACCCGACACCCTGCATGGTGGACCCCTGGCTCCCCCGAGGCAGCCAGTACTCACTTCGCAGATGAGATCACCACCGAGTGCTGGTCGGAGGTCAGGATCTTAGAAAGATGGGCCGCAACTGAGTCTTCATAGAAGAGAATTTGCTGTACCTATGATTGCCCCAAAACAGGGTGGGGTAACTGTCAGTCCACCCAGTGAACCTGTCACCCCCTGCCCCCGCCAGCCTGGCCTCAGCTCACCTCCCTTGCTAATCTGAGACCTGCCCGTGCTACCCGAGAGGTTCACAGGCTCCACCAAGATATGGACAGATGGACCTTAACAAAAAGTTTGTATCTCATGCTTCTTTACTCTTTAACCTAAAATTCACCACCGCGGCCTGTGCTAGGAACTGGGGTCCTCCATCTGTTTCCATAGGCAGCACTCCTTAATTTAGGTTCCATGAAGAGCAGGCGACACATCTGTCCACCTGGCTGGGAACATGGCCTGGTCCCTCTCCTCCTCTGACGGAAGTTGCCCCTCCCCCCACACCTGTGCCTGCTGAAATGGGAGATCTGGCCATTTGTGATGAGCCACTTTAGGCCCTGGCCCAGGGTCAACCAACTTGACTACTGGCTAGACAACGCCCATCTGAGGCTTTGGACACACAGTCTTCCTCTCTTGAAAGGTCCAGACCATTCTCTGCTCGCAAGCCACTCACAGCAGACCAGGCAGAGTGGCCTGGGGCCAGTTTGCCGCCCTCCACCCTAGCCCACTGTCTGAGTCTGCTAACGGGCAGATGGCCTTTGGCAGTGTTCTCTTGTGCCCACTCAGCCAGCAGTCAGCCCCCGGGTGTGGATGAGCACAGCTGTGTGCCCAGGACTGTGCTGTTGCAGGATATAAATAAGGAAGGCAAAGTCTAGGCCCTTGTGAACTGTTAAGACACAATAACAACCATAAACAAAAAGAAGACCTAAAGGTTAAACTGCACAGCTAACCGCAAAGGGAGGCAACGTGGGGCGGCAGCAAGTATGGGAGAGTGGGGAGTCCTAGGGAACTGTTACCACAAGGCCCCAAACCCTGGTGACAACCAGGAAGCCCCAGATGACCCAAAGCCTGCAGAGGTCAGAGTCCATGTGGCTCCAGCTCAACCTTCAGCTGACCCTGAACCTTGAGGGTCTAACCTAGGGCCAGGCATGAGAGCATCGGTTGGGGGTGGGGTGGGGGGTAACCAGAAATACCTCGGAACCCTCGCTGAAGTCCTCAGTGACGACGGTGGAGGAGGAGGCCTGCCGGGGCAGTTTGGTCTCGTAGGCCATGACACTCCACCTGCACACAAAGGCAGCTCCCAGCAAGACGCTCCACCTCCCAGGCAGGTCCTGCCCCTCCCTCCTTGTGACCTGGGATCTGATCTTACAACAATTCTTATTTTATCTGTAAGTCCTTTGTCTTGGCTTGTGTCCCTAACTTGGCTCCTCACATAGCTAAGAACAAATGTCACACCAACAGGTCACCATGGCTCCACGGATGGAGGTGGAAACCAGCAGCCAGCTCTTCACTTGCACCAAACACACAGACACCTCCCTTCAGCGGAGAAGAAATGGAGGGGCAGCTGAGTGTGTCCTTGATCACACTGCTCATGGCAACCACAGGATCCTGGGAGAACAAGCATTTTCAATGACACCAATTCACCACAGGCTCTGGCTAGTGGGACTTCAGACGTGAGCTCAGAACTAAAAGCAGTTCACCCAACAAGGATGCCAAAGGACTGTTCCAATGCCGGGAACAGAATGTGAGAAACAGGACTGCTCAACCACGGACAAGGAGCGCTGTGCTGAGGTGTCAGACTAGGGCTACGAGGGCTGACAGGATGGAGGCAACTCCTCTAACAGCCCCAGTGGATCAGGCTTGGCCTCGAGAAACCTCACTCAGTCCCTAACCTGTCTGTTCTTTTTCATAATCTTGGTCAAGAACTTCCAGGAAAAAAGAATTCCTGCTCAGGTCAAATGTTTACAACTGATTGCCAAGGGCCCACGGTTTCCAGGGACCCCAGGTAAGAACACCCAGTTGGCCCTGGCCGGTTTGGCTCAGCAGTTAGAGCGTCGGCCTGCGGTCCAGAGAGACCTGGGTTCGGTTCCCGCTAAGGGCACGTACTTCGGTTGCAGTTTGTCCCCGGACCTGGTTGGTCGTGTGGGTGGCAGCCACTCGATGTATCCCTTTACGTCGATGTCTCTCTCTCTCTCTCTCTCTTCCTCTCTCTCCCTCCCACTCTATCTGTACAAAAAATGGAAAAATATCCTCGGGTGAGGATAAAAAAAAAAAAAAGAACACCCGGTTGAGGTGGCCCATCTCCAAGTAGCTCGCCATGCGGCACAAGAACATACCCCACTCACCTGTCCAGCATCTTGGTGCTGGCTCTTTCCAGCTTCTCCAGGATCTGCGGGAGCTGGGCGTCATCGTCACAGGCCGAGCCCCAGCCTAATACGCGAGCCAGGTCATTGCCTGTGCCGAGGGGCAGCACTCCCAGCTGACACTGGCGGAACACAGAGGGGAAGCACGGCTCAGCCCGCCTCTTGACTGACAGCGGCAGCGGAGCTCGGTGTAAGAGACATGCTCCAAACAGGGTGGCGCTTCCACTCCAGGCAGAGCCACGGGTGGGACAGACAGCCTTTCTACTCCCACAGACAAGTCCTCCTCCTCTCACAGCCGCTTCTCATGTGTTGTTACATTTTGACAATCCTCTGGGATCTCTCTGATCTACGTTTCCCAAATCCCCTTCCCTCCCATTTTCACAGCTAGGGCCAAGTCCTGACCCTGACTGTGAGTATCTGAACCCCTGGAAAATGACTCTGTGACCTCCACCGCCTGTCTCTCCATCCACCACGTCTGACTCCCTGGGCCAAGTTCATCTTCCAAAGATATCATTAGTATCATCTCACTCATCCAAAAACATCCACAACGGCTGCTAAGTCCTATCAGAACAGGGAGCAGGACATCCAGTCCGGTCACCAAACTCAAGCACACCCCAGGGCTCAGCCAACACCTTCCACCTGCCACCCCCCAGAGAAACCCCCTGCATTGCTCAAGCCTCGGCCTCTCCCTTGGATTTCCCACCCGAGCTCCCACTACGCAAGGTCAGTGCTCAGGAAGCTCCCAGACACTGGCTTCCCAAGACCTCTCTGTCTCCAACTCCAACACACAGTGCACGGGGAGGGCACTGGTCCTCCCTAAGAACTGCACAGCCCACAGTCACCTGCCCCGCACAGGGAGGCCGTGTCACCCTGCTGGGGACAGCAAACTGGAGGGTGAGGACTTGGCACTGCTCCTTGGTGCCTGAAAGGAAAGGCACATGCAGTGAGCTGAAGGCACAGATGACGGCGGCAGTCCAGCTGAGAGGTGACCTGCCGAGTCAGCTCCGTCGGGAGGAGGGCAGCGAGAAGAAAGGCAGAGAAGCAGAGGAAGGAGGAGCCAAACTGGGGCCCTGGTAAACTATGCTATGAAGTCTGGGCTTTGTCCGAAAGCCAAGGGGCCACCAAGGAACACTGGGGTTGGGAGGGCGTCATGAGCAGAACCACTGGTGGGGAAGGTCCCCGGGAGGGTGGACAGACAGAGGTCCAGAGTCAGCAGCACACAGGGGATTGCATGGACTCTCTAGGGTGGCAGGACCTAGCCCAGCAACTAAGTAGAAATGAGGGAAGAATCCGTGACAACTGTCAAATCTCTGGCTCGGACATCTGATGGATGACAATTTTCAGACTCTAAGGAAAGAAATGTGGGGTGGGTGGGGCTGAGTGGTGGGCTCAGTCCTGAAGATGCTGAGCATGAGGTGGGGAGGGGCAGCCAGGAAGATGAGAAACAGTGAGGGAAGCTGGGGGAGGGGGTGTGAAGAGGATCAAGTGCCACAGCGAGGCTGAAGGAAACAGTGCTTAGTGAACTCAGAAGTGGATGAAACCTGCATTCCCAAATGGCAACAATGCACAAAGCTGAACACAGGACCTAAGTGTAGTGCTCTAACTTCACCACTAGGGAGCAGCATTCTCTTTCCTGAGCAAGCGGCCATGCTGCAACTGAGCAGTTCACTGTCCACCTTCCAACATCATTCCAGTGCCCAGGGCTAAACACCGCCTAAAAACAGTCCACCCCACCTACTAGGACCCCCAACAATAAGAGTCAGGTCCAAGAGTTAAAAAAAAATATATTGAAAGCAAATGACAAACTAGGAAAAATATGACCTACAAGGAGCTTATATCCCTAATATGACAATAATCCTTAGAAATCAATTTTCTTAAAGTAAATACCCCGATAGAAATCTAAGCAATAAACATCAACAGGTAACTCATTTTAAAAATTCATGGTTAACTGAGCTGTTTGACTTCACCAGTATTAAAGAAATAAAAAATAAAAAAAACTCTTGTGTCCTTAGTTGGGCGAAAACAGAAAAGACGAACAACGAACCGTTTCTGTGGCACCAGGAAATGAAACTGGTACAGCCGAAGGAAAGCAGTGTGGCAGCACCGACCGTACAGATCAGTCTAAAAGTGGGCGCTCTTGAAAGAGAACATAGTCAGGCAGGTGTCTGCCTGGTTCCCACCAGCTGGCCCAGGGCTGGCAGAGCCGCCCAGCGGAAACCACCAGCAGGTCACTGACTGCGAGAAGCGAGCTCGAGGTGCCGCAACATGCTGATTTATAAAGCACAAGAATGAACAGCATGGGCAACAAGTCCTCTTAAATCAAACTGCTCACACTATGTGTATGTCAGCAGGTCTGAAAGACGGTCACCAATGTCAGCAGCAGGTGATCATGGAGGGGGTGAGGGGATGGGGAAGCAGGGACTGGAAAATCAATGATCACTTGTTTTTTACAATCAGAAAATTTTTTTTTTTTTATCTTCACTCGAGGACATTTTTCCATTTTTTGTTCAGATAGAGTGGAAGGGAGAGAGAAACATCAACGTGAAAGGGACACATTGAGTGGTTGCCACCCGCACGACCCAACCAGGACCGGGGACAAACTGCAACTGAGGTACGTGCCCTTCGCGGGAACCAAACCTGGGTCTCTCTGGACCGCTGGCCGACGCTCCAACCGCTGAGCCAAACTAGCCAGGGCAGAAAAATTTATTTTTAATTTACTACAGAAAAAAACTAAGTCCAAGGGACCCTGTGACCAGAAGTTGAAGTCCACTTCTGTCCCTTCCTGGAGAGCAAGAGGCATCTGGTAGCAGGATACATCACTACCCAGGAAGGAGCAGGCAGGGGCACAGAGGATGGCAGCCCCACCCAGACCTGCTCCCAATCTTTCCTGGAACTGAATGTTCTTTTTGTAGCTTCCTCTACTTCTTTATTTTTTTAATCCTCACCTGAGGACAGATTTTTTAAATTGATTTTAGAGCAGGGACGGGAAAGAAAGAGAGAGAGAAACATCAATGCAAGAGAAACATCGATCAGTTGCCTCCCCTACACACCCTGACAGGGGATCGATCCTGAAATCTTTAATGTACAGGACAAGTTCCAACCATCTGAGCCACTGGCCAGGGCCTCCTTTACTTCTGTGAAGTTCCTCTTACCATGTCACAGCCCCAGCCCCAGCCCCAGCCCCAGCCCTGGCCCCGGCCCCCACGATGCTATCAAGCTCCCTGCTCTTCCCTCCCAGACATTTGCTGGTCCCTGCCTGGAAATAATGTGCCAAGGAGACATTAAGTGTCACCCAAGACAGCCCAGCCTCTCTCTAACCATGACATCACTCCCCACGCACCCCGGGGCTGGCTCCTCCACATTCAGGCACCTGTTTGTGAAGGTTGAGGCTGTCGATTTCAGAGAGGACCCAGCCAACACTGCCGTCTCCACCACAAACCAGAATCCGGAATGTATCAAACTTCTGGAATAAGCGTAAGCTGCAGAGAAAGAGAATGTCAATGAAATTAGGTACATTCTAAATGACAAATGACGGCCAGTAAATCCTGGCCCAAGGGGCCCCATCTGCACTCCTCATGCTGACCCAGCACCCCTTCCTGTGAATAAGTCTCTCAGGGGCAGAGCCGAGATGCTCAGGCTCAGCCTGCTGAGCCACTGGGCACCTGAGAGCAAAGGGCTCCCACCCACAGCCTCCCCAGTCGCCTGCCCCCCCACTCAGCCAGCACCCACACACGCAGCTCAGCAGCCCATAAAGCACAATTTTGTCCACACTTCACCTTCCCTCTGGGCCACTGCATCCTCCCAGGTGATGTGACTCATCCCTCCTCCTCTCAAACTCCACCTCCTTGTGGTCACCCAGCCCCTCACGTGCAGTGTCCCCCTCAAGACACCCCACAGCGTCCTCTGCTCACTCCTCACCTGCTTCCTGAGTGGCCTCATCCACGTTTTGGCTTCAGAGACCACACAGGTGCTGATGACCCTGAACCGTGACCTCCAGGCTTTCCTGAAGGACAACACTTGCACTGCACTGTCTTCCAAACGAGCCACTCAGGTGTCCTAGGTTCCCTTCCTTGGAAAATGGTAGAGCCAGCATCAAAGCAGTCACTGGGCCAGACCACGCTGTCCCAGCAGCCATCACCTCTCTCTTCATTGCTACCAGAGCCTTCCCCCACCTCACGTCCCATGTACACCTGCACCGCCTCTACCACTGATCTTCCCAAAGCAAGTCTCGCCGAGCGTCTCGCTTTAAGAAGTCGCCACCTATTTCCAGGAAAGGTTCAAACTTCTCAGCCAGCACCTGTCCTCCCTGGCCAGCGGCTGCTGCTCCCCTGCCACCCCACTGTCTTCTCATCTCGTGGCACACATGGCACCCTCTGCCTAGCAGGCTCCAAACCTCCCTCCCTGCCATGACACCACCAACTGTCCTCAAATGCTGGTTTGGGGAGAGACTGAGAGACCCTAAGTTGATTTATAAGCCCCTTTTCTGGGTTCCCGAAGAATCTGCACATCTCCCTGTTAACACTCCCCTGTGACACACCCTGTCTCATGGCCTTGACTATCCCCCTGCAGGCAGGGCCCCGCCTTACTGGGCCTTAAATAGCAGAATCTGAGCCAGAGGAAGTCCTAGGAAGACAGGGAACGAGGGACGGCACAGGACTTGGACTACACAGACATGAGGTTCTGAAGCGGCAAGGGTAACCAATTTTCAGGGTGTCCTGAGAACACGACCTCTCTCAGCCTCCTGCTCCCTGAAGGACAGATGACCCATCAAGGCCGGGAATCAAGAAAATGAAGTCAGGGGTCTAAGTTTGGTTGTAAAGTGTGAGGTCAAGGCTGCTCCCCAGAGACGAGGGGTGACTGACTGACAGCCCCTGCACCCGTGTGTGGGCTCCCTTAGCCTCCTGTCTCCTCCGCATCCCCACCCCCCCACGGGACCTCAGCCTCCTGTCTCCTCCACATCCCTCCTCCCACGGGCCCTCAGCCTCCTGTCTCCTCCACATCCCTCCTCCCACGGGCCCTCAGCCTCCTGTCTCCTACACAGCACCACCACAGGGTCCATGCGCAGCCAGGGAAACCTGGTGCCTCTCAAGTTCCCTGCCCAAAGCCGTTTCACAGCGACCGGCCAACACCCATGGAGCCCTGCTCAGTGAAAGGTCTGGCACATCGTGACAAGGCTGCCTGATCCCTTCACTGGTCCCCTTTATAAAAATTCCTCACCTGAGGAAATGTTTACTGGTTTTAGAGAGAGAGAGAGAGAGAGAGAGAGAGAAACATCGATCAGTTGCCTCCCGTACACACCCTGACCAGGGATCAAACTTGAAACCTAGGTATGTGCCCTGACTGGGAATCGAGCCCACAACCTTTTTGGTGTACGGGACGATGCTCCAGCCGCCTGAGCCGCCCGGGCCGGGCACGAGCCCCGCTGGTCACTAACATGATTCCTTCCTGACGCGGCAGTGAATGTGCCCCCATGTCGTTCAGTCCCGAATCCATCTGCCGCCCTCGGAGAGCTGCCTGGAGGGAGCCAGCCGAAGGCGCCACTGGGGTGTCCTCCAGCAGCTCCTGCTGCCGCCGTGGGAACACCAGCACGCCAGGCCCAGGGCTGCCCCGAGAAGCAGCCCCTGCTCCAAACACACCCTCCCAGGAAAACATACACCAGAGAACAGGTCCCACAAGCAATTCCCACGCAAATACCCTGAACGACCCCCTCACCAGCTAGGAGGCTCTTACAGCTCCGACCTTGAACTGCTGCTGCTTCCGAATGAAAAAGGAGTTAGTTCAAACCGCAAAATGTATAGAAGCAAATGGTTCCTACAAACAACACTGGAAAGAACACACCTCAACTCTCCAGCCAAGTGTCAGATGTACAGCTGATACTCGGGTGCGCACACGTCTACGTATCACTGCACCCGCAAGGCAAGCGACCTCTGGAGCCTCCGACACAAAAACTCTTTTCTGGCCTCCCTGGAGGAAAGCCTCCCCAGTACTATGCAGCCACTGAAAACAACGGGCAGGCCTGCAACCACTGATACCAGGACAGGGCCACGCTGCTGCGTGCTGACACCCCGAGGAGCCTGCTGCATGCCCCAGGTAACACAGCACCACCTCTGCTTCCGAAGCGTGTGTCACCTGAACGCACATGTGAAAGTTGGAAGGACAGCCAACTCTACTGAGTAGGTACCTCTGCAAGTGGAAAAATAAAGGCTGAAGAAAAACAACCTTTATTTCCTATTTAAAAATGTATCTTTGAATCTTTTAAAAATAAATATGCATTATCTTCAAAATGTTTTTGAGCTCCAAGAAAGATCGATTTTACAAGCTTACCCGAGGTGTGGCCCTCCATTCATGAGGTCGAAGACCTGGGCAGGGTTCAGCAGCTGTTTAAATCTTCTGAGGAACTTCACGCCCTGGTTGTCCCCACTTTTTGAATTGACGAAGACCAACAAGGGGCTTGTGCAGGACGGAGGACAGGTGGCCTTCCAGAAGCCTGGATTGAGAACGGAAAAGGACAGAGGAAGACAGAAAGCCATGAAAGACAGGCACGCCTAATCGTGTAGGGAGTAACCACCCAAGGGCCCTGTGACGCACACAGAACCAGCAAGCGGGAACATGCACATTTCCAGTCGCTGTTCCCCACAGAAGACAGCGAGTGCCCATGCAGTCTGACTTCACATTTACAAGGACTCTAGACTCAGAAAGACCGAGTACCTCACTGCTCGGTCCTAGGCTCTCACTCTAAAACCGAAGAGCTGATTTCCTCCGAGACACGGGCCCCATGTCCCACCTTTCCAGCAACACTTACTAATGTGCATCATCAAACACCCCTGGACAGTGCCAGCAGCATGGAACCACGTCTACTCAACCCCACCACTAGGCGGAGACCAGCTGATGGAGAACAGGACCCCGACGGCCCACGTCAGAGACAGACAAGTGTCTTCGACTCGGTTTCTACTCAGCCGACTGGACCCATCGCCTTTAACTAAGGTATCAGCCTCAAGTCCTAAGCCTGCCCTGTGGCCATCAGGACATTTACCACATCTGTACATAAGTCCTCTCCTCTGGTGGCTGGGCCTGACCTTTTCCCTACCACAGCACACATCGCCAGTCGAGCCCATCTAGAGGGGGAAGGAGAATGCCGGGGGAGAGCACAAGGAAAGGGCAGGCGGGGGAGCATGCGGCACCCACCATCAGAATCGATGCTATTGAGAGCTGTGGGAGGGATGACCGACACTTTGCACAGGCCCAGTGGGCACTTGGTCACTAAGGACTCCTTACACGCTGTGTGTACCTGGAACAAGAATCATGCATCACAAGGGGTCACAGCCCTTCCCACAGAGCCTGCGGCTGCGGGAGGAGTGGGTGACCTGCTGTCCCACTGGGAGAAAGCTGCACCCACTCACCATGGCCTTGCACCACAGGCAGCGCCAGTCCTGCAGGCGCAGCACGCTGCCACAGGTCTTGTCACACACCGTGCACTTGGCACTCACGGGCAGGTTTCCTTCCAGCCACTGGTGAGGCATGGCGATCTGCAGACCAAGCAGAGACACGCACTAGGGCATGTCGCAGCGCCCCACGCACGGGGCACAGAACACCTTGGGCAAAGATGCTCCAAAATGACCTCAACCAAGACACTCCTCAACACAGGCAGAAGGGGGACAGAGCTGTCCCACCCATGATCCTGCCCAGGATTACAGGGACGGGACAGAGCTCGGAGGCACAGAGGCCCCTACAGAGCCACCAAGTGCGCAGCAAGAGCAACTGAAAACCAAGAGGAAGAACGCTGAGGAGGCGGGCCAGCCCTCCTGGAGAGGTGGCCACAACGGTCGGCCGGTGCCCTGTGCGTACCCCATCCTCGTCTTCAATGATGTCCTTCCCGATGGAGGCCAGCGTGGTCCACTTGCAGTTATTGGTTGCACGCACCGCACACCGTTTGTGGGCTTTGAACTTGCACACTGTGAGAGAATGAACACAGGACCTTCGAGCCTCGTTCGTGCCAGCGGCTTCCTAAGCTGCGAACACAGTCCGAGGGAGCTGCCAGGGCCTTCTGGGCCAGCTGGGACGAACACACAGCACTCCCCGTGTTGTGAACTAACTTCTGGGACACGCGTCTGGATCTTGGGGAGACTAGACACCAAGGATAGCCAGGAGTCGGCAGACCTTCTGGAAAGGGTCAGAGAGTAACCAGCTCAGTCTCTGCCCCAACTGCTCAGCCTGAGGGCCACCACGGGCCACACCTCATGCATGGACACTGAAATGTCAATTTCACATAATTTCTGTGTCACAAATAGTTGTCTTCTTTTGTTTTTTTCCAGCTGTTTAAAAATGTAAAACCATTCTTAACCTCACAGGCCACATAAGAAAGGTGACTGGTGTGGTGTGGCCCAAGGGCAAAGTTGGCCTTTCTCTGCTCCTGCCCAAACACCGGAACCCTGCCCTCTAGGTCTGGAAGAAGACTTTCAACCCGTTTATCTGCATCCCAACTCACCCCACAAAGCTGTCACTACACAGGGATGACCGACAGTCTCAGCCTTTCCCTCTGGGCCCTCTGCATCCCTCTTGTGTTACCCACCGCCACCTCCCTTCCTCCCTTTGCTCATTACTATAAAAAGCACAGGGTCACAGCAATGGCTTCACTCCCGACTGATGTGGGGTGACTGCATTTGGACCGCTAGGGTCAGGCCACCTTTCCTAGCAGAAGAACAGGCTGTCACACCTTCACAGGACAGTCCGTGAGACGTGACCCCAGACAGCGCCTCGCGGCACACGTTGCAGTAGGTCGGCCTCGCGTGGGAGCAGGCGTACCAGTTGTGCATCCCTGAGAAGTGGTCCATGCTGTACTGGGTTGGCTACAAGAAGGAAATAAAGACAGCAAAGAGGTGACCCTCTGACATTCTCAAATGTGGTAACTTAGACAGGATTCAACAAAGCATTCAGGGAGGGGAGAATGAAGGTTTATAAAGACAGGGTCATGGTCCAAAGGGCGACCACAGTTTACAAGAACCGTGCTGAGAAAGTGAGTCCAGAACTGTACAGCCCACACACAACACACTCACATGGCAGAATATTTAAGAAAGTGCAACAAGAAGACGGTTTTTCTCTACCTCAAAATGCTCCCTATTCTGGACAGTCTTCAGTGCTGCGATCCAATCTTCCATTTCTTTTCTGTTATCAGCACATAAGATAAGTTTCCTACATGGAGTGATAACCTAGAAAAAGGAACATATTCAACAAATCCATGAACAAGGTACAGATGCTATACAAACATTTTAAAAACCTACTTTTGCTATATATATTTTATTGAAAAATAACTGTTCAATTCAGATATTCCATTGGACAGAACATAAAGATGGTTACCATAAATTACTAAAAACCAAGAACATTCTCAAACTAAAAAGACAATCAAATTTAGTTTATACATTCACCAAAATTCAATTTAAGTGGACATCTATGAACTAACTACTCAGACACAGTGATAAGCCCGGGGAAAATTTTTTAAAGAAATAGAAAACAGCTGTTATTGCTCCAAAGTGCTCACAAACTGATGTCCAGCACTGACATGGTCTAGGGAAAGTCTGGCCCAACTTACTCCAGGAATACGGTGGGCATTTCACACGCACCCTATATAAATGGTCTCGTACAAAACCTTTTAATATATGACAACAGAAAAATAATCAGCTACTGTATGCAGGGCCTGCGTAATTTAACTGAAAATGAAGTCATGAACCTTATAATAATCAACAAAAAAAATTATCTGATATAAAACATTTTTATAAATCAATAGAAGAAATCTTCCTAAAAGGCTATAAATTTAGATTTCACAGAAGAAATACAAAATGACTAATAAACAAATAAAAAGATGCTTAACCACTTAGTCATCAGGGAATGCAAATGAAAATAAATTATTTTTCACCTAACAGATTGACAAAGTTTAAAAAGATAATAATCTAGTGTAGGCAGATATGGGAGAGTCTCCTCAAGTACCGCCAGGAGGTCAACAGGATATAAACATTTGAGAGAAAAACTGACCATGTCTATCAACATTTTAAAAGTTATATATAGCCTTTTCCTTAAATTTGTTTTACGATGATGTAAAATATCTACACGGTTCCAAAGTCAAATCTACAAAAAAAGGTGCATTCACAAGTCTAGCTCTGTATCTGTCCCCTCCATCCTGATTCCCTCTCTACCCCAAGGGGAGCCCTAAAAGTAAACAAAACTGCAACTTATCCTTCCACTTTTTGAAGATATTTGCTAATATAGGTACATATTCGCAATCCCCCTTTTAAAACAGTAGCACACCACAGGCGCTTCTCCACCTCTGCTTTTCCCTCTGACTGACCGTCCCGGCCATCGCTCCTTAGCAACAGCCGGCGTTTCGTTTCCTTACTCTTTCTTGCAGCTGCACCGTGCTCCTGGGTATGGAAGCACCGAGTCTATTCAACCCATTCCTTATTAATGGGTATAATGCATTGTTGAAAAGCCTTTGGAATGTCAAATGGTGACACAATGCCTTTACACAGATCTTTCCATATTCACCAGTGTGTTTGGGGGATAAATTCCTAGAGCGGCCCTGACAGAATAGATGCATATGTAATTCTGCTAGCTATTACCAAATTCCCCTCCGCAGGGGTTGTGCCACTGTGCGTTCCCACCTGCAGGGTTAGGAAATGGCAGCTTCCCCAGGGATCCATCAATAAAGCTATGTCATTTAACTTCTGGACAGCTGCCCATATTAGAGCTTTAATTTACATTAGGGAGACTCAATTTAGGAACACTCAATTTAAATCAGGTGATCAGAAAATATAAAAACAGTGTTTTATAGTTTGTCTCTTCTGTGATTTCCATAAACTACCTACAAAGCTTATTCACAGAAGGGATAATTAGAACTGGGTCACAAATGCAAGGCGCTGTTCATTCCTTCACGTAACCAGGGAAACTGGGATAACTACGCCTAGGGGGCCAGGCTGGGTGTAGAAAGAGACAAAGCTAGTGGAAGGTGAGGAGGCTGGAAGAGAAAATGAAAGACTGGAGAAGTGAGTGCCCTCCAGAGAGAGGTGGGAGGTGGGAGCCACTTTCTCTGAAACTTCGGGAGTGCTGCAAACAGCCCATATCCCAGCACTGAAGGTGCCATCCGCCCACAGAACACCTGCTGAGTGTCTGCTCAAAGACCATGGCGGGCCAAGGTGCCCACTCACACAGAGCTCACACTGGGGAGACTGGTGAAGCAGACATTTCACACACTGACATGCACCGGGAGGACAAAGTGGGTCGTGTGAATGGGCTGATGGGTGCTCTGGAGGGTGGTCCAAAAGGCCATGGAAGAGCTGGGCAATGGACAATGGCCTTGGGTGCTTATGGACTTTTCATCAATAACTGTAAAATCTCAGCAAACATGTCTTATATTCACTCCAGGGTGTTTTAATATTTGAACATTTTTATCAGCATAATAAGTACAGTTTCAAAAAGATACTATAGTTTATTTTGCATAACGTGGGGATTATCTTAGCAGTTATGCAGTAAGATATTTACAGAAGAGAACAACGAGATTTTTCATGTCCTGTTCTATTTTAGGTCTTGTTTCTACCACTCCCGTGTCGACCTGTGGAGAAGTGTGCACATGATCCCGGAGCTCCGCGGTGCCGCTGCGCAGATGGAGCTCCGGGCCTCCATCCTCCACGTGCCGAAGGAAGGAGGGGGTTACTGGAACAGCTTCCTGGGCTCCAGGCTCCACGGGCAGCAAGTTGGAGACAAAACTGTTATGGTTAAAGATGGTGAGCTAATGGAACAAATGATAAATGATGTCATTTCCTCAATCAGTGCAGTTATTTACAGGCAGTAAACACTGACCTAACAGACAAATGTCTGAGAACCTGGTTTTCAGCTTTTTAGGAAACGCTGTGCCTCAGACCGACCGGAGGGAACACTGGGTAGACTGTCTTCATTTCTCTTTTGGAAAAGAGGGAGGGTAAAAGCTACCTGGCGGGGTTGTTGTGCAACTGAAGGAAGCAAATGTGGACAGAAGCAAGCACAGGCTCGCACAGTGCCCAGGCCACGCCCTGGGTGTGCAGCTCTGGGACAGCTGCCTCCCCTCCCTGCGCCCCACTGGCTCACCTGCAAACGAGGCTACCCGTGGGGGTGCCACATCCTAGGCTTCGTGAGGGTTAGGGCAGGGCCCTGGAAGTGCTGAGAACAGCGGCTCACATGGAAGCCCTCCCGCTGTCTCTCAGTGCTACTCCTTCTGAGACCGTTCTGGTGCCAGGAGTCCACCTCTCGGATCACGGGAGAGTCACAGAAGACTCCCACCCACCAAATAAAAATCAGTCTCTGCCTCTCTCCATCCACGCTCTGCCACCTGAGACAGAATCCAAGTGTCTTAGCCACCCACAGACCAGGCATAATTCCATCTCTTTGGAATTCTTCTCCTCACCTGCAAGCTCCCCAAGAGCTTTCCACCCAGGGGAAGCCCCCTGAACACCGAGTGGCGGTCCCGGACACCTTGGGGCTAAGGGTGTGATGGGTGAGACTGGAGAGGCCTCCTGGGGAGGGAAGGACAGCGGAGGCTTTCTAAGAGATGTCTTAGGCCAGGCTTCCTATTCCATTTCTTGATTTTGGAGACAAAGCAGCCAAGACAGGGCCCAGAGAGAAGCAAGTACTAGGAGACCTTCAGGCTATTTCCTTCTGGCCGCTCACCACATTCACTAAAGCAAAGAGAAGGCAGGATTCAGAGGAGACCTCTAAGGAATAGTAAGACTGTCTTCCCTTTGTTTGGACTGCAGCCAACACCATAACTCCTAGAAACCAAAGATGGTGCAAAAAACCTAGGACTGTCCCTAAAATCGAGCCTTCACACAGAGAAAGTTTCCGAGACCAAAAGATATTTTTGGTCTATATTTTTCAAGCAAAGTTGTAAAGTAAACGGCTCACATCATAAATCAACTTAAAATTTAAATGCAAATTCAAAGCAGGGTAATACCACGAATGTGACAGGACAAGTCAGTGACATCACAGGCTCGGCGGGCCCGGGGCCATGGCTGGAATTAGCAGACTTGGTACCGAGGGAAGGAGCAGAGCAGCACCGCAGAGCAAGGCGGCCACATGCACACACACACACGCGAGGGAAAGCACCCGCAGACCTTGACGCTGGAAGGACAAGACAGGGACGGGGGACGGAGAAGTGGGAAACCCTCTCTCACACAGCTCTCGGCAGGCTACAAGAGCACTGCGCAGACTTAGATTCCTGCTCTTGCTGATGGTAAAAGAACTTAAAAATCAGTGAGAAAGTCTGGCCGGTGTGGTTCAGTGGATTGAGAGTCGTCCCATGGACTGAGAGGTCCCGGTTCAATTCCCAATCAGGGCACATGCCCGGGTTGCAGGCTCGATTCACCATAGGGGACGTGCAGGAGGCGGCTGATAGATGTTTCTCTCTCTCCCTTCCTTCCACTCTCTGTAAAAAAAAATAAATAAATAAAAAAAAAATCAATGACATTTTTTATCTTTATTGATTTTTTGAGAGAGAGGAAGGGGGAGGGATAGAAACATAGATGACAGAGAACATCGACTGGCCACCTCCTGCACGCCCCCCACTGGGGATCGAGCCCACAACCAGGGCATGTGCCCTGACCATAAACTGAACCAGGACCTCTCAGTCCATGGGACGACACTCAATCCACTGAGCCACACTGGCCGGGCTCAATGTCACTTTATTTTAAAATTAGTAAGAAAAAAGCAGACCAACTAACCAAAAAATGAACAAAGGACTTGAACCATTATTTCAAAACAGTTATTTCCCAAATGGCCAGTAAGGCACAAGGCAAGGTGCTCAACCTCAAGAGTCATCTGTGAGGTGGTAATCAGAACCCCGGCACGTTCCCCTTTCGCTGTGGCTGAACTGAAAGGCAGATGTCCAGTGCTGGTGAGGACACGGGCTAACGTGACTCTCATCACTGCCGGTGGGCAGGCAGTTCGGTGCAACTACTGTGGAAAACAGCAGAGCTAATCTTCTCTTCACCCTACGGCTCAGGAACTCCAGTCACGAGTCAGCAGGACACAGCATCACTGTGCTTCCCAGGCCTGCCCTGCTCACAGCCCAGAGGCCCAGCACTGGGGAAGTGGACAGACAATGGAACACAGTGACACATGGCCGGCCACAGAACGATGAGAATGAACCGCCACAACTCCAGCAGGAACATGACGAAGTTTACAGTGCTGCGGAGGGCAAAGGAAGACAGCTGTGTCCAAATGAATATGAGGGACTGGCAGAGCTATATGTATTTTTAAAGCATTAGAAATGGATCTCAAACACATGAAAAAATGCTTAATCTTACTCACAAAATAAATAAAAATTAAAATTATGAGACACCTTTTTTCCCCCCTCCAGGTAGAGATCACTAGTTTGGTAACATGCTACATTGGAGGTATGAATTAATACACCTATGGAGAATACTGGGTGAAATCTAGCAAACTTCAAAATATAAACCTTTGGCCCTGGCCGGTTTGTCTCAGCGGTAGAACGTTGGCCCGCGGACAAATGAGTTGCGGGTTCGATTCCGGCCAAGGGCACGTACCTCGGTTGTGGTTTGTCCCTGGTCTGGTTGGGGTCGTGCGGGAGGCAACCAGTAGATATGTCTCTCTCTCTCCCTTTCTCTCCCTGACACTCTGTCTGAAGATAAATGGAAAAATATCCTTGGGTGAGGATTAAAAACAAAAACAAAAAAAACCCCTTTGTCTTATCAACAACAGTGCTTCCATAAATTTATCCTACAAATATGTCTCATGAGAAGTGACATACACTATATACAAGGTTTTTCATGGCAACATTCATTGTAAAGACAAAAGATTGGAAACGACTCAAATACTGATCAAGATAAGACCAGTATGCCCTGGTTGGGTGGCTCAGTTGGTTGGAGCGTCATCCTGTGCACTGAAGGGTCTCGGGTTCGATTCCCTGTCACGGTACATACCCAGGTACGGGAGGCAACTGATTGATGTTTCTCTCTCACATAGATGCTTCTCTCTCTCTCCCTCCCTCATTCCCTCTCCCTTTCTCTCTTTCTCTCAAATCAATGAAAGCATATCCTTGGGAGTGAGGACTAAAAAAAAGACCGGTAGGCAATTGATGCATAAATTATGGAGATTCCTGTAGTGGAATACTACACAGCCACTAAGAAGGCTGATGCTATGTATTCTTCATGCACTTACAGGGAACACCCTCTAGATGTACGGTTAATGCTCAAAGCAAACTGCAGGAACAGTAAGGGTGGAGGGAAAGTACTACTAGTCACCTCTGAGGCAGGACCTCTGAGGGGCTGGGAAACTTTTACTTTATACCTTTTACTCATTTTGATTTCTGTACCAGGTCCATGAATTATCTATTCAAGAAATATAAAGTCTTAAGTTTAGAATATATGCTAAAGACCAAAAAAAAGGAGCTTGAAAAGTTTTTGTGAAATAATAACTTTTACTTCCAAAAAATGAACTTCCAAGAAATATAAAATACCTAGATACTCCAAATAAGTCGGACACCCAAGCCAGGCAAATATCTTCCAATGTCTTGGGAAGAATTAGCCGAGAATGGAATTAAGGCATGGGCAGCGGTCTTTGAGAAACCAAGGAGAAGACGGAGACGTGCTGGAGGAATAGACGTGAAGTTTAGTGGACCAGAAGTTGGACTCCTGAATTACAGATACACTAGCTGATGTGACAGGAACAGCCACCATGATGGGGCACTTAGTTGTCCTAGGAAATTTCTAGGTGTTTACAGGTATTTGCTTGTTTCATCCACTCTACAACCTAATGAAGTAGATAACAAGAGAGTAAACTGAGGCCCACTGATCAACTTGCCCAAAGTCCCACAACTGATGAATGAAGTAGGGGCCAAATGAAGTAGGGGACACCAGGCAGGTTGGCTCCGGGCCTGGCGGCTGAGCCCTGACTCCCACTGCCACCCACCCACAGCAGCTTCCCACCTGGATTCCCCAAAAGGCCGCTTCGTGAATAATGCCAGGACTGTGGGCTGAAGGCAGGAGGGAACTGGCACTCACCGGGCTCTAGGCTCACTCAGAACAAACCGTTTCTCCTCGGCAGGAATTCGGGCTAGGAGGACCAGCACAGGGGCGATATGGACACCTCACTGAGTCATCTGACCGTGGCCCCTCCCACTCTGAGCAGGTTTCTCAAGAGCTCCAAACAAAGGTCAGAGGGGTGAGATCTGACAGACGATGATGAGGGCAGTCCATGATTCACCAACAGTGTCCTCCTGTCCAGAGAACCCTAATCACAGATTTGGATGTGCCCTTCATCTGTAATGAGACCTTCCACGAGAGAAGGCCAGATTCTGCAAACTCTATTGTGCTGGAGCCAAGGCCAAACCAACCACCTCAGCAGTACTAACCGAGGCCCTGAGCCAGGATGGTCCGCCGGCTGCACCGAGCAGAGGCAGACATGTAGCCTGGACTGGGAGCTGCTTAGACACTCTTGTCAGTTTCATGGACCCAAAAGATCATAAAATTAACCACCAGACTTCTGTTTCTGGGAAGACGGTTAAACCTTGGACATTAGATCCAAAACAAATATGCACAGACTGGACGATGCAGAGAAGGCACACAGACTAGGGACCTTGGAGCAGAGAAATACCCAGTGCTCAGCCCCCTGGGTTCTGTTTACCCCAGACATCCCGAATGTGGAGCTGAAGGTGCTGCAGCCAGAAACCTCAATGGACACAGAAAAAAACTAAAACCCTCCAAAGCCTGCTCTCTCTAGCCACAGGACCAGGGAAGGGGCAGGCAAGCAAGACAGAAATCAATAGAACAGCAGCCAATCACCACCCTACTCCAGTCGAACACCACAGAACACACTGGGGCCCCAGCACCACATCAGGCAGTGTCCACAGTAGGTCACACCCCTGCGGTGTCAGAGGATATACTGAGGCAAATAAGCACAAGAAAAAATATTCAACATCATTAGACATTAAGGAAACGCTGATTAAAGCCACAATGCGACATTATTATACACCTACTAGATGTTTAAAATAAAAACACCACCAAATGCTACACAGGATGTGGAGAAACTGGCTCACACTGTCTGCAAGGATGTGAAATGGTACGACCACTCTAAAAACAGTTTGGCAATTTCTTTAAAAACATGCCACTAAGAAATGACCCAGTTTTACGTTCACACAAAAATCTGCCCCACACATGTTTATAGCAGCTTTATTCATAATCACCCAAAACTGGAAACAACCTAGGTGTCCTTCAGTGGCAAATGATTCAACACACTGTGGCATGCCCAATCCGTGGAATACTACTCAGTATAAAAAGATGACCCGTCACACGCAACAACCTGGAGGGCCTCCGGAAAGTTACGCTGAGGGCAAAGTGCGGATCCCTCGAGGTTACATACTGTGGATCCCATGAACACTCTTGAGGTGACAAAATTACAGAAATGACAAATTAGTGGTTGCCAGGGGCTAGGGGAGTGTGGCCATAAAAGGAAACCAGAGGATCTCGAGGGAGGTGGAGACGGTCTGGATCTTGACTGTGTCCATGTCAACATCCTGGTTGTGAGGTTGCACTGGAGCTTTGCAATACGTTGGCCCTGGGGAAACTGGGAAAGGACACAAAGAAGCCCTGCAGTGTTCCAATTCTGTGTAAATCTACACTGTAGCCACGCCCTGGTTAGGTGGCCCAGTTGAAGAGTCATCCCATACACCAGAAACGAGGAATCACAATCAACATTTTTAAACATCTAACACGTTTAAATTGGGAAAACTGGAAGTAACAC